ATTTAAAAGTTAATACTATTACACTCATATACTTGTAAAGTATATAGTTGCAGTTGCGCTATTTCTAACATTAATCTATAATTTGCATAACATAGTTTAATGAGACTACCCGAGGGTATTTGCTAGTAAAATTCAAAAAGAATGCATAAATAATTTTAATTAAATAGCAAAATTTTAAACAAAAATATATTTGTAACCATAAAGAAAATATTTCCACCTGAGGCGTGATGTGACGCACTGTATAATTCAGTCGTCGCCTAAGATAACATCAGCGCTGTATGACGTCAGTTCCCGGATAATTGACCATACGGGGATTTAACAGTGCCCCCTTAACCTTACCCCTTTACTAGCTCTTTCAATCATAATAAGGTCGCGTCAGATCGACAGTTGGTGTAAAAATCTTTTCAAATTGTAAAGTAGTGCCAACCCCAAACAATTGAAATGGAGACTAAGGTGATAATGAAACAAAATATTTCCTCCTATTTAAAAATTACATATACATTTATTTTATTTATATAAAATATTTTTACAATTACTTGGTAAGTATATTTAAAATATACATAATTGAAGTTATTTGAACGACGTACTACTCAAATCGAAGCTTAAAAATATGTACTTGACTTTTAACCGGTTTTGTCTAACATAGACAATATTTTAAGGATTTTGATCAACTATACAAGAATTGCCTATGAACTATTACAATTAAAGTGATCAATAACATAGAGGTTTGCTTTTTAATTAAGAATCGGATAGATTTATGTTGTTGATCATTTAGAGAACAACACTTCGATATAAAAAATCATCATTTGATCATAAGAAAAAATATACTAAAATATATCGAGCTAATCCAGCAATAATGCCCTTGACTATATTTTGATCAATGACTGTAAATGTAATGTGTTGCTCACTACACATTGCGTTAAGGTAACTTTATGTTAAAAAATTGTCTTTAACCTATTGATGAAAATTCAAGAAGGTAGAACCTTCTTAATACATAGATTGTATCATAAATATTATACTCGTGTTAATTTTTTTTTCTTGATGAAATTTGAACGATTATATTAATATACAATTAAAACTTACTTATTTAAAATCAACTTGATTTCACTTTTATAGTACTAAGAACTATGAATGTTTAGTAAAGAATTTCGAGAGTAAAATATTTAACAGGTATAATTTTATAACCATAATTTTGCGTAACTAGACCACCATTGAAAAAAATTTCACACATATTACCAAATTATTAAAATGAATTTTAAGTCAGTATAATAAATGATTTATCGTTTTTAAGAATAGTAATTTCAAAACCATGGAAGTTTAATAACTGTTAAAATCATAGTATTTATATTAATTAAGTTTAAGGAATTATCAAAAGTACATTTTATGTAAGAATAAAATTCAACATTTTAGTAACAATAATAATTAAGTGTAAAATATATATTTTTCAAGACTATTAATCTAACATAACTATTTTTTATTTAAGTAAAAAAAAAAAAAACAATAAAATGTATTATTTTGGCGAAAAGATAATCAGATATATGTGTTACAAAACACATGTTACAGAATTTTTTCTAACGGTGTATTTTAGAAATGCTCCAAGTTTTTATTAGCTGTCTGGAAGAAACAATAAATTTATATTTTATACATTATAAATAAAACATTGAATTATATTTACACAAATTAATGTTCTTTTTAGGTTCAAAATATCAACTGCTTTTCTTAGATTTATTCCGTGTATAACTGAAGTACTACTTTTTTATTTTTCAGGCGCCATGACCAAAAATTGTACAATATTATATAGAAACAGGAATAATTTCAATCATAAAAAAATATAATATATATGTAATAATATATTGAAGAAACATGAACTAGTAGTTTCTTTATGAGAAAAATTAAAATGAACAGTTTTTGAAAATCAACATTTAATGTTTTGCATAGCAACTTATTCCATTAATTTTTTTTAGCAAATTTTTAATATTAAAATCAGTTAATAATTATATTTATTGCAAAATATTATTGTAATTTCTAAATTTAACCCCCTTAAAACATACTACAGTATATAATATATATAATTAATAGTTAAGCTGTAATAACACATTGAATTGAAAGCTACAATAAAAAAAAACTGAGATCAATGTATTTGAATCAATGATTAAAACTTAATTTACTTGGAAAAAAACATTTGAAATTCATTTACATAGCTTTCCTAAATTTAACTCGTATTTTATATTAAATTTATATATTAATATTCAAATGTAGTCTTTGAATTTTTTCTATAATTTTATTATTTAACATATTCGTATTACTAATTTAGATAATATATATAAATATATATTTATCATAATTAAAAATTGCAATCTCTGGGCTTGAATAATTTAGTTGTTTTATTTAATGTAAAATGTTAAGAATATGCTCAGAAATAACAAAACTGTTCCGAATAAAATATTTAATAGTAATAAATTTCAGGAATAGTATTCTAATAATTTAATTTCTCAAAATATATATAAATTTAAGTGTTACCTTTTCTTTAAACAAAATATATTTATTTAAATCGTACGCAACGCTCTAAAAATTAGTGTAAAACGAATAATCATTTAATTTTTGAATACTTTTGAATAAGTTTTAAAATAATCAAAGAAGAGTTTCAGTTTGATACTTTTATATGTTACCATCTCTTTGTCAAAGTCTTATTCTAATATTGGTCTTAATCTTGTTCTAGTAATGGTCTTAGTTCTGCTATTCAAAAGCTATTATATGCTTTTCGAAGCGTTTTTAATCCACACTAGTAATTGCTAGTGTTAGTACAGTTTTGTACTGTTGATAACTTACACAACTTCTTTTCGTAAAAAAAAAAAAACAAAGTACACTTACACGACAAAGTTATTAAAAATAATATCAAAATATATGATGACAAATTTTAGTCAACTTGCTTAGACATTTAATCACACAAAGACTAACCATTATTAGATAAACGGTTACGGTTGCAGATGTATGATTACATGAAATCGTTTTTAATAACAACTGATTTTGTAAATATTCAATTGCGATAAGGCAAAATGATAAATAACAATGATAACATAATTTGCGAAAATTTCTAATCATAATTAAAAATATTAATCACAAACAAAATGAAACACATATAGTAAGTTATTTGGTTGGGTTAAAGTCAATGGGGGTTCTATTTTCCCTCGTGAGAATACCTTTTTACATTAAAACAGTATATGTGTCAGATTCCATTAGAGCAACCTCTAACAATAGTATTAGGTGTTTTATTTTAATGAAAAAATATTTAATCTAAGTTTATTGCTAAAATTTAGGAAATATTTCATAGTATTACACGACTAGAAAAAATGAAGTATTAATACTAATATTGGCCAAGGTTACCTATCTTTGACCCACTATTGCTAAACTTATTGTACTAATAGACTCTTAGACGATTATTTTAATAGAACATGAAAATTTTAACAACATCAATCAAAAAAATATTAAATTAAGTAAACACTAAAATTAATCTTCGCTAATATTAAACATTATGCAACCAACAATTCATCAATTTTTTTCTACAGTGGTGTTTATTGATGTATATTTAGATTTAAAAAGGAGGTAACTCCACCTTTGGGGTACTTGGAATTAAACTTCTTTTATTAAAAAAAATTAGTCCTTTATAACCAAAAAGTTTTTTTGATTTACGTGCATTTTTTGCCAGATAATTAAAAAAAAAACTTTTATTTCTAATCAAATATTGTATACAATTTTGTTATTATTCAATATTAGCAGCTCAATACAACTTAAAAAATTGAAACTTACTACTATAACCCGGGCTAGGGGCATATGCCACTTAAAAAACATAAAGATAAGTGCTTAAAACCACAATTAGCATTGAAATAAGCAAAAAAAAAAAATTGTTTTTCTAATTTATACATTTTTGTTTTACATGGTAAAAATTGCTGAACATATAATAACTCTATACTATTGTAATAATACGTAAGTATAATATTAAAAATAATAACGCTTATAAAAATTAGTAATTTTTATGACAACAGTAGAACAGTGTTTAACGAGAAATCAGTGAGAAATTGAGAAACAATTATATTGATTATTTTCAAAAATTCAGTTTTATTTTCAGCGTCAGAACATTTATATACCTTGCGGTGCCGCGACGGCATTTGTCAACACAACTAGATAATATAACACACATAAATACAAGCAAAGCTGTAGAATTATTTTTCATTTAGATTAAAAACAAATTTAGTGGAAAGAATAAAAATAAATAAATATTTTATTAAAAAAAAAAAAGACGTAAAATAAGAATTACGTAATGAAACCCTGGAAAAAAAACCAATTTTTAAATTTCATATTTGAAGTGATCGTTACGTGACTTAAACATCTATAGCATTGCGTTGCATTATTTTCAAAAATAGAAATAATTAATTACTATAGTCCTGGTTATACAACATTGGTGAAAAAAAGTTTATTATAATTTATAGAATTTTAATGTTGTTTAATCTTCAATTAACGTTTCATCAATTTTAAAACTTTAAAAACTTAAAATGGTGTATAGGAATAATAATATTTAAGAAATGATTTAATTACTTAATAACTCGCTTTAGACATCTACTTATTTAAATCTCTAAATCAATGGACACAACAACGAATTTTGAATCAAATTTAAAATAAAAATAACAATTTATTAAGAATAACGAATAAAATTTTAACATGATAACTAAAGCGCCTGGATACTAAGTGATCTAATTTTTTTTTCTGGTCAAATTAAATATAGTGAATAGTTAAAAGAAATATATCATATCACAGTGCTCGACAGAATTGTTTAGGTTATTTGATCCTCTGGTTTTTAAGTGTCCTAATTATTATTTTGTTCTAGTATACGACGATTTAAGCAGTTTTAAGTCTCCATAGTTTATCTCGGACATGATAGGTTATAATTTGTAAGAAACTCAACGGCAAGATGAATCCAATGAGATTATAAAGTAAACTGACAGCAGAAAGCTGAGGAATGCGTTAAATGGAAACAGACATTAATCTGATTACCGACCATTTTTATTCTCCTTGCAAATTACTAGTAGCAGCCAATGATACGATGTAAAAAAAAAAAATCACCATGAAATATACCGACTTGCACATTGCGCACAGAATGGTGGACATTTCGGGAATCCAATGAAAGCAACGGGAAAGAATATATGGGCGTACGAATAGGTCAGTGACGGTGTAGAATAACGACCGCCGGTCACAACAATGGGCAGTGCATGTATTATTTTACGTAACTTCTTTCATACTTGTCCGATACACAAACCACGTAACATCAGAAACCTTGAGGTAGGTTCCAATGGAAACATTTTCAATTTTTGACATCTTGTGTCCATAGTTAAAAGTATTAACATTTAACTGGGAAAAAATCTAATTTACATTTTAAAAGTTTCGCGAAAAATGTGTACACCATCAGTATTTAATTTTCAGAGTGATGTTGGGATGGTACTTGGCCACTCCTTTTTGACTTGTAATTTATCACGCTGTTCTTAGAGCTGTTGCTAAAGACGCGAAAAAATATAGACAATCATTAATATCAAATGGAACCGACGGATGGGAAGAAAAGTTGAACGAGGACAATCGAGCGAGTCAAGAATGGCGAGTCGGTGTTAACGAAATGATTTAACGTCTGGTATGGACTGAATTGGTTTGTAAGGCGCCACGGCGAGTGTGGATTTGCTTTGGGTTTCAAACGACGTGCACTTATTTTAAGGTTTTTCTCGCGTAAAACCTTATCGGTTGTCGCCACGGTCAGGAGAAAATTAATTGGCGTAGGTCACAGTCGAGCCACGGGAATCGATCAAAATTTCGTTACGGTCCGCTGTGCAGCCGACTCATAAATCGTGCGCGTCCAGCTCACTACTATACATGTTCTATAATCTAATTAATGGCGTTTTCGTGCAGACCACCGCCGATTGACGTGGCCCGTTGGAAGCGTCGACAAGGTGATTAATGATGCACGACGGTTTTCGGATGGTGCCCAAAGTTCTGTACGCGTCGGACCACAAGCTCTTTTATATAACAACTACCGCCGACGAACCTTTTCCAATGTATCCTTCGCATAATAAGAGTGCGATTTCGCTTGTCTGTGTTATGCAGACTAATGTCTAGACCGCGTTACCGTACCTGCCATTTAGTTCATTATTCATGTTGAGACTACATTGCCATTTCCAGAATTAACCGTACTTGGCGTCCCTAGATACAAGACTACAACGAGTAAGCATATACATATTGTGCAAATACTTACATTCATATACAGGGTGATTATTTTAATATTAGCCACTCTCGATTTCTTTGAAGATAATAATTATTTTAAGTAAATTCTTTTTTTTGTTAAATTGTATATATTACCTAATTTATTAATTATTAACAACTTCCGAAACAGTATTTCGGAAGTTATTTTAAATATACTTATTATGTAAGCTAATTAAATATGTATATTGTCATTAAAAAAAAATTAAGTTGACTCCCTTATAAGATATAGAGATGAATGAAAAAAATATTTTAACAATTAATAAATCAAGAAATATATAAAACTAAAAAATAGCAAAAAAAATTTTTTTAACATAATTATTATTTTAAGAGATATGGAGTGGCTAATTTTCAAAAAATCACTCCGTATAATGCGTTTACGGGTGCACTTATTATAAAACGCTTCGACTCGTAACAATATCTTTGAAACCTCAGATGGTCTTTAAAATGTTCTATTATTGAAATTAACATCTTATTATTATACCTTCAAAAACTAAATTTATGATTATTTGCAATTACATTAAATTCACGAATTTCTAATGGCTTTTTAAGTTACACAGTAAACAGAAATACAATTTTAGGCTGACAAATTTCATATCAATTAGAAGTTTGAGTATCAAGATACTAAATTGATCATAGTTTAAGTTTTAGGGGTTGCTAAATTCAAAATTATTATTAAACTTTTAATTCATCATGTACAAAAAGGTCTTGGAGACGATTTTAGCATCCATACCAAGCTGTTAATTTTACTATTATATGTTTTTTTTTGTATCGCCATTTTTTCTCAGATCAATAAACCAAATTCTTTCAACGACACGTCAAAATATCTCAAATTATAACTAGTTTAAGACATTTTTTAAACTTTTATTTTCGATGCGAAACTGAGAAAATATTTACACTTAAAACTGCCATAATTTTTAACTACCATAATTAACATAAACAAGAAAATTTCGTAATTTTTTATTTTTATACTTTTGCATTTAAAATGATAATAACTTAGTTTTTCAATTATAAAACTGTTTTACAACACAATTTGTTTATAAAGACACGTTAACAATGATTCATACAATTGTGAAAAAATAAATAGGAAATTAAAAAATTAATAACAATCATAAAATAAAAAATGTCTAATTAATACACATATTAAAAAGCAAATATAATATTAAAAAAATTATGTTTTTATTATGAAAAGTATTAAAAAAAAAATAGATAGTGTTTAATTTCAAAAATGCACAGTTCATATATAAAAGTGTCAGTAATTCCGGAACACTTTCAAAAACCAAGTTAAAAAAATTCTACTTCTTAAATACATTTTTAAATTTTGAACCCCTCCTGTATAAAGGGAAATGATCCGATTTAAAAAAAACTATGTCGAATGAAAGAAGTATATAAATAATATTTTTCATAAGAACTTGTATTAATCCATACATTTTTCGAAAAGTTATAGAAATATAAAGTTAAAAATGTAAAATATAAAATCCAGAATTTTAACATAAAAATAGCACAAAATAGCATTTTCACCATAGATACAAAATAAAATCCGAAATTATTTTTTTCCATAATAAATTATATAATAATATTAATATTATTAATATTAATATTAGCTTTAATTTTTGATATATATAAAAAGTGTCAGTATTTCCGTAACACTTTAAAAAATCAAGTTGAAAAAGTTAATTTTTTGTGAAAAAATTGTCATTTTGAATGCTCTCCTGTAGGCATGTAAAGAGTCAGATTTATAAAAAAAATATACAAAATGATAGGTAATTGGCAGATCCATTGAACAATTTACTTCAACATCAACAACGCTCATGAACTGGTCGAAGTTTGTAACAATCCCTTTCATGGCGTTGGTCATGTTTGGAATTGAATTCCATAACTCTTCGTCAACTGCAAATACATTATTTTACTATTGATTATATGAAAACGTACTTTTGTTTTTTATTGTAGTTTTGAGAGCTAATGATTTCGCATTCAAACGAATATTTTTCACCCAGTTTTAAATTGTACGAGCATTCAGCACTTATTAATGACTGGAAAAAATGCTTGTATCGTTTTGACGAAGAAAATACACAGCGAATATTTGTTGGAGGGACAGTTAAATGTGAAATACGTGGTGGTGGTAGTTTATCATCTTCAGCGTTCAGTTCATTAATTTTTATGATTTTTGTTTCCGTTGTCTCAAAAAATCTACGGTAATCAATAAGTTTCAACAGTGTAATGGCGACAGCACAATACATTGCCATTGTCCTGATGAAGTCATTTTCTATAATGAAATAAATGCCACACCAAAATACGAGATGGTAAATTTTCCACACGTCCTTTGACTGCGTACTGGTAGCAAACTATGATCTTAAACGTATTTAATTAAAAATAACTTATGCACTCAGTATGAAGTTAGAATAATGAAAATTTTTCATGTTTTTATTTAATCTAAAAAAGACTAAATTATGAAAGTACTTCACTCTATTTATATGGAAAATTTTGTCTTATAGTGACCAGCAAAAAAATAAAAATGTATTCTTTTTGACCAACATCACTTTTTTAAGAAGCCAAAAAAGTATTTTAAATAACAACCAAGTTAAAAAAAAATTTTTTGATTTATTTTACAACAAACATGCAGTTTGATCGAGGCTTTAAATAATGCAAAACTAATCAAAACTTAGAGTAAAACAAGCTTTTCATATTAAAAAATATTCAATTCATAGAATTTATATAATTTAATTTTAGTATAATAAACACCCAGTAAAAAATGTTTGCTTATTTTTCTTCATAATATGAATTCCAATTAAATTAAGAGAATTTTTTAAATATTTTACTTATAAGTTTTTTTACACTAAGTTTTACTTCAGAAAGTCAACGAATTAGCAATATTATTAAAATAAAAAAACGCAGCACTGTAGGGTCGCGGTACAGTGGGGACGTGGCAAAGTTGATCCAGTATATATGATATATGCAGTGATTAAAATCACTATTATAAAAAACGCTTCGACGCAAATCAGTAGATATTTTGCAATTTTAAAAAATTGGTAATTTATTCTAAAAGCTTCATAATCTCCTATTTCCTTATTTATATCCTGATTATAAGTCTTATGATTTATAAGTGTAATATATGAATAAATATATATATATATATTAGGGTGTCCCTTATTTTGAAAATTCTTCGGGCTCACCCCACAAATTTGTGTGTATACATATAAAAAGAGGCTACAAAAAATTTCAGGCCGATCAGATAAGTTTAACCCGTGCCAACTTGGGGTTGAAAATCGGCCAAAAGGGGTACTTTTTTAGTTTTTAGCAATTAACTCGTAAATTAGCGCTCTCACAAAAAAAAAAATATTGAAACTAAATTGTAGATCTAATTGTTTTGTATAAATTAAGTCCTTAAAGTTTTTCTTTTAAATCCATTAGTTTTTTAGAAAAATGTCAAAATACATATTATTTTGTAAAATTATCGAAATTGTCATATTTACGAATATTTCATCATATATGACGAACCATATGTGATACGACCTAATGTTCCATACAAAAATTGTTTAAAATTAAATTTTACGAAATAATAGTCATAAGTACAAATTTCATTGAACAGATCGTTTTATTGCTATAGCTGAAATAACTCGATCATATTTCGATTTTTACTAAATATATGAATTTTATTGCTAGATTCTGTTAGTTATCATATGATACATTATAACACTTACGTGCAAGTACAGCGAAAATAATGGTATGACTGGATTAACGTATTGTTATTATTTTTAAATTATAAAGAACTCTGGAAATCTAATATAACATTACTTAAATTAACATTAATAAACATTTAATTTTTTATTTAGAATTTTAATTATTTGTTTCAATAGAATTATCAATCCATTGATTTTTAAGTCATCTAATGATTGAGCGAAATAGTTATAACAAACAATATCACTAATTTATCATATCCAGTCTCTTCTTCTTCTTCTTCCTCGCCTTAATCCCAACTACTTGGAGTCGGCCACCCCTATACCAAACTTCCACTTGATACGATCTCCTACATCATCTTCGCTCACATCAGCTGTCCTCATATCGCATTCAATAGCATCCCTTCATCTCTTTTTTGGTCTTCCTCTACCTCTTCTTCCTTCAAAATTAATTTCTATAACTGTCATTCAATGATATTCAGTCATTGACTGAATATCATTAAATAAACAAAAATTCAGTGCAATTCATTTTTTTACATCATTAGGGGGTATAAAAACTAAATAATTTTAGCTCTTTATGATTTTCATAAAAATGATACATATTCTTTAGTATAATTATAATCTTATTATAGATAGAAAGATTTCTACTGCTATTCAATTTTGACAGTTTTAATTTTAAACTAAAAATCTGTTAAACAATACTAATATTTCATTACTTAAAACTTGAGCAGCTATATTGTTCATAACTTAATTATCAAGCTATTATAATGCAATGTACTAAATAAAATCAATTTCAATTAATGAAACATTGAGATTTAACAATAAACTAGAACACAATAAAAATTCAAAATGAATACATTTATTAATTTTTGTAAATAATAACATTATATTAACTTGGTTGTAAAGAGGTTCTTAATAAATAGAATTTACAAATCAAAAAATATTTTACAACATCCATTGTTGGATATCGTCAAAAAGCTATTCATTAATATAATCTTAATAAAAATTATTATTTAAAAAAATTTAATTGTACACATTTTTATGATGTATACAAATGTAATTATAATAACTACAATTTAATCTAATGACAACATTACAAGTAATTAAAATTTGAATTAAGTCATATTGATTTATAGATTATAAATACATAATATATTATTTATTGAAATTTCCAAATTAGTAAAACAAAGTATACTTTATTTTTCTTCGTCTGATGAGGCATCTAAAAGAACACAATAATAAAATCAACATTATTTAACATACTTTTTTGTATTAAAATATTATAAGCTAATTATAAAACTATATTACAAGAGAACACTTAACATAAATGTATGAAACATGTCTCTTAGAATATTTTAAAAGTTATAATAATATAAAAATTATATAATACTCTATTCTACATAAATAATAATAATAATTTAGTATTTTTGAAATTCGAGTGAGGTTACATTTAGGGTATTCTCTGGGTAAAGGGATGAAAATTTAAAATAATCAACAAGTTACATGTTTTTTTTATCTTCTTACTTTAATAACAGCTTTTGACAAAATTAGCTTTAAAAAAAATATGGAGCATAGTTTTGTGAAATACAATAATAAATTATTTAATTAATAGTTTTGAAATATCAATTGTGAAAAATAATAAAAGAACTGAAAACTTTCATTTACACTTTTCTAAAAACCAACATTGTTCATATATGCTATTTGTTTGGAGAACTTCTCAATTATTATCAATAACTGTTTTGATGGATATCAGTAGTCAATAAATTATTAGAAGATATGACTATGCAAGCAAATATTTTTTAACATAAGTTAAAAATGATAAGTTTTTAATATTATATAGAAATTTTACCTTAAATTTTCAATTAAAGAAATTCTTGAGAAAGAATATTTTTAAATAACTACTTGAAAATAATACAATTTAATCTATACTTTTTTAAAAAAAATATATTATACAAGGTTTATTAACTATGCTTCATACAATATCTTAAGTATAATATATATTAAAATTTTTTTTTTTATAATTTAATAGTATCTTATGTTTTATAAATCTCAAAAAAGGATTTGGTTCTATCCCTCATTTTCTTTTTCTTAGATTATTTCCTTATTTTTTAGCTAATTAAACATATAAATATGTTAAATTAAAACTGTGGTTTATTGTTATTTGGGAAAAAATTTCAAAATCAGCATTTTCATAGGAAGAGGTTTCACATCCTACATATAAATGTCTTCAATCAATAATAATAGATAAAAATCATTAAGATATAATTGTATTCCACAAAAATTTATTTTATATCACAAAACTGAAAGTTAACAATTCTAGCTTAAATAAAATAATAAAAGAAATAAATGAGATATATAATTTATTTCTATCAAATAGCTTGTTTTTTCTCAATAGTTATGACAAAATAAAAATAATTATAATGGTATTTACCTTTAGCAAAATGTATACGGTTTGTTTTTATAGGCATATTAGTTTTACTGCCAAAATTAAATTTAATTTTCGAAGGTTTAATAGCAATGTTTATATTTGGTTGAGCCAGAGGAGCAACATTTGTTTGGAATCCTAGACCCATTTTTTCATCTCGTATATCCAACCCAATCTAAATACAAAATTTGAATGAAGTAAAATATGTTAATATTAATAAATTATTTTATATCACACTACTGATTAAAATGTGAATAAAGTTTTTAGACATATCCAAAAAATGTTGATTTTTTTAAATCTTTGGAAATTATATTGATTGATTATTTGTTTTTTTCAATTCACTTTTTATTATTCACTTATTTAATCTCCATTTCCCTAAAATGTTTGTTTTTCCAAACTGATTTTAGACACTATTAATTACAATTTACTGAGAAAATGTTTTTAATAAAATCACCTTATTTTTTAAATAAATATCATAATAAACTACAAAAATATCATGTTTTTTCAGTAGTGTCACTTTTTAAGTAGGAGTGTGATACATAGAAAAGTTTATACAATACAAATATTTAATATTTTTTCAAAAGCAAACATTTAAAATACTAGGAAACAAAATATAATGAAATAAACATTATAATGTGGTATGAGTAATTATTTCAATAGAAACACAGTATACTTAATTTATTTATTTAACGATTAATACAAATTAAACAAAATAATAAAATACATTTTTAACCATCATAAAATATTTCTATTAAATACTTACAGGTTCTTTAATACCAGAATTATTAGCTCCTAAAGATTTACCAGGTGTCCATCCCATATTTTCCAACAATTTGAAACCTTTATTTTTAGTTGGTATAGGTCTGAAAAAAACCATTAATTAGCCATTATCAAATAACAAATTTTATAGATTATTATATAGATTATTTTAAAAATACATTAATTAATGTTTTATTTAAAACACAATTCCTCAATATAACATAGCATTTACTCAGTGGAAACATTACACATAGTATTCTGTAATTAAATAAAAACTATAAAGTTTTATTGTTTTTAATCAAAAATTGTACAAGATATTATTAGGATAAGCATATAAAAACTCATTTTTAATAAATGAAATTAATAATTTCAAATATGTCACTTGTCAAATTTAAATTTGATTTGATAATCAATAAAAATTGAATAGCATACATAAAATTGAAATTAAATATACCACAAGAACGATTTAGTATTAAGTCATTTTGTAAAATATATATATATATTGACTCTGTGAAAAATTAATTTTTAAGTCAATTTAAATTTTCTTTTCAAATCATATTTTAAACATGTTACAGTTGTCATATGTACAGTGATTCTTTTAACACTAACCAAAAATTTAAGTGGGAGTATAGTAATCATATGGTTACGATGACTTCACTTTAATCACTAAAAGAATCACACTGTATGTATTGATTGGCTTATATTATTAACTGTCTTCTTTTTCTGATATTATGTTAATTATTTGTATTACATATTTGATTTATTAAATATTCAGATGTTTTCTATACATTTCTTTTAAGTTTATAGTAAAAAATTATTTGATATATTTAATCAAATTTATTAGTAATTTATGCTTTATAATCAACTTAATGTTCAAATGTACTTTATTCCCTTTGAACTTTTTTCACACTGAAAGCACATGAGACTTGTAAGCCATAGGTCTGAAGCGGAGCCTTGATAGGCGAAGATTAGCATAATATAAATCTACAAAAATATTTTTATTTTTCAAAAATTTCTTACTGAGAAACACAAGCTACTTCTGTTTTTTCATTGGCATTTTGAGAACCAACAGTTTTTCTTCTTTTTTCAGCTCTGTCTTTATATCCCTTAGGTAACACAGCATCAGGTGGTTCACATCCAAGCAAACCATATTTTTCTTTTAAGCTTTTTAGTTCTTCATCATATTTTCGTTTTTGAGAAATATCACTTTTAATGCCTTCAACACAAAATAAAATAATTATTTAAAGATTAGTTATTAGACAAATTAATGAAGTAATTATGTAAAAAATATTTTTATTTATTTGAATTATTAATACAAATGAAGTATTATTTAAGAATTATATTTATTTTATTATTATTAATATTTATATTTTACATTCTCTCATAAAAGCTATTGCTAATGTTAAACAGTAAAACCTACACAGTCCAATATAGTGGAATTAAACTTTGGTACCTATTCAACAAGATATAACACATTCCCACCTAAGCAAAGTAAATTTTTGTTAAATAGTACAATAATTTTTTTCTTACTCTCTTCCGGTAGTATAATAGCTTGAATTCCTGGCTCACATAAATTACAAGTTTCAGATCCATCATGTATATGACATAACAATTTAGTATCACCAACAACAAGTTCATTGCCATGTGTTAAATGTTTTGGTTCACCAGAAGAACTTCTTGGAATTTTTTTACCATTCAAATAGGTACCATTTGTACTTCCTTTGTCTTTTATAATATAGTGTCCCCTGCCAACTTTATTAACATTACCAACAAATGATATTTCGGCATGTAACTAAAAAAACAAATATAGAAATATTAAATTGATTTTAAATATTGAGATCATGAGATATTTCTTGATTGTCAACCAGAAAGTTGATTTGACACCAGTCAACTACAGTTGAACTGATGTATACTAAGTTTGGATGTAGGGTTTTCTCATTATCTTCAGGTTTTATGATGCATTTGTCTCTGTAAAAACTCACATCCATAAGCCTATAGCAACATGTATGGTTTAACACTAGAGCTTTTAAACAATTAGTGTGTTCACTGTACTACACCATTCTTCATGAGATGATATAAAATTATAATTTTCTTAGTAACATTAAAGGTATACTTGTGGATACAACATATAAAGTAAAAATTAAAATCTATATTTACTGTCAAAAATGTTTAAATTAGTCAAAAATATTTTTCCAACATCATAATCTAAAATAATTATTTATAATGTACTAATAAATACATAATTTTTATTTGATATTATTTTTTTAACACAGTACTATAGTATTAGATAAATACCTTGCTGACATTATCATCTGGTATAACAATATCTCTATTGGTTGAACGACCAATTGAACCGCCAGGACATGTGATTAAAAATAGTTGGCCAATTAACTGCTTACATGATTTTGATTCAGTAACTATAACACGAATACATGGTGGCCACCCAACAACTTCTATAATAATAAAATTACAACTATTAAAAAAATTAATTTGATAAACACAAAAAAAAAATACTAACTAGATTTTATTAGTTTAGTCTGTGTATCAGATAGCTGTGCCTTTACTTCTTTATATGATTTCCAATTAGAATTTTTGTCATCTCTCTTATTAAAACATAAATATTGTTCAATACGCTCCCAAATATAGCTTTCATACTGAACAATTTCCGCTTCAATAGTAGTCAGTTGATGCTTTAGTGTATACCAATTTCTTATTTGAGCATATTGTTTTGCTTTACTCTGTAAATTAATTGTAAATATAATTGTATGCCAAATTTTCAAATGGCTTACCGATATGGTTTACCCCATCAGGTGTTAATTTATGTACAATATTCTTAGGTGCAGGTAAAAGTTTGGTGTACTGGATTAAGTTCAAATATCTTTTATCTAAAATCTAAAAACAAAATTTGTAACTGAAATAATTAGGTATATTAATAGTTATTTACTTCACAAGTTGAAGGTGGAGAAATACATTCTTCAGATTTTTCATTTACATTTTCTACCTTAATTTCTGGCTTAACAATTTCTTTAGTTTCATCACACTTAGTTTCACTCACATTATTTTCAACGTCAGTTTTATGTTCTATCTCTTCTGATACTACTACTTCTTCTTTAATAACTAAATTACCACTATCTTCTGAATTATCAGAATCACTATCATCAATTTCAGATAAGTGATTACAACTTTCATTTTTAGCTATATTTGACTGTTCAGTATCAGGATGAACTTGTGAATGCAATCTATATTTTTGTGCAATTATGTCAAAATAATAATAACATCCTTTGTTACCATCATAAAATAATCCATTATCCTATAATTTTGAAATTTTACTTTATTGAAAATAAATAATTTTCAATAAAAATAAAACCATTGACTTACTAGATTATAATAATAACCAGTAACTTGATCATAATACATTCCAGTTGTTTCCTCTAACAAAAAACGATTTATTCCAAAATTATTTTGTTCTGTAGATTTTTCTTCATCTTCACTACATTCTCCTTCTTCCTTTATTTCCACTGGTTTATTTTCGATGATTTCATCTTTCACAATCTCAATTTTAACATCAGGCATTAATTTTTCAACCTGAAATTTTTTTTAATACAAATTAACTATTAGTTTTTCAAATACTTTTTAAAACTATTTCAAATGCAAATTCTACTATTTAAAAAATATGAACATACATGAGTTTCTTTATCATGAAAATCAGTAATGTTATTTAAAGTGTCAAATATTCCCTCTTTAAAATCTTCAGTTTGGACACTAATATCACTTTTTGGTATATTTTTTATTTTTTGCATCTAAAAAATTGACATTAATATATAACATAAATCATTAAATTTTAGATTAAGGTTAATTTTTTGAATGGTAGTGCTGCTATAATGAAGCAAATTAAGGATAAAAAATAACAAAATATCCTAATATACTTATGGATTCATTTTAATAATAATGGTATTGCTTAATTACATTATCGTAGCTTTTAATACTTAATTAGACATTTTTCAATAAACAAGATGGAATTAATCTAATTGAAAACTTCTAACTAATTGATAACAATTGATATAATTAAAATATCACTGTACATTTTTTTTTAATATGCATAGTATGAGATTATGTAAAAATCATATTTTTTAACATTTAATTTTATTAATAAAAAAATTACTTTATTTATTTTACTATTAAAAATAAATAATACAAAATATGCTTTTAACATAGTTTATAAAATGGGGTGAACTTAGAGGGTTTCATTAGGGGAGTATGGACTGTGAAGTGAAATTTGACAACTAAATTATCTCAATGAATAAAAACACTCATAATATATTCTAAAAATACTGATAACTAATTTAGATTAAGGAACAACATGCATAGCTGCAAATCTGTAATATTGTCCTGTAAAACATTGCACTCTGAATTCACCATCAAAGCATGTGTGACAATTATCTCCGAAGCAAAGCTGAAAGGTATTAATTTTATCATGATGTATATATATATATTATTCTTAACATTACCATTAGAACTATTTCTTTTAAATTTTAAATTAACATATCTTTAAAAATATAGCAGCTATGAAAATTATGTTAATATCAGCTTATTCAGCGTCTTTTTTTGAAGTCAGCGTCTTTGAAGTGAGTGCTATAACCCGAAGACAACTGGACATGAAAGGCTTAGGCCCTTCAGATTTATCTTAAGCCAGACTAAGATATAAAACTTTTCAAACATATAATATTATTTAGTTATATAAAATTAATGATGCTACATTAATGAGCTTGACCAGTTCAAACCTTTTCTTTATACCAATTATTGTTGTATCAAAAATTGTTTAATTAAAAAAAAATTAATATTTTACAAAGTAATTTTATTTAATTATTATACGTCCATATTTTACATAATATCAATGTAACCGTTTAGTAGTTGATTATGATACTATGAAAATATTGAAATGATACTATATAAATATAATATATACATATTTATGAGTTTTCACTGAGTAAGCTTTTGAGTACTATTAAGCTATGTATTTCATAAGACCCTAAATAAACATTAAATGGCTAAATATATATGATTAACATATGATTTTAACACATAAGCTTATGATTAAAAGGTCACGTATTATATCAATCTTGACCTCATGTTGCCAAACCCGTTAAAACCTACACAGAAACACTTAAATTAGAAGTCCTACCCCACCCACCATATTCTCCAGATATTGTGCTGTCTGATTATTACTTGTTCCGTTCAATGGCACATGGTCTGGCTGATTAGTAGTTCTGATTATATGAAAACACTGAAAAATGGCTTGATTCGTAGATAGACTCAAAAGAAAAACACTTTTACCAAAATAATATTCGAGCACTTCCAGAAAGATGAGAGAAAGTTGAAGCAATCAATAGGCAATACTTTGAATAATAAATATATGTAAATATTTTTTCACAATAAAGTTGCATTTTTATAAAAAAAAAAAAACAGAACTTAGTTGCTAACCAAATATGTACATTAAACATTTAATATTTCCATAACTTTAATTGAAGATTTATGTATAGAAACAAATTAATTATATTTTTTCCAAAATCAGATATTGGTTGTTCTTAACAAAAATCTAATTATAAGTACATCATTCCAAGAAATAAATATTAATTATAATTTCTAGTTTTTTTAGCTTTCTGAAAAATGAAGTTACCTTGTTTTACCAAAAGTCTCTTCAATTTTTGTAACATTATTGACTGTATAGAATATTTAGTATGTTTAAGCTACATATAGTTACAAGTTACATACAAGTTCCCAACAGGTTTAAATAATTTTTACTTTGTTATAAAAAATGGCTATTTTGAAATATCCAAAAACTAAAAATAATTTTAAAAATTCATTTTATTTTAAATAAATAACAAAAAACATATTTATAACATAATCCAATACTGTAAAAATTAAAATTAAAAGTAACACAAAATGTTTACTGGAACAAGTTATTCAATATATCAAAACCACCTTGTGAAATATCTTCTATCTATGAAAATATAAATACCTTTAAATTCATCAAACTAGAGTTCTTTAATTTTGCCAGCAAAACTTGTTGGCGTTGTAACATTTTCAAAGCATTCTTTAAATAATCATAAACTTCAGGATAATCTCGTTGAAGTAAATCCCTAAAAGGAACTTCTGATTCTGCCGTCATGATTAAAATCTAGCACAACAATGAAGGTAACACAAACATTTAATTGAAAGCAAAAAGTATAAAAAAATTTTATTTAAACGGTTGATTATTCTTAGTCGAAAAACTTAATAACAACAATAAATAATAAAAATTAATTATAATCAAAGTAGTTTATTGTTTAATGTTTAATTATAACTACGGCAGAACGAATAATTAAAGAAAAATTGTTATACCTTCAATTGTGGTAGAAGTTATGGAAGTTTTAGAGAATGATAATAATTCGATTATAGAAATTGATCAGTTGTAACAATTTTTTTTTTTTTTTTGTAACACCCTGAATTCTAATAACTATATTTTATTTCAATTTTGTAAAATTAATCATGAGAAATTACAATAAAATATTTCTAAAATGATTTTTTAATTAATTTTTTCGAAAAAAAGTTACTTTATAACAGCTGAAAAGAGGCTGGAACCCATGCAAAGACTTAAATATCATCAGTTATCAAAGTCCTTCAAATCAGTGATAACTGTAATTCACCTAGTACATTTTCTGAAGAACGATTTAGTGTTTTTGGAATAAATTTATCGGTTAACACGTACTGAAAACAACATAATGGTTGTAAGTAACGATACTGAATTACCAACTTATGAAGAGTTGACAGTTGAAGAGGTACCAATTAGTACTCCAGGTCTTCGAGCTGCTGCTCATCATTTAGGTTTTTTTATAACTTCCATTCAAATAAATATATTAAATTAGAAAAATTTTATAATACGACTATTTTTATTAATATTCAGGTAAATATTGTCTGGATGTTAATGATGATTTCATGATGTGTAAACAAGAAAATAATGATCCTCGAAAATGCATAGCAGAAGGAAAAGCAGTAACCAGTTGTGCTCTTAAATTTTTTAGACAACTAAAAGGTAGTTGTTATGATGAGTTCCAAATATATAGTAATTGTATTGACAAATCGAGCAGTCGTCTTGATTTTGAACCATGTCGTCAAACTCAAGCTGTATATGATAAATGTGTATTTGAAAAAATGGGTATTGAAAGACCCGAGCATGGATTTTTCTGCAAAGCTCGAGTTTATACTGGTAGCCAGCCTAAACCACCTCCAGAAGAACCACAAGTTTTTGGAGACTTACCTTATGGTATCAAAGATTTCAAAGAAGAAGAAAGACCACCTGCAAAATATGGATTACGTTATTGGTGGGTCAAGTAATTTGGATGTTCATTATGCATCAAAAATTCAATGTTATTAGTGTTCTTAATTTTAATAAAAAGGAAAAAAATTGATTACGTAATTACTTTGCAATTTCATTTGGTAGAAATTTATAACATAAATTAAAATTATAATTATTATTAGAATTGTATAGAGATTAATTTTTTATTAACCCTATATAATATACTAAGAATACAGATTTAATAATATGAATATATTAAATTATATGATAACAATATACAATATAAAATAATGTACAAAAATTAATTTTTTTTAATCAAATCAGAGGAGTTTCAGATATATCTAAAATGTTAAATGTAAATTCAACTGGTCGGACTGATCCAAAAAAATCAGTTATAGGAACTTTGGCAGGATCTCTGTGAAATAAGTCTGTTCGTACTCCAACTGTAGATATACAATCTTGTTTAGGACAAACACCAAGCTAAAACATTAATAAATATATTGTCATAATAAAATATAGAAGTAATAAATTATTTTTAAATAACTTACAAAACTTTTCATACTGATACGACTATTTAGTTTGACATTTTCTAAAAATTTTAATGCATAAAAAGTATATCGATCAATGATATACACTCCAATGGCTGGATCAACATGATGCTGTAGTAGTAAAAAAATAACAGTTTAAAAATATAAACAATTTTTCATTAAATATTAAAGTGTTAAACATATATTTTAAATTGAAGTCTAAAAGTTAGATTTTTTTTTATATAATATTTTTAAAATAAAAAAACATTAAATGAAATTAATTTAAACTTTAATATGTAAAATGTAAGACTAGACTACTTATACGCATCCAACTTAATTAAATTAAAATGTTATACTCCTACGCAAGTAAGTGTATTGATTGTCAGTTATTAGCTACGTTGGACCAAAAATATTAAGGTACTTTTGTAGTAGTGCAAATGGAGTAGGTTTCTGGAGTAGGTTTGAATGGTATATGCAATCTTGGATAAATTTTGTATTTAAGTTATTTATAGTATAAATACAAACTTAAAATTGTATTCAAAAACATTACATTTCAAACAATGTGTTAGCTTATCACTAACACACTTTCTATAATATAATATTTATATACACATAATTATAAATGTATGATATGCATTTTGGAAGAATCAGGTGAACAACGTTATGCAAAAAGTAACCACACAACAAGATTTTATTTTATATATAAAAAAATGTCTTATAATATATTTTGAAATTTTAACTAAGTAAATATTCAATTCTATATCACTTTAAAATTATTATTAAATAGTAACTTGAATAATTAAATTCCTAGCGGCCTCTCCCAGAGGAGGAGGTTTTATTAACCATTTATACTCCAGGACGGGTTAGTCCATGACCAGAGATAGGAGAATGGTGATTCCAACTACCAAACAGATCTTTCGGCAAATGAAGCCACCCGTGACCGAGTTTTGAACCCGACGCATTGCGCACCAAGCACTGCCGCGTTACCGACTCGCCCACACCGTACTCTAAAGAATGTTTTAAATTTTAAAATCGTTACCCACCTCACAAGAATTTTTTTTGCTCGGAGTTATTAGAACTAATAAATATTAGATTATTAAAAGGAAAATTATCCTTCCATAATTGAGAAAAAATGTTAAATGGTATCCAAAAAATTTTAACGAATATGTAAATAGTTTGCACATTTGCTACATGAGGTTTTTAAACAAATAACGACTGATAATAGACTTGTATTGCACTGTAATTGATCCAGTTATTATTAAATGTAGGATTCATCTATTGAAATCTATTGAATAAAAATTAATATTTAGATTATAGAGTTTTAGCAACTATTTTTCTTATTTATTATTTCATTTTATTTTTTTTTAAGTTTTTTTATCATAATAAAATATATTTAATTTTTTAAAAGTTATAACATATTAAAGATACCATCCCATAAGAAATGTATGATTGTCATTGTGAAAATAGAATCCGGAACACATACATCTATTTAATATTAACTATAAATTAACAATGGAAAATCTGAAAAAAAAAATTTCACCACCAAAATATTTGTTTTTTTTTTTGCATTTTTTTTTGGATAGTTCATAAGCTAACCATTAACTTTTTTTGGTAATCGAGTAGATGCCCAAATGGAATTTGAGAATTTTTTTTTTTATAAAAAAGTAAACAAAGTTTACAAATTTACAAACTACTAAATGTTAAATAAGTAAATATGATGTCTCTACAACAGAGAATACTTACTGAGAGTGAATCTTCTCCCACCAAACTACTGGCCATGGCCAAAATATTTGGAGAGTAAAACTTTTCATACATTGAAGAGGCCTGACAAGTATCAATCATGAAAAATATTTCATGATACCTATAAAAAAAATGTAAATTAATTAAAAAATATTGATTAAATATTTAAAATAAAATGTATTCAATTTTAAATCTACCTTCTTTTTTGCCACATTTGCTCAAGAGCATCAGCTAATTCTTGACTAGTAACTTCTTCAGAGTCTTGAAATTTTAAAAAACCATCTCCACCATGCCCCGTAAGATATATTAATATATTGCTACCTTCATCTGTTAATAACTGTTTAGAACGTGGAGTTTCAGGTGGCAAACGACCAGTTAGTAATCTAACAAAGTTCTCAACAGTAACCTTGAATTTAAAACTTATAAATAATGTATTTAAAAAAATATTTATAGAAAAATTAACCTCATAGCCTCTAAAATCAACTTCAACATCATCACCATAAACATTAAGCTGTTGGTCTGCATTGTTATACACAGTTGCAGGACTGGGATTCCGAGGATTGCAAGCCATATCATCAGCAACCATTAATATAATTTGACTGATAAAATAAAAAACATTGATCTAATTAAGGGTGTTTCATTTTGTTAAAATTATTCCACTCTATATAAAGCAGTTATTAAAATACCTATCTGGAATTCCTAAACGCTTCACACTTCTATAAATTGACAAGACATTCGCTACATGCCTGTAATTAAACCAAAATCTAGAAGTATCTACAAGTACAGCCCAATTATTTGAATGATTTCCCTATTAAAAACAAATGGGTGTAACTATATTTATACATTATATAACATTATTATAATTACCTCTATAAAACGTGCATAATAAATAATAAAAACAAAAGTTATGGTTAAGCTTAAATTTGAAAAATGCATTTTCAATAGAAAATTTGAGGACCCTAGGATTTACAGTCTAAATCATTTTAAAATTTCACTTTTAAGTAAACCGAATGCTATAGATATGTATAATGAAGAACAAATAATTGATAACATAATGTACGTTATCAATTATATAGCCGGTCAATTATTCGTTAGTAAGAATTCTTATTATTATATTACAATATGTGTAAGTTTCTAAAAAAAATACTATCTAAAAAGATAAACTGAATTTTTGGAGGATTTAAAATCTCCATACCACAGGAATGGAAAATAAATCTTGAGTATGCCTCTTATCTTCGACGGACATACAAAGTTTTTAAAAAGTGCCGACCACCTTAATTGTCCTATCAGTTTTTTACTCATTAGCTTATACTGCATTCTTATTAAGACAATAAGCTAAAATATGTCTTAACGAATTTTAACTTCTAGCTTAATAATTATAATACATATAGTATACCTATAATTTTAATTTAATATAAGAAACCTGGTCAGTGTTAAGTAAAGAATTTTTTTCTAATGATGCTCTAACATTGATACAAACAAAAAAATTTTTTGTCATATTTTCATAAAATTATTAAAATATTAATTATTTAAAAAGGTCAAAACTTATGAAGCCACCCCATGGCAAAATTTTAAATACAACCATGATTATTTTGCTAATTTAAACAAAATTCCAATTAAAACATTACTTAAATAATGTATAAAGAAAAACCCAGCACAGGGGTGTCGCGGCACAGTGGTGCCGTGGTATAGTTGGATCAAGTATAATGATATCTGACATTGATTAAAATAAACGCTTCGATGCAAATCTTTAGATTGTGTTTAATTTTAAAAAAATTGGTGTATTATTCCAAAAGCTACATGATCTGCTAGTTCCTTATTAATATCTTGATTAAGATAAAGTATGTCGAATGAAAAAGGGATTATTAAAAAATATTATTTCTCATAAAAAAATTGTGTTGATCCATACACTTTTCAATAAGTTATAGCATTATAAAATAAAAAATGTAAATTATAAAATCGAGAATTTTCACACAAAAATTGAATTCAGTAGACANTAAAAAATATAAATTATAAAATCGAGAATTTTCACACAAAAATTGAATTCAGTAGACATTTTCACCATGAAGACAAGTCCAGGGGTCAATTTTTTTTTTTTCATGATAAAGTATATTACATTAGCTTTAATTTAAGATATATATAAAAGTGTCAGACCTTCCGGAACATTTTCAAAAGTTAAGTTGAAAAAGTTAATTTTTTGTAAAAAAGTTGTCATTTTAAATCCCCCCCTGTGGGCAGAAAAAGGATCAGATTTACAAAAAAAATATACCAAATGATAGGAAAAGACATCAAGCATCTATAAAAAAAAAATTATATTCATATGTTTATTTTTGAAAAAGTTACGGCAGTTTTTAGTAAAAAAAATTGAAAAATTTTCGATAATTAACGATTTTTAAATTTGTAATTTTTTTGGAGGTTTCCCACATTTACGGGGAACGAGGGAAATTATTTCAATTTTGAAGGGTAATGTCTTCGACTAGATACGATTTGTGATCTTTTGACGTATCGTTGAAAGAAATCCGTTCGGTGAGAGCTGAGAAAAAGTGGTAACAGACACANATGAGAGCTGAGAAAAAGCGGTAACAGACACAAAAAAAAATAAAAAAAAAAAACACATCATAGTAAAACCAATACCTTCTCAGATTCGCATCGAAGCTAAAATTTGTTTATTGCTCTTTCATAAACGTCACTAACAAAAATAAACAAGGACATTTCGTAGTCTTTTATTTGAAAATAATGAATTTTTTATTTTTTATATTTATGCATTTAAAATGATTAATAACTTGAAAATGAACGAAACATACTAGTATTATTGTGAAAAATAGGGTCGGGCGCTAAATATACGAAAAATATGGCACAAAGCGCCCACGCATTTATCACAATAATACTAGTATTTTTCGTTCATTATTGTTTTAAGCTTGACTTTTAACTTTTTAGTTCGATGTTCTTTAAAAACGTGTTTTTTTTAACTATATTTATTTTACACTTTTTAGTTTCATATGTTATGATAGTAGTTACTATGTTAAAATATTTAGTGTGTTAAAATAATCAGTGCAAAATATTATTTTTAACCTATTTTTTTGGTTTCCCAAAGTTGATTTTTTGAAAGTTTATAATAAAAAAAAAAGTTAATAAATTAATAACATTATTAATAATAATATCAATAAATTGATAAATAATGAGTATTTACATAAAAAATAATAATTAAAACAAAAAAATATTTCTTTATAAATTATTACAGATTTTGATTTTTAATGTGTTAAAAATAATGAAAATGACATATTTATCGTTTTTTTAATTCTTTAAAGTTGATTTTTGTGAAAGTTAATAGTAAAAAAAGTTACAATAACTTTTAGTTCAACATCAAGTTTGAAATTTACATTATTAAATAGATAATTTTATGAGAATTAAAAAAATGTTATTGTTAAGATTAATATACAGTCAGGAAATTTTATAATTACTATTAACTGTAAATTTATCAGAAAAGCTCAATATTTTTTTTACATTCTTATTGTAATAGATCACTTAAATAGAAATCATATTTATCATTTCTAAGTAACTTTTAGGGTTTAAAAAGATTCTACAATTGAAATATCCAGAACTTAATTAATTTTAATAATATACTTTAACTAAAAAAATCATTTTTAACTAGATAATAGTTATGATAATTTGATCTATCGTTAAAAAAAGTTGATCAAGTGAGCGCTGAAAAAATAAATGAGAGCCCTAAAGAAAAATCATATAGTAAAATAATTTTAATATGAATAATAAATTTCTTCAAAAAAGGAAATACAATAGTGATGGAGTCCTTGATATTCATTAAAGTTATTGAATCTAAATGAGACAAAAATCAAATGAGTTAAAAAAAATTTTTCTAACTCAAAAACTTTTGTAAGGTATTTTAAAATAAAATAAATTACAAAATCAAGAATTTTAACACAAAAATAGCATATTTTTGAATACGGTAGCCATTTTCACCATGAACACAAAATAAAGTTCAAATTTGATTTATATCCATAATAAAGTATATTATATAAGCTTTAATTTAAGATATATATTAAAGTATCAGTATTTCAATAACATTTTCAATAGTTAAATTAACTTTCTATGCTATATCAATTTTATTTATATAATATTTATGAAAATCTGTGTACTCCCCTTGTCAGGTATTTTTAAATAAAGTAAAATACAAAACCCAGAATTTTAACACAAGAATAGCATATTTTTGAATACAGTAGTCATTTTGACCATGAAGACAAATCCAGATGTCAAATTTTTTTTTTCAAATTAAAGTATATTACATAAGGTTTATTTTAAGATATACATAAAAGTGTTAGTATTTCTGGAACATTTTAAAAATTAAATTGAATATGTCCCAGTTTCAATACGCATGTTTAAAGTTTTGACCCCCCTCGTATAAAGTGGTATGATCCGGATTTACAAAAAAAGTGTCAGATGAAAGGGTATATAAAAATTTATTATAAATAAATAATAATATTGATCCATACATTTTTCCAAAAGTTATAGCAATATAAATTTAATAATATAAAATCGAGAATTTTTTCACGTAAATCGTACGTTTTTCTTTAACTTTGATGTCCGTTTTCACCACGAAGACAAGTCCAGAGGTCAAATTTTTTTTTCAAATTTAAGTATATTACATATGCTTTAATTTAAGGTATATATAAAAGTGTCAGTATTTCCGGAACATTTTCAAAAGTTAGGTTGAAAAGTTCTACTTTCTATATGCATTTTTAAAGGTTTGAACCCTCTGTATAAATGAAATGGTCCGATTTAAAAAAAAAAGTATGTCGAATGAAAGAGGTATATATAAGTTCTTTATCATTAAATATAAAATTGATTCATTCTTTTTTTAAAAAGTTATAACAACATAATATTAAAAACTGTATGAAGAATTTTTTCACAAAAATGGCATATTTTTGCATACGATAGTCATCTTCACCATGAAGTCCAGAGGTCAAATTAATTTTTTCATATTAAAGTATATTACATAAACTTTAATTTAAGGTACATATAAAAGTGTCAGTCTTTCCGGAACATTTTGAAAAGTTAAGTTGAAAAAGTTACCATTTTTAAAATCTTCCTGTGGGCTGGTAAAGAGTCAGATTTATAAAAAATATATACCAAATGATAGGTAAAGACATCATGAATTAAAAAAAAAAATTGTATTGATTCGGTCATTTTTAAAAAAGTTATGACAGTTATAAGTAAAAAAAATTGAAAAAAATGTTGAAAATTAGCAATTTATAAATTTGTAATTTTTGGTAAATTCCCCCCGTTTACGGGAAATGAGGGAATTTTTTCAATTTTTGAGGGTAATGTCTTCGGCTAGATACAATTTGTGATCTTTTGACGTATTGTTCATCAAAATTGGTCTAGCGAGAGCTGAGATTGAGCGTTCATAGACACACAAAAAAACACATCATAATAAAATTAATACCTTATCAGCTTCGCATCGAAGCTATAAAAATACTGATATGTAGAAAACGACCTCTTTTACACATATTTTTTGTTTATTAGGTGCTACACATATACAGAATCTTCTTTTTCTCTCTCACCTTTATTCTTACAACGAGGACCATAAACCTCCACTTAATACTATATTTTAGTCATCTGTATATACACCAGTAGTCCTTTTATAACTCCAAATTTTACCTTTCTTTCGGTTTTCCTCTCGTTTTCAATGTTCATTTTCAATACTGTTCTTACATTTTTCGATTTCTCCATACAACATGATTAATCCATCTAAGCCTATTTTCATTCATCTTATTCACGATCGACACTACTCCCGTAATTTCTGTTACATATTCATTCCTTTCATACAGAATGATTGACATTTATAAACCCAATATTTCATATACAGTGGGTTCAATAAATGTATGATAATCCAATAAATACAAAGGTTAAGTTTATTTCGTTCAAACATAAGTTAAGACGTTAATGTAAAATTTCATTTTACATATAAAAATGTAATAACTTGCAAATCATACATTTAGTTATTGTTTTATACGAGGCAACTAGACTGTTGGACGGCTAGCTGTGCACCGCACTAGAATACCGTTTTACCTTAAGTCTGTTTAAATCGCTATTATTGAAGCGGGAATGGGTCACCTGGAGGATGACGGTTAACTGTACATCAATAAGTAACGAAAACACAATAAATAAATAACAAATAACCTCATATATTAGAAGTTCTTCAAAGAGTATCTTAAATTTAAGGGGTAACAAGGGCCCTTAAATATTAATGGCCGGCGATGCGGCATAATACAAAATAATTAATTCGTTTTTGCTTGGAGGCTTTTTGTCGGTTCGCTTATTGTCGTGATCCTATTTTCATTCTATATTGATAAGAAAACTATAATCTTATAGGTTATATTTACAATTAAGAAAATTCCGGTTGTCATTTTCGTAAGTATTGTATTGCAATTTTTGATATTTTGTGTGATTTAATGGAAATAAAGATTTTTGATATTCTTAGTGATATTTATTACATGAATTGTAATCTTACTACTATATTCGAATATTAACAAATAAATAAAGTTATAAGAGAAATAAAATACTATATTTTTATTTATTACAAATTTAAATTATTTCAAATTTTTAGCGATTCTCCAACATTAAATATGGATAGTACTACAAAATCAATACTAGAAAATTACGATGCCCGTGTTCCGAAGGATAACGATCGTGTGTATAAAGATGAATGTCTTTACTCATATGATTCTCCAGTATGATTTGTTTAACTAATTATTTTCTAGACTGTTTTATGTGCACTAATGAAATTATGTAATTTTAATATATTTTCCTCTGTAAATATTTTAGACTTTATTTATTCAATTTTAATAATGTATTAATTTAAATTCTGTTCAAAATATGTGAATTGATAAAAAAACATTTTATTTACAAGGACAAACCAAAGGGGATTGCCTCTTAAAAACAAATTTTCCCAACATTTTTCTTCATCGGCAGTATTTTATTCATACGATTATATTTTTAATTTTAAAATGTTGCTTAAATATTTAATGTGAATTTTATATTTAAATTTTATGTTATTTTTAACTTTATTTCAATAATAAATATTAAATTCATCATTAAATTAGATTTTTATGAACTTAAATAATATTATTGTGGTTTTCCTCCAAAAAATTAACTTACCTTTATTTACCCCTTGGACTTCTGATTCTGGCATGTTTATTTATTACATGTTAATAGTGCCAAATTAATCAATATCTTATTATATTGATTAATTTGGCACTATTTTAATCTAAGTAGTAGTAATATATATTATTACTATTTTTTCAGGATTTTGAGACTGGACTTTATATTTGTTTAAAAACGTTTGTGGGACTTGGTCGAGACTATGTTGAACAATACTACAAAAAATCTGGATGTTCAGTTTTCCTTCATATGCTTCGAGATAAAATTGAGGTAAATTAATATTTTCATAAAACTTTTTTTTCTTTTTAATTTTGCTCAATATTATTACTACAATTTCATAGGTCACCCAAATAAATAAAGTTAAATTTTTTGAAAGTTATATTTCTTTGTTATTTATTTTATATTTTCTTATCAAATTTAAATAGTTATTTAATAAATAAATTTAAAAAAATAAAATTTTATCATATGGTTATTGTAGTAGCTGTAGTTAGTGTATACTATATTGTTAGGTTGAAACCAAAATGACTCAGGTAGGAGATGCTCCAACTGAACGAAAAATTACAAGATTAGCAATTGGAGTAGATGGTGGGTTTGATCCAGACGCAGAAAATAAAAAGTATAAAACAGTAGAAAAATACTCAATTGTAGTATTACCATCATTTGACTCCATACCATTTGAGACTAGCGAGTTACCACAAAAAGTAACAATTAGTTTATTAAATATACATGTATTTATATTCCATCATTTGATAACTGTAACTTTTAGGTTATTGATTCAGTGAAAGGTATAATTGAAGCAAAATCAGCAAATTATTTGGCCGAATTAGAGAATATGTCAACTACATGGGATGGTGAAATCAGGCAGACAACAAAGTATAATAATTAATTTCTTGTTTTAATCAACCTCATAATTAAATTATAATTATGTGGTGTAATTTAGACATGCTAATATAGAACAATTAAATAATGGGAAAAAAATTGCTCCAAGCGGATGGAAATGTGAATATGAAAATTGTGATAAAAATAATAATCTATGGCTTAATTTAACTGATGGTTCAATTTATTGTGGACGCAAATTTTTTGATGGCTCTGGTGGAAATGGACATGCAAATCTTCATTATGAAAAAACTAGTATGTGTTAAATTTCCAAATTTTAATAATCTTGAAGATATATGAATACTATCATTTTAGTCATGACATTTTGTATTAATATGTTAATATTTTTGTTCTTGTATAAATATTCCCAATTTTTCTGAGAATTAGTTTGATATCTACACTTCTCAACATATGAATCATACTTAGTTTTATAAAAATATTTATTTTATACGCATAATTGATTGAAAAATTGATTCATAAATAGAAAAAATAAAAAATTACTCATAATGTAGAAGTATCATAAGAGCTTGTCCATAGGTAATGCCTTTAATGTTCGGGCACTATCTTTGAAATTTGTGAAATTTCAGCTCATATACTACATGGACACTTTGAAAATCAAGCATCTAAAAACTATAAGAAGTTTTAGTTAAACTATACATATTTTAATAATTTCGATAGTAAAAAGTTATAAATAAAAAACCATATAATATATTCAACATTTTATATTAACTTTTGGCTGTTCAATCTATATAAATTACATATTTTTGAGATCCAAAAACCATTTTCTATTATTGGATTAACAACCGTAACTGTAAGTTAAATATAAAAAACATTTTAAGAAAAATATAGCTTTTTTTTTAAACAAAAATTTTACTCACATTAGAGGTCTTTTGGCACATGTTAAATTTTTTACATGAAAATTTGCATAACTCATTTGTCTATGTAGTAGAACAATTTAAAAAGGTGACAAAATCGAATTTTAACAATTTTTTGAATCGCTTACCCTAATAGACAATTATGATATATACAGGGTGATTTTTTTATCATAACCCACTCATTTACTTACAGAATAATAAAAATTTAAACATTTTTTTTTTTATTATCTTTAGTTACACATTATTCTTGAATTATTAACTATGTAATACTTTTTAAGTTCATCCCTTATGCCTGGTAAGGGTGTCAACTTTGTTTTTTTAAATGGTAACACATATTTTTAATTTAATAAAATGTTTGAGTTTTTAATTCAATAATAAATGGCATTTGAATTTTTAATAAAACTTAATTTGTTTATTAGATATAAACATTTAAAGTTTCAAATTTTTGAGTTAATATATAGGTATAATACACAAGGGATTACAAATACAGGTAGCTAATTGGTTTTTTATGATATTGCTATCACAGTCACGGATTGTTTATTATCAATTATGACTATCAATAGATATACTTTTTGTATTGTCAGTTAGTGTATTTATAAACTCACAACAATGTACCTTACTATCATTGATAATAACAATGCTGTGTACCTGCTAATATCGATGTCATAAAAAACCAATTAGCTACCTGTATTTGTAATCCCTTGTGTATTATACCTATATATTAACTCAAAAATTTGAAACTTTAAATGTTTATATCTAATAAACAAATTAAGTTTTATTAAAAATTCAAATGCCATTTATTATTGAATTAAAAACTCAAACATTTTATTAAATTAAAAATATGTGTTACCATTTAAAAAAACAAAGTTGACACCCTTACCAGGCATAAGGGATGAACTTAAAAAGTATTACATAGTTAATTATTCAAGAATAATGTGTAACTAAAGATAATAATAAAAAAAAATTTTTTAATTATTATTATTCTGTAAGTAATTGAGTGGGTTATGATAAAAAAATCACCCTGTATATACAAAAATTATATTTATAATTTTATTTAATAGAATATCCACTCGCTGTTAAGCTTGGTACTATTACAAAAGATGGTAAAGGAGATGTGTATAGTTATCCAGAAGATGATATGGTGGAAAATCCAAATCTTATAAAACATTTATCTCATTTTGGTATCAATATTTCTACTTTAGAAAAGGTAATTAGAGTGTTACATATTTATACAAATGTACATTATAAAATATATGTCATGATATATATAGCAAGATTGATAAATAGCCATAATTATACTGAAAAAAAGTTATTTTTAATATTTAATATAATAAGGTATTTTTTTTAATTATGAAATTTATACACCATAAATTATACATGATGACAATAGTATTATGATGATATAAAACATAATATAAAATGTCATTGCCAATTGAAAACAATTTACGAAATACTACTTTTATTATTAGCCAATTGGTTTCTTTTAAAATAATAATTATATTAAGAAAATTCTTTTGGGAATTTTTAATTTTGTATACAGAATCATCTGTTTATCATAAACCACTCGATTACTTGCAAAATAAGTACAATATTAGAGTAACAATTTTTGATCTCTTTTAGCTATATATAATTATATATTAATTCTTGATTTATGGAACTCAATATTATTTTTTAGAATCATTCTTTATAACTTAAAATTAAAAAAATAAGTGTAAAAATAAAAATATTTATTTATTACAACTTTTAATCTCATTTTGAGGAAAATATTGTTTGAAGTGTTGTTTGGCAAAGTCAGTAATTTCCTTTTTTAATTTTAGTTTTTAAATTTTATAATTTTGAAAGAAATATATATTGAATTTACATAAAGAATAAGTTTCAAAGATAAATTATATATTTATTTATCATAATAGCCAATTTTTTGTTTGTATATTCAATTATTACTATATTTTAAAATGATTTATTTTTACCATCTTAAATTTTACTTCATTATAAAAAAATAGTTTTATTGGCCAAATAAAAAATTAATTAAAAATAATTTTCTTAATTTAGACAGAGAAATCTATGGTTGAATTAGAGTTAGATCTCAATAAAAAATTTGGTGAATGGGCAACTATGCAAGAGAGTGGCAGTGATTTAAAACCAATATTTGGTCCTGGGTATACTGGTATTCATAATTTGGGCAATTCTTGTTATATGAATAGTATTATGCAAGTTTTATTCTCAATACCTGATTTCACTAATAAGTAAGATTAAAATTAAGTATATTAGCAAAATACTAATAGTATTTTGAGTCTTATTAAAAACTATAAATATTCTAAATCAAATTTATTTATAGATACTATCTAGGATTAAAAAATACATTGGACTTGTGTCAAAATAACCCTGTTGAAAATTTTGACATTCAAATGTTGGTATTCAAAGTTAATTATGTAATGAAATATTTTAAATGTTTATTTGTTCAAAATAAATAATCTACAGGGCGAAAATGGCTCATGGCTTATGTTCTGGAAAATATTCAATGCCTCCACCTGAAGTTATTGAAGGTAAAAAAAAATACTGGCATCATGGAATAAGACCCAATACTTTTAAAACATTGATTGGAAAAGGTCATTCAGAATTTGCTACCAAAAAACAACAAGATGCTCAAGAATTCTTTTTGTATTTAATATCAATAATCGAGGTATTTTTATTTATTTTATAGCTCATTTACTGACATTAATTATAAATGTACATTTATTTTTAGCGTCATTGTCAGCGATCTGAAAATCCTGCTGAATGTTTCAAGTTCAACATTGAAGATCGCTATCAATGTTCTTCCACTGGCCATGTTAAATATACTTATCGTCCAGAATATTGTTTACCTTTGTCTATTTCTCTTGATGCAGTTATTAATAAGAACGAAGTAGCTGCCTATCAAAAAAAACTTGCTGAAAGTGATAACAAAAAGTAATTAATATATTAAATATTTCAAATCGTTCTTATTAAAAAAAAAAATGATTGATATAATTTTAAACACAAATTCTAATTTGGTAGCCTACTTAGCTCAGTTGATATTGCATTGTGCTTCAGTATTTAGGTACTTGTTGAATTGGTCTCTGAAAGAATTCCCAGGCACTAGCATTAGTTTTTAAAAAGAATTTTAAACTTAAATAAATAAATTGTTTTCTTATTTGTTTTAAATCAATTAAAATTTATTTTTATGGTTATATTTTCAGTGTAGATGAAATAATTCGACCTAGAATTAATATAGCTTCATGTCTAGAATCTTTTATTCAAACTGAAATTATAGAACAATTCTTTAATGCCGCATTAAATCAAAGAACTATAGCTCAAAAGTATAATTTTATTTATCACTTATAATTACACTGATTTTGAAATATATATCGTCTGTAAATAGAACTACTAGACTTGCTACTTTTCCGGATTATTTAATGATACATTTGAAAAAATTTACTCTTCGTGAAGATTGGGTTCCTATTAAATTAGATGTTGCTGTTGAAATGCCAGATATTTTAGATATTAGCCAGTTAAGAGGAAATGGTCCACAAGAAGGAGAAAATTTACTACCCGAAATTACTGGTAAATATGTACTTAATTGTAATATAAATCAGCAGCATATTTTCTATTTGCTATGCGATCAAATTATTATAGTGAAAATAAATGTATGAATATTTACTATCATTTATTATTAGTATCTCATAAATTACAATTTTTAAATATCTATAAATTTTTATTACAAAATTTCATTAAATAAAATTATAATTTTTTCATTGAAAATTTTCAGATGCACCACCACCATTTGTATTTGATCAAAATATATTATCTGAATTAACGCAAATGGGTTTTCCACCAGAAGCATGCAAACGTGCTGTATTTTTTACAAAAAATCAAAGCTTGAATGAAGCATCTAACTGGCTTATGGAGCACATTACAGATTCTGATTTTGCAGATGTTTTCATACCACCCGGAACAGAAACAAAATCTAGTGGTTTGTGAATTAGTTTAAGACCCATTAAATTGATACATTTTAGAAAAAATTATTCCAATAATATAATTTGTCTTTTAAGAGTTTATATATCCGCAGAACAAAACTATTTTTACTTAGAATTCTATTTCAAAAAAGACTTTTTTTTAGGATTTATTCCAAATGAAGAAGCTGCAACGATGATAATGTCAATGGGATTCGAACGAAATCATGTGATTTCAGCATTAAAAGCCACTGATAATAATCTAGATCGTGCTCTAGACTGGATTATGAGCCACGGACCAGAAGATATCAACAATACTGAAGTTCCTGCTAGTTCATCATCAACGTATAGAGATGGCTCAGGATGTAAGGAAATATTTAAGATGATTGATAGTATTTCACTTATTATATTTACTGGTATTTGTTATTTATTGCAGCTTACAAGCTTATAGCCATCATTTCTCACATGGGTAGTTCATCAATGGTTGGACATTATGTTTGTCATATTAAAAAAGAAGGTCGCTGGGTGATATTTAACGATGAAAAAGTAGCAGTATCTCAAAATCCTCCTCTTGATTTGGGTTATTTATATATTTATGAAAGAATTAATTGTTAAGAATAATTTTAGAGAAGTCTATAAATTTTATTTTTACATCTTAAATAATTATATTGCTATAATTTTTATAAAATTTACCTTGTAATTTATATATTTAATTATCTTTTTAATGTATAAATACAAATTGTGTTCATGCATATAAAATAAGTGATAAATATTTTTGATTATTTTGTTATTTTGTGTAATAAATAATTTTTACCTATTATAAAAAAATATGATGTACTAGGGGCAACATAAAGAATTTATATAAAATTTGAATACATATTTAAAGATCCACTGTTCCTGTATTGTACGCTCATGGTGTAGCTTTAATCTTTGAACAACACTATAAGCTACGTTGAGCATTTTTTTTAGCATTCAGCTACATTGTTTTTAAAAACAATTATATTAATGTATTAATTCAAATAAAAATTAACAATTTTAAGAATATACTTTACAAAACAATAAAAAATCTTATGTTGCTTAGTTACTGTATTATTTTTTTATCTCAAAATCATCAATTTTTGCTAAATATTTAGGATTTTTTGTTTTCATTCCTTTTGGAATATTAAAAAAAATTTAAATCATGCTGAAAAAACAGTATTGTACTCCTGGGCCAAAATATAGCTGTCCAACAACTATAGGATATGAGAAAACTGATGTAAGGTTGCCACGTGCCCCTGCTTTTTCATTAGGCCAACGTATACAATCAAACAGTGCAACATATCGCAGTCAGCTAGTGCCTGGGCCCAAATATGATTTGAGTAATGTTACTCGATATGGATGTATAGCCACACCAGCTGCATTTTTGGTATCTCGAATCAAAGAACCAAAACGAAATATACCTACACCAAGTCCTGCTTCTTATAATATCCCACCTTCAGTGCCAGCAAAGCCGGCATTTACCTTAGGGTTAGTGACAACAAAATTTTTAATATCATAATAAATGGTTTGTACTTGATTATCTTAGTATTACTACACGTTATTTTCAATGTTAGTTTCTTGATATTAAATATTAAAATTAGAAAATTTATCTTGTTATCAATTAATTAGATTTAAAAGAGAATCTCGGAAAAAATTGTTACCTACGCCAGCACCTAACGCGTATACAATTTCTGGAACCATTGGTAAACGAGCTGCCAATATGCCATCAGTACCGCAATATTCAATTCTTGGTCGGTCCAATGATTCTAAAAGCAAAAATGGAATTAACATTTCGCCAGGACCCGCAAAATACTCAGCCGTTGGACTAGAACGTTACAAAAAGCAGAATCCAAGAGTGGTCATGGTTGGTACACCAATTTCACAATTCAGGATTAAAAAAACCGGTACACCAGCACCAAATGCTTACTTACCCACACTTGTACAGTATAATAACGCTCCTAAGTACTCCCTTGGCAAACGTACAACTGAACCGGCTACTCCTTATTTTACAGCAGCTGATAAGGTCCCCTTATGGGAATAATACACCTAACGATATTAAATTTTTAAATATCATCGTAATTTTTTTAAACTATAATAAAATTATAAGTTTAATACTAAAACCTATGAGTAAAATGATTGACCCTTAAATTTTAGATTGTATAAATCATTACCTCGTATAAGATTATACAAATTCTATTAATAATTTATAAAAATCAAAGTTTAACTATACTGTTTCTGTTCAAAATTGTTTGAACTTGAATTTTACTATGAATAAGTCAAAATGTTCTTCATACCCTGAAAGAAGAAAGACAAAACAGGCTATATAATATTAAATTAATCGATATTCATGTATTATAATACATGTACTATTATATATTATAAATTATTTATTGCAAAACTTAATATCACGCATGATTTGACTTATAAAAATTAAAATAGGCAACAGTCCAACATTTTCAAAACATATTTTACTGTCATGTACAAAAATATCATAACTACTTACACATTAAGTAATAATTCCTATCAAAATGTTTTATGGAGGTACTCAACTACATCTTTTATCTAAGAAAATCACCATAAGTCATTTTTTCCGAAGGATCTCCAAAAACATCTTAAGCTCAATAAATTGTGATTTAAAAAGATAAATATTTACTCAAATTACGTTTGAAAGCTAAACAATCAATTTTAGTACTAAATAACTGTCAAATGAGTATTATCAGTATTATTATTAGTCCAAAGTATAATTTATCTCCCACTGTCAGTTAAATGTATTAATATTTTATTAATATTAATATTGTAAAAAGTTTCTAAATCCCAAAAAGTTTTCTTCTATAACAACTTATTCTCTGTAACAAAATGAAAAGTTGTGTTTTGGGAGGTAATTATTTCTTATGGTTAAATCTATAGAAAACTTACATTCAGTTAAAGGTTGCTATTTAAAAAGTATTATATCAATTATTTTTTTATAAATAATAATAGCGTTTTTACTGATTGACAAATACATTAAGTAAGTTAACATCAACATTTAAATATTTAAAGATACTCGACTAAAACTATTTTAAAAACTGCATGATTCTATTTACAACTTATTATTATACCAAAAGCACAGTGTACGCTGTTGTTTCTATTTTTATTGTAAATAAATAGTTACTTGATGTAATCTAATTGAGTATTAGTGAACTTTTTAAATAGCATACCTATCTTGTAAGTTTATGGTGACATAAATATTTGTAAAATTGTTCGTTAATATTCAGCTTAAGATTAAGAGGGGCGAACGACCCGGGCTTATGAGCTTAAAAGGCCCATCACAAATTTTACTAGCCTGTTATGATTTTTTTGTTCATCACTCTTTTATGGAAGCTATATTTTCTATTTTCCATCTCAATGTACTGCCCCGGGGCCCATATAGGTCTAATCTTGTCCTGTGTGAAATTTATACCTCTATCATTGTAATGAATTTAAGATGATCTTGTTATATTGTACATTAAATATTTTGTATCAAGTTCTTAAGAAATCATAATTAATGTAATAATATGTTGAATTTTCAATTGGAGAAGAAAATATGTTAGCTTTTTGAAGTCGTAATTAATATTGATGACTAGAAATCAGAGATGTAATTTGGCGAATGTTGGAGATCCTTTAGCCTTCGAAAATGGAATAAAACGAAATGTAAATAAATTTTTACAGCTGGAAAAGCTAACTTATCTTGTAATCTATAATTTAAATATATATTTTAAATGGCTCTTAACCGTATCGAAAATCTTCATGATATTGTTCTTCGTTAAAATAAATACTTCCTTTGAATTTCACTTCAATGTAAAGTATTAAAAAATGTATGTTGGAAAAATGTACAAATATTATTTCATAGTTTATGTTGAAATTCGGAAAGCTATGTTACCATTGGGATAGGAACGTTGTTCTAAAATCACGGAATTCTGTTTGAATACTTTTAAGTATAAATGTATAATAATTGGTCGTGTACAGATGCCCTTGTTGACTGTTACCACCGCCGCCGCCGTCGCACCACACATCTTGCGATGCATAATATACAAATGGGCGGCGCGGCGTGTGTTTTACATCCTCGGCCGAATTTAACATGTGAATACACTACACAGTAGTCGACGCCAACAGTCTGTGGTGTAGGACGTGATTTGTTTACCGCTAATTCTGTTTCGTTTTCCTTTCGTTTTCTTACAGTTTACAAAGCATTTTTTTAAAATTTTGTAATAAGTAGAATACAATTTGAATTGTGATGGAAATGAATTTGCGTTTTTCATTTAAAGTGTAGTGTTTTTAAACGACTCAACGTTAAATTAAATCATACTCAGGTATAGTCAATTACTATAATTTATTATTATTCAAATTTTATACTAACACAACTAAAAATAGAATTTATCTATGGACGTATAAATTAAAGTTGAATTGGGCTCACATACAAAATTTTATTGTGGAAATTAAAAAAATATACTTATTATCATAAAAAAGTTACCTTTAAATTGTTCAGAGAAATAATTTGCCTGCTATCTATTCGATTAAAGTGAATGTTCTTAAGTAATAATAAACTTAATGAATATATTGTTTTTACTTAATGTGTATTTCGATAGAATTGTTTATTAGATTATAATAAATAGGTGCAATACGATAGTAAATGTTTGTTATATTTTTTTTATTGTACAACGTAAATTTTGATTTAAAAATCTATTGTTTAAACGTTATCCAAGATAAAACCTTTAGCCTTTATTAAAGTTAATGTCCAATTAAAAATTGGTAAATAATCGCTTCCACTAATTTTAAACTTCCATGAAAATATTATTCGTCAATATATATAGTCCTTGTAGAGATTTCTTGGTCAGTTTTTTTTTAATTGGCATACAATTAGTTCAATTCAATGTCTCCCATTTATTCCTTTCGTTCCTCCGTCATATTAACAAATCGCATCCTGCACTTCTTTCTTCAATGAGTCCGAAATTAGTCTGATTGAGTAAATAGCATGCGGGTTTATTGGAGGGTGTCTACATATTGTGTTGACTTGTCCGCAACCACAACTTGATTGTCTTCTAATATGAGTGCATATTAATAGTCTTCAATGAATCCCTTGTGTTTTTTTTAATGATTGATTTCACTAAATCTATACGAGTATGGCTGAATGTGCAATGATCTGTACCGGATGAATCATTGAAGTCATTGATGTATAATCAATCAATCGATAAAATCCTATTAAGAAAGCGGTAACGTCAAAAAATCAAATGGTGAAATACTTGTATTTATTTTCAGTGATTATCAAATCCAAATTGTATATTTTTCAGTAGTGTTATCATTGTTATCAGTATTAGTATCTTAATTATCTTCTGTTTTATTGACAAAATATGTTATGAATTATTCAAAAAGAATTCCTTTGTAAGTTCTAATCAGAAACGGTTTACTAATCAGCGTGATTTTTTTGATGTTACCTTTTGCCCCTAAAAGTAATAATAGTGTATCAATAGGTATACACATTAGCTAGATGTCGCGGAACACAAAATACTAAAACAAAGTGTCATAATTACATATAACTATATTTATATTGTAACATCACTGAGAATATTCATTAGAAATGCTATCAAAATAACCAAAAAATGAGCCATGTTTTGGTTTATATTGGTTTTTTCATACTTGTATCATAAGTTATTTAAAATACAAATTTAGCCAAATCAACTGCAAATATTTAGTGTAAATCAAACATAAATATATCCTAATTAATCTTGAATTTTATAATTCTAATTATTCTATCGACAAATTATTGGAGTGTTTTATTTTCTACGCATAATGAAGTTATGGATAATTACTCAATTACTTTGAGGATAAAACATATGATACAGGCCACTTAGTATGTTTAAAAATAAGTACTTTCAAATAAAATCATATGACATAATTCGGTTTAGGGGATGGCATTCTGTATATTTTTTAGTTTTCAAAATCAACTTTCTTGGACTTTAATAACTATAGAATTTCTAAAATAAATTTTAGAGTAAGGATGGCTCTAACAATTATTTTTTTGAGAGGAAGATATCATAAAACAAATTATAAGGTTATAATTTTGTTCTGTAATAATATACATACGAACATTTCTATAACCTCTAAAGAAGAAAAATAAAATTCATGACTATAAAATTATTTTTGTCATTGAAAGCAATATATCTTCTTCACTTCCTCCTTTGTACAAATAATAATTATTAAAATTAAATAACTAAAATTATTTTTGAAATGTTTAAAAATGTTCTGTAGATTATTTTTGCTATTATAAAATTTAATTTAGCTCCTAATGTTCTACGCAGTAGCTCTACCAAAATATGTCAGTAGGCAATTTCTACTAAAGATCGTTAAAGTATAATGAGTTATTGAAAATAATTAAAATATTTAGATAACTGGTATTCAATTGAAGGAGTATATTACTATTTCTTTCTTCGTTATGTGGTTAGATTTGCGTTCTCCACATAAGGTGTGAATTTTAAAATATTTATGGTTTGCTCAAAATTTTTGTGTTTCAACAACTAACTTATTATACTTTTCATTCAACTTTGAACTTAAATTTTTTCGTAATCGATTAAAGGTCAATACTAATTTATTTAAAAGATTACCGCTAATGTTTCCGAAAAACATATTAAAGTCGTTCATAGGTTAATCCACATACATTTTCTTATAGATAATATTATGATATAAATACTAAACACATAATCAAACATGATTACTAATACGTGTGATAATTTATATATATTATATATAAATATACTTAATATTTTTGTTTAGTGGTCAGGTAATTTCTTAATGGGTTGTATATACATTCCGATAATTGAGATACAATATTTACATAAAAATTCGTAAACTCCAAATGAAGAATACAATGTGATATGATATATTGAACAGGATTAAGATAAAATTTTATTTTTGAGTCATAAAATTGTTAAATATTGTTATATTAATCATATAAATCGTTTAGGGAAAGTAGAGTTTTACTATCACATAGTATTGCGGCCTATTTGAAGATCACGCAAACTAAAAAAATGATTACATGATTTAATAAATATCATATGTTATTTAGTATTACTTGCTATTGATGCACTACCTTATGCGTGCTTAATATTTTTAAAAGAAATGAGGGAGTATATTTGTATCATGCAATGCATTACTCATAATACTTAAGTACTTTATTGAATTAATACCTCATTGACCGTTTTAATATAAGGTATTCTTATATGTTACATTCGACGCAACTCATAAGACATTTTCCAGAATTTACTTTTATAGGTCTTAGTAAGAGAAGAAAAAAGGTGCACTTCCTCTTAAATAAGGCAACATTTTTATGAGAGAATTAAATGTTTAATAACATAGAGAATGAAAAATGTTTTCATTTTAGTAAATAAACATTAATACTATTATAATACAATCAAAAGGAATGTTATCAAAATAACAATTGATGAAAGAAATAAAATCAGAATTTGGATTAATACATAGGAATTTAATTGATTGATTACATGTAGATATCCATGTTAAATCTAAAAATTAAAACTATATGTAGAAAACTATATATATATATATATATATATATTTGTAAACAAATGTTTTTTAGAGAAGAGTAGAGAGATCAATTTACTTCAACCGAATTTTTTTTAAATGTATCAGATTATTTCAACTCTATTCATTTATTAAGCAATTTAGCCTCATATTCTCTTAGGTTTATAAGTCTAATTAGTATCTAAACCACTCAACCATAATAATTATGGTTTAATTATTAAATCATTTATAAAAATTATTTGTGTAACACAAAATGATTTTTTTTGTTTTTTGTATCAGCCTAGGACTGATTGATCTAGCAAGTACAATGGATACCGCTATGGGTAAGTAATATTTTCTATAAATATTAACAATAAAATATACTGTGTATATACTTATATACATCAAAAACAAATAAACCACACGTTATACAGTACACATACAGATACGATTGCTATTGAATTGTCCCTCTTGCATATAAAACAAACCCCGTGACCAGAAATATTAAATCGACCGTATTTCAGGCATTCTATTAAAATATTATAATATTGTATTTTTATTATGTTTCCTTCGAAAAACGTGCGTATTAACCATTTTTTAACAACAAGTCTATGAACCCCCCTCTTTTGTCATTGTACACATCATTCCTATTACATCCGCTGCCAGGGATTCGGAACCACTAAACTGACACGTTTATAAGCCATTACATTTAGTTATATGTATTATTGGCTGATTAAGGTCACATTCGATACAGATGTCATGCACAAACAACTTGCATCAATGAACTGTATTTAAAGAATGACATACTTGAAAGTAAATAAATTTTGCATTCAATTTATAGCACGACAATAATTTTCACTTAATTTTACTTTAAATTAAATTACAATTTCTTACATGTATTATTAATATGAATATAGCTTATTAATAATAACCCAAATTTGAATTAATAATAAGTTATTGCTAACTTAAATTTGAGTAATTCATTAGTAAAGAATTTAAATCCTTTGAGTGAAAGTTCAAATATCTTTTTGATAGCTGATAGATTATTATTATAATTTTATATTTTAAGTAATTTTTCAATGTGATAATTATTTGAAATGTTTTTTATTTAATTAAAATTAATCAGAGGGACAACTTCTGTACACAGAAAAAAAATTTTGGAATTGTTTTAACTTAAACAAATGATGTTAGATAATCACGGGTAGATGTGAATTTACATTTACTACACCGAACCGTTGAATTGAATACTTTATGTTGAACGTTGATACATTTTAAAATAAGAAATATAAAAATTTAAAAGTAAAATATTAACACAATAACACGTGAAATTGGAGATCGCGAAAATAAGTATGATTCTTTAGTTAAAACCAAATTATTTTTATTGAATCGGTCCGATTTCGTCAAGTTTTTAGGGTCCGGTTTCCTGTTGTATTCGGCAGCGTGGTTTCGATATGGCGGTGGGTCAAAAGATATGATTGCTCCATGTTTGTATAGCATACTAACTGTAGATCCTAGAAGGTCTTTTTTATGATCCTTGTCTGATGGGGTAGAGTGGGAGTGGACAAGTGACAAAGACCATTGCCATGTGTAGACCGTTTATGGACGATGTGAATAAGGATAGTTACTGGAGTGTACGTTGAAAAAATATAACCCTTAGAAAATCAGATTCAATCTGGACAAAGTTATATCGTTATTATTTACGGGATAAAATAAAAATACACAATCGTATCATACAAATACAAAATTAGTATTACACACACGGATGAAAAATAGACGTGTATATAAATAAAAATCAACAAGTATTGTATGTATGAAAAGACAAAGTTAAATATTAAATATTTACCATTGTAGACAACCCCTCGTATTTTGCGGTGGCACAAGGTTTGCAAAGGAGAATTTTACCGTTGCTTGATCGACAAAGAATGGCTAAGAACAAAACAGAGACATCTACTATGGGTAGAACCAGGAAAAACGAAAGGAGTGGTAAATGTCTAACGAGGACTTTGAGTGCCAACATTGAAGAAGCAAGGTTATTGGTGATGGGACAGCCTAGACCTTCAGACGTTGCACCATCCATTAAACACAAAAGACACGCTAGCACAGGACATAAGGTAGGTAATTTTTAACTCAAAATACACGATTAATATACTTCTAAAGTTTATTATTTTATATTAACTGAATGAAATATAGAAATTTTAATATTTAACGTCCTAAAAATATTATAATTCTAAGGACTCTATTCTTAAATTGACTTTTATAAGTATTATTTGACATAATTACTATTTTTATAACTTGAGCAAAACTTATTCATAAGAATATACTAAAATGAAATTTGCTATGTATGGTCACATTTGATAAAACAAAAAACAAATATTAAAAATAATTGACTAGTTTAAGTTGAAAAGTTAAAAAAAAAATTTAACTAGTAAACGCTCGTTTTTAGATATTAAATAATTTAAAACGAAATCATTGTTGACAGAAAATAAAAAATATTAGTATCAAGAACAATTAATTAATATAAATAAAATATTTTATGAATCCGTAAATAAATTATATTAAAAAAATAGATTTATATTCATTAAAGGGTATAGTGATGATTAATTACATTAAAATATTATATTTGAGATTTGTGGGTGACTACAATGTACTAGGGCCTAAAACCATGTCTTTTTATAGGTCCCGGTTGGGTTCGGTTTCTTGAAAATAAAAATTCCGGTTCCCAAAAATAAAGGTACCATACAAATTGTTAAAATTTAATTAGAATGATTAAAATTAAAGCCCATTTGGAAGTCACAGAAAATAGCAAGTATAGGATTCAAATGTCTAATGTCAAATATATTTATTACTATAACTTCTATTTATGACTATATAATAATTTATTATGTTTTTATCTTTTTATATATATCTTAAAGTTAAAAGTTAAATTAAAGTTAATGTAATACACTTTATTATGGGAAAAATAAATTTCGGACTTTATTTTATCTTTACGGTGAAAATAGTTATTAAATGCTATTTTTGTGTGAAAATTCTCAATTTTATATTTTTAACTTTATTATGCAATAACTTTTTGAACGATTTTTTATGAAAAATAATATTTATATCCCTCTTTCATTCGACATACTTTTTTTAAAATAATACATCTATCATGTATTATTTTAAAGACATCATGCATCTATATAAAAAAAATTTATATTGATATGTTCATTTTAAAAAAAGTTTTTATTAAAAAACATTGAAAAATTTTTGAAAATTAGCGATTTTTAAATTTGTAATTTTTTTGGAGATTTCCCCCAATTACAGGGAACGAGGGAAATTTTTTCAATTTTTGAAGGTAATGTCTTCGATTAGATATCATTTATGATCTTTTGACGTATCATTGAAAGAAATCAGTTCGGTAAGAGCTGAAAAAAAGTGGTAACAGACACAAAAAAAAAACACATCATAGTAAAACCAATACTTTCTCAGCTTCGCATCGAAGCTAAAAAACCAAAAAAAATAATTATGTAAATATGTCCCAGTATTAGTCTATATATTCTATAGACTCAATAGCATCATTTTCTTGATGCTACTGAGTCTACTGTTACTTTTTTATTTTTAAACATTTTTTCTAATTTACCATGCATAAAAAATTGAATTTATCGGCATATGAGATAACTTATATAAAATTATTATTTTTATTCATTTACAATTTTTTTCAATCAAAACTAATGAACATTCATATTTCAAAGTATAAAAATTAAATAATAAATGTTTTTAAAATTTTGTAAAGTATTAATGAAAGATAATTTAATGTATTTCTCAATAACTTTGTTCTTTACGGACGGTTAATTAATCTGATGGAACGTTTTTTTTTGGACTAGCAAATGTCTACACTGCCACCCCTAATGTAAGGTTGCTGTTGTACCTTTGTTCGACAAGGAAAAATAATGTTGTATCAAAAAATTTTTAAAACGTATTTTAACTTAAATAATATTACTTATACTCTATATATATATATATTAGTTAATTCTAATCAAACATTTTAATTTAAAAGATAAATGGTTACATTAATTAATTTTTTATTATTTAAAGCTAAATAAAATCTAAAATGTTTTTTTAGATACAAGATATTTTTATAAATCAATTTACTGTCCCCTAAAAATAATCTAATCAATAGAACCCTTAATTTTCGTCTATACTTTGATAATTTTTATAGTAATTTATTTTTCTTATTTGTATTTTTTAGATTTCACAAAAAAGTAATAAATTAATATGGATCTTTATAATGGTTTTTTCAACTGAAATTCCTAATAATATTATTAATACCAGTTTTTTTTTTAGTGTAACTTTATCTTTTAAGTGCTTATTTAGTTTAAGTAAACTTACCCAGATTCAGTAATAAAAAACATTAAATATCTCTTATCTTTCTTATCTTATTTTAACATAAACACTTGAGCTAAGTCAACTCTATAAAATTTTGAAATGTAAACATTGTTGGCAAAGATTTGTTTTGTTCTAACATTATATGCCATGTTTTCTCTGGCAATAAGTCAGAAAAATATGTTTGGCATAATCATTGTAATAATTAAACATTTACGGGTAGGTCATGAAAAAAAGTCAAGATTATGTTTAATTTACTACTCTAACCTATTTACAAATGAGCCAATGAAAATAATCCTAATGTTCATTTGTTATACATATAACTATAACAAAATCATTTATAAAGTAGAGTGCCTCTAAAATGTCCACATTCTTGTATGTCTTCTTTACCTTTAAATATCGGCACCACAATAATATTCCTCCTTTCATTTGGGATTTTCCCATTTAATAAGATTTTATTTAAAAGATCCTTAGCCATCTTGTACCAACATCGCCTAATATTTTCCATATTTCTACTGGCACTTCATCTGGTCCTATTGCTTTATTTTTTCCCCTTGATACCACAGCCTCCCATATTCTTCCCCACTAATTAAATCTACCAGTCCCTTGTTCCACAAAATATCCTCTAATGTCTTTTTTGGATACCCCTCATAATTTTTCAAAATATCCTTTCCACCTTTTTTTCACATCATCACTGATAGTACCCTGTTAAAAACACTTTTTATACACCTTACATAATGATAATCTTTAGATCTTTTTTCTCTTACTTTTGAAAGTCTATAGACTTCTTTCTCGCCTTCCTTTGATCCTAGCCTATCATATCTCTTAAACTGTTCCTTACTTACTGCAAAATTGGTTTCATTACACAAGCGTCTATGCTCCATTCAATCTTCTCTCCTTTTGCTCTTCTGTCATGCTTTGAATTGCTTTTTCTTACTATCTATGATTTTTTTAATGTTCTGATCCCATCACCAGGTTTCCTTGTTTCCTGGTATTCTACTCCTACTCTCACCAACCATCTCATTTGCAGTATTCTTTACACAACTAGAAAACCTATTCCACACATCATTCATGTCTCCTTCGACATTCTACACCGTCCTCTCTCTTAACGTCTTTCAAAATTCTTTTTCATTTTCCCCTTTCAATTTCCTCCACCGAATCCTCAATTCTTCTTCTGTGTTCTCTCTGTTTTTGGATATTCTCTTCACATTACACCACAAATCTATTACCAACAGTCTATGTTGTGTAGTTACAATTTTGCCTGGTATAACTTTACAATCTTTTATTCGCTTTACACTCTCTCTTTTTTACATAAAATAATCCGTGATTTATTACTCCCACTCTCATAGTACTATAAATGTAATTCTTTTAACGTTAGCCATTAAATTTATTTTTAAATAATCTTTTTTTTGTGGATTTTTTTTTAGATTTTGTTAGTTATATAAGTAGCTTTTTTTAGACCAGTATTTCAAAAGTTATTAACAATTTTAAATGTTAACAACTGGAGGTGGGGAGTTTTGCTGCTACTTATTACTAGACATTTCTCAGCTTCACCCTTCTCCTGCCCAGGTATAACTATGTTATTTACTGCTGAAATACTAGTCCAGTAGTTATCAATCAGTCATTTTCTATTCTATGAATTAATTAAATATATATGTTTCTATTTAAAAAAATAATCTTGACATCCCTATAAGATATAAGGAATGAACATAAAAAATATTTTATAACTAATTAATGGAAATACATATGTAACTAACAAATGCCAAAAGCAAAATATAATTATCATTTTAAGAGAAATTGTGTGGCAAGTGTGTAAAAGAATCAATCTGTATGACATATACTACTATTTGTACAAAATAATTTATAATTTAAATATTACAAATAAAATAATATTTTGGAAATCTAAAAAATTTACGCAACCCTCATTTGATTATTGATTTTTCATAGGATTCTCTCCAACACGATTTGGTACACTGTGATCTTCAATTGGACGGTGACGTATTCTTCAGCAGTAGTGGTGATGTTCGATACAGTAATTTAAAAGCACCGATCAGAGGAGGGCGCCGACATTCGATCGGATCGTTTGGCAACTATTCCAATAGACGTTCGTTAACAGAGTGTATGTCTAAGACATCACGTGCCAAACTCTCATCCGGAAGCGATCCTAAGGGTAAGTTACGCAAAACAATAGTTATAAGTTAAAGCATTATGATTAAATACTTCAAACAATCACTCGATTTAATTTTAAAGAATCAAGTTCTTTATGCTTTATCAATCTCTTATTAAAGAGAATTACAGAAAATTTGTTTATTTGTGTATGATGCACAATTAAAAATAAAGTACGAATATTACAAAACCATATTGAAATTAAAATGTATAATTAATTTTATAATTTGTACTTTTTGGTTAAGTTATTAACCCAATGAAGTATATGGTATTTCAAAGTCGTCAAGACTTATTTAATTTGAAATGATTGTCCAAATGTCGTATTTCTAGATTTAAAAAACAAAAATAACATTTTTATTTTGTTATAAGTTATAGTACTTATGGTTTAGAATGTTTTTAATCGAACACGTATATGAATTTAACATCTTATATTACCTACCTAATAACATCTATTATTAATTCACAATATATTTTTAGGACGATTGACCCGTACACGTCAATATACATTTTAAACAATTCTTCTATATCATAATATTCTTTATAAAATTGAATGTTTTTATCTAATAACAACCTTCTTAATTATTTTATAAAAGGCGATTTGTGATAACATTATAATTCCAGTTTAAAAAATGTCCAAATTTTCACATACACATATTGGAAGTTTTGAACGCATATGTTTCACGGGGAAATTTTTGATAGTGATAAAATCTTAAGTTTGTGCACAAATTTTCGATACATTATGTCAAAATTACACTATTTGTGTGTAAAGTTAATGGATATATTAAAAATATTCACATATGAGAATGTTTGAATCATTATATACAGTCTTATATATTTAAAAAATAGAATTTATTTTCTGTCTTATAGTAATCTCTGATTTAATTTTTAGTTTCGATTTGTTAAATTATAAAACATGAATTCTACTGGATTATTATGACTAGTTCGTCTAGTGTTTGCATATGTGTAGGTGCGATTGGGGCAAGGAAGACTTAAAAATAGTATTGGTTGATTCTATATAGCACGTGTTTTCGAAGAACGCAGAGGATGTTTATTTCCGTACTTACAGTCTCAACGAAAAAATGTGTGTTAAACGGTTTATAAATAAAAAAGGGGTTGAGGATACTTTACTTGGTATAGGGAACGTATGTACTTACTATACATATGTTCAAATATAGGAATATATTTTTTATGGTTATACGGTATAAATTATACTGGATAATTAAAGCCCTTTGTTGTTAAATATACATGCCCCTCAAAATCCGCAACATATTATACATAACTACTATTGAATTGTTTTAAAAACTTTTTTATGGCGTCATAAATTATTTTTGTTGTAATTTAAATGAGTCGCGATAAACATATTGTTAGTTTCTTATGTAGTATGTAAAGTAAATTAATGTACTTGATCTGCCCTATTGAAATATATGCATAGCGAACATTATTTGAATTTTGTTAAAAATAGCGGATAATTTTGTTACTATAAGATTGTTATAGTATTTTCTTATAAGATTTTTTTATAACTCAGGAGTTTATTTTAGAATTTTAGGAATATTATTCATTTTCCATGACAAAATGTTTCATTATATAATAGGCTATCTGATTTATTTAGCGTAGTATTAACTTATTAACGTGTATAATTTGTCATAATTTCCCTAAAGTATATATTATATACTATATAACAAAGAATACGTAAATTTCTATGAGACGCTTCTGGGTGTTTTTTAACGATATTTTATGATATAATAGAACAAGAAAAAAACGCTTTTGTAGGGAAATTACTTAGCATGTTCTAATATTCAAATATGTTTATTTTCAACGATAGAACTTGGTCACGCCACTCTGGGAAAATTATTGGCGAAGGTTAGAAAATTTTTGATTATCGCCTACGAGTGTTTTAAAATTTCGATCATTTTCGAGAGAAACTGACGACAGCATTTTGAGACTCTAAGTTTGAAATTTTCACTAGACCTACCCATAGGCATTTCTAAGATAATTAAAAAAATTAATTTATTCTGTTCATTTCTTACTGTTCTACAAGCTTCTTTTTTTTTGAAGTCCACGCGCATGTTTTGAATAGACGTGTCTGCTATTTTTGTGCTTATAATTTTTTTTCATATATTATACATGTTGAAGTTGTCATATATGTATTAATTGGGTTATATTATTAACTATCTTTTTTTTTCTGATATTATTTTAATTATTTGTATTACATGTTGGATTTATTTAATATTCAAATGTGTTTCTATAAATTTCTTTAAAATAAGTATATATAACAGTGGCGACACTGCTTAATACAAAATTGTTTGATATATTTAATCAAATTTTTTGGTATATATATAATATATATATATATTATATATATATTTTAATTTGTTTGAACTTATGTTTTATAATCAACTTAATGTTCAAATGTACTTTATTCCCTTTGATCTTTTTTTTTTATGTCCACTCAGAGTTTACATGAGGATACGATTTAGCTTTTGCGCATAGCAATATATTTTGTATATTTTATCAATAAATGTTTGATAAGATATACATAAATTTCATCAAGGTTATAAGTATATAAGTTTGTACATACATTATCAAGACAGTACAGTCTATTATTAACATATTTATCTCATATATGATGTATCAGTCTATAAGTTTATTGTGAAAATTGAGACCCATCTGTGACAACTATGCTGAATAACCTCCAATCACAGTAACCAATATTCTTATCAGAATTGACTTTTTTACATAGTTTTAGGAATAATAATCTGCTAAATTTTTCTGTAATTATTCTATTATATTAACACAATTATGAAAGTTAGAATATTATTAATTATTTTCTATAACAGGGGAATATTTAAATAGTTCAATATTTTTTTAGAGCGATATTAAACTTTTTTTTGATCATTACTTTGATTTTTAGCAAAGAAATTTCTAAAGCATGTATACAAAAGTAAAAAAACTTAATTACCCTCTTAAAATGATTTTTGAATACATCCCTGGTAAATACCTCAGTAAACAAACGTCAACCTTATACCCAATACATTTTACTATTTTCCTGATCTTAATAATAAATTTTTTTTTTATTTAATTTTGTTACACTGATTTGAATACAATATTTTTCCTGCAAATCACTTATCGTGTACAGCGTAACCGGCTACTCTTACCGGAATTAGTGGCATACTTATAATGAAATCCCTAAGAAGCTTATATGCCGAAAGCCCACATTTCTGGGGCGCATCCTTAGCTAGGCGAAACCTAATAATTATTTATACTTTTAAGAATAAAATGAACATTACTTTAACTTTTCAAAAACTTTTCTCTTAATTTAGAGTAATTTAAGAGTTGACTTTGGTATATTTTGTGAGATATGTTAATGATAATGACATGTAAATATAATCAAATTATGTCTTAAACACCAGTTTACGGTTATTATATTTATAATTAATTTCATTTAAAATTTAAATTTAGTATTGGCATTATGGTATCTCCATATTAAAAAAAATTGTTTTGTAATCATAGAAGAACGTTAATTACTGTTAATTACTATTGAATTTGAATATTTTGAAATAAAAAACTCATTAATTTATTAAAGGTACACGCTACATAATAATTTTATAGTATTGTAATAAATACATATCATTATATATTTATTTATCTAAAGGGAGAACACGGTTTTGATGTCTTGAATATAAATCATCTTTTTGGTGACCATCGATGGACAAGTACTTTTTTACGTCATCCGCTTAAAAGACTTACTAGTTATGTTCTAGGCAATAATCGACACCTATACTTAAAACGTAGAAACTTATCGTATTAATAATTCTATAGCATTCTGAAGACCATGACTCGCATTTACAATGTTTTTTCTAGGTCTTTTATAGACAACAATCAATAATAATGATTACGGGACATAGTACATATATGAATAATCAATATATTAAAAATAGATAAACTAATTCAAAATTATAATATTTTTAAGAAACTAAATATTATTGAATTGTTTTTAAATTAAATGTTTGATGATTTTTTATGTTATTGTGTACTGATTGGTTTCATTAGAAATCTGTTTTCACGGATGATTAATATCCAATGTTACGGATTCGAAGCTATTAATTAGGCGAAATTTTTTAATTACATAATATAAAATGATATCTGACAGTGATTAAAATCACTATCATAAAAAACGCTTCGATGCAAATCATTAGATAGTGTTTAATTTTAAAAAATTGGTGGATTATTACAAAATTTACATGATCTGCTATTTCCTTATTTATATCCCGATTAAGATAAATTATGTCGAATGAAAGAGAGATATAAATATTATTTCTCATAAAAGTATTGTATTGATCCATACACTTTTCAATAAGTTAAAGCATTATACTGTTAAAAATGTAAAAAATAAAATCCAGAATTTTCACAAAAAATAGTATTCAGTAACTGTTTTCACCATGAAAACAAAATAAAGTTCGAAATTTTTTTTTTCCATGATAAAGCATATTATATTAGCTTTAATTTAAGATATATATGAAAGTATCAGACAATCCTTAACACTTTCAAAAGTTAAATTGAAAAAGTTGTCATTTTAAGTCCTCCAGTGGGCAGGTAAAGGGTTAGATTTATAAAAAATATACCAAATGAAAGATAAAGACATCATATATCTATAAAAAAAATTTATATTGATTTGGCTATTTTTAAAAAAGTTATGGCAGTTTTAAGTAAAAACAATTGAAAAAATGTAAAAAGTTAGCGATTTTTAAATTTGTAATTTTTTTGAAGATTTACCCAATTTACGAGGAATGAGGGAATCTTTTTTAATTTTTGAGGGTAATGTCTTCGATTAGATACGATTTGTGATGTTTTGACGTATCGTTGAAAGAAATCGGTTTGGTGAGAGCTGAGAAAAAGTGGTAACAGACCCTCAAAAAAAAAAAAAACACATCATAGTAAAACCAATACCTTCTCAGCTTCGCATCGAAGCTAATCAGTCTTTCTTTTTTAAGTGTATTTTTAAATTTACTATATTTTATTTGATAAATACTTTTTATAATTATATAATATAAAAATACATTTTTACTTAAATTGTAATGATGACATGTTCAACAATGATGTCCCGAATAAAAATTAAAAATTAAAATTTATGCTATCAGTTTAACATATTAAAGAGTTATTATTTTTAAACATTATTTGTGTTGTTAACTGTAGTTATTATTTATATTTAGTAAAACAATTACAAAATAAGACTGAGTATTATTTTTATCATACAATAATAGGTGATTCACCAAATTATTTTTCTTTTATACCATTAAAATATCAAACTTGTAATACTTTGAGCTTTTTAATTAAATATGTCATTTCAACTAGATTAAATGTGTTGATAAATAACAAATTTCTTCATAAAATTCTGTACATTTCATTAGGTTGGGTAATAAAAAATATTTATTTGTTATTCCCAAGGAAATTTGAAGTGTAAACATGAAAATATACCTCTTGGCTTTTTACAGTCTAAGCAGCTATTTCCCTAAGACTTATCCAACTACAATAAATATATTTTATCATGTAATTTTTTATAATGATATATATATATATATATATATATATATATATGAATCATATCAATTTTACTTGAAAATTTGGTAGCCCGATTTCTTTAACTATACATATTGTGTAGTTACAATTTTTTTATATAAACACATAGTTTTATTTAAAATAATGAGCAGCCAAAATGCAAACGGTTTACCATCAGTGGCAATTTCAAAGCTAAATAAACCAACTACTTTAATATTCGCGATACAAAATAATTACTTATCCATACTTGAAACTTTATACAAAAATCTCAATTTGGATTATTACTTTTTAAATAATAATTTTTTTTATTATTTTCTTATTAAAATTGTATTCTTGAATATACTAATGATTTTTTCATTTTGTTATGAGGAGACTGAAGTTCATTTTTAAAAATTTAATTTTGGGTTGAAAAATTTGTTTTCAAACCATTTAATTTTTTTTGGTGTTCAAACAAAAATATACATACGCATGTGTCAGTAAAGGTTTGGTTACAGTGGAGGTGGTATCATTGGTCCGGTTGAATTCAACTAATATCATTCTCGTTAGTTAATTCAGTATCGGCTATAGTAATGTGTTTAGCTACGTCTTTGTTATTAGCGTGTAGTGCTTACTTTTACACTTCGCCTATTCAGTACTTTCAATCCAAATGTATTTTTATTAGACTATATATTATGTGTGATTTAATGTGAAAAGTTTACGTACCGAACTAAGTAAGTTTAGATTTTATATTCTAGCTATATTCGTTGATATAATATTTACATTTTAAGCACGTTAGTTAAATAAATCAATAATTTAATTAGCTTTAAAAATACTGATTACATATTGACTGTTTCACCATTTTATATATAATATGGGAAGGAATACGACTAATTAAATAAAATATACTGACATTTACTTCAAACGTTGTTTTATTTGGTAGTAAATTTTAGTAACATAAGAAGATTAAGCTTTAATTTTACTATTCATAAGATTCACCCTTAAAAATGTCACCTGTTGCTTGTATAAAATAATAAATAATTACACAAATTTAATTAACACTTGCTGCTCATTTACTAGGAAATAAAAACACTGTATGGATAATACAATTAACCTAATTTTTCTTTATGAACATCAGATAAAACAATGAATAAAACTTGTAAATATGACATTATTGTAACTACTAGTTGTTATTTATTAATATTGTTTAATTTTAGAAAAACCTTTTAAATATAAATCAATATTAAACTCACAAAAAATTAGTTGGTTAAGATCTACCTTGATTAACGAATAAAACATTTTTGAAATCATTAATGTATCTTTACCCCATATAGTTTTTTTTATTAGATTTTTAGTGATTTATTAAAGTTATTTTTGTCCCTGCATATTTAACTACGTTATTATATATGCTATTAGATATGTTAGGATTTTAAACAGTACTTGTTTTATTTTAATCATTGACATTTTATTTTTTTCACAAAACTCTCGAAAAAAAAATTTTAAACTGTTTGATTCTTACGTCAGACTGACTCATATTTTCTGCGTTTCTAATGCTTTATGTTGATGTCAAAGCGAACTGATTTCTAGTCCTAGACACCATATGTTACCCTTTTTCTGAATCAACGTCGTTATTAATATTATTGTAATTATTTATTCATATTTTTCAAACTGTTGGTCTTGACCTTTAATTTATAAAAAGTTTTATTGTTTAAATATTGTATAGATTATACCATATTTAATAAGAAAACTTAGATAATATAACACGTAATAATATAAAAAAGATTTTAGCTTTACATTGACGCTAAATTAAATTTAAAAAATATGTATAAAAGAATTTTGGTACCTTGTTTATTATTTGGAATTATTCTAAATGGAAAATTTAACTTAAAATCAATATATCACTTTAATTATAATGTGTTTAATTTAATAAATTATAATATACAAAACTAGGGTCTTTTCAATTCTTGCATATACCACATATTTTATTTGAAATTGCATTAAATCATTCTTAATGCATTAGCTCTAACGTCATATAATCATTAACATGCAATCCCATCTTCATGACAGAGAAGCCATAATAATATTCTTTGCTATATTTTATGCACACCAAGAGTCCACTGCTTCCTCTATAGTATCCATTCTTAATAAATAAATGCATAATGCAAAGTACAAAACTAATATTTTAGTGTGCTGGGCTAAGTATTATTAAATATAATTAGAGGTACTTTGCATTAAAAAAATGTTTGTATTGTATTACTATTTATAATTGCATATAACTAGTTAAATAGAATGCCCACACATAATTGAGAGAACACAGTTCATTCAGATAAAACGTTTGTATAAACTACTGTTATTTGTACTATTAACCACATTATCGTAAATATAATCAATCGATTTTAGCAATGATATATAATTGTGTAATTTTATATAATTCCAGAAATGAAGTCAGATTGTTTAGATATCGTCATTGTCTCAAGTGGAGATAGTGAGGCTGCTATGATGTGGATTAATTTTCTAATACAATGTTTTCAACACTTCAATCAAAAAGAAAATAAGTCTCCGTATAGGTAATTTCATATAATAAATTATGATAAAAGAAAGAAAAAAATGACGAACTTCAATAATGTCATTTATAAGTATACATAAACATGAAAAATAAATTAGGTGTTAGTTTATTATATTCTCAGTAATGTAAAAAAATATAGTTGACCAAAATTATTTGTATGAATCATTTTTTGGGAACTGTTCAAAACTTAGTCATATGCAAATTGTTTACGGTAAAAGTTTTATAACCTCTCATTTTATCATTTAATTCAAACATAAATTTACTTTAACATTCAACACTATGATATCTGCCAAAGAAACTACTACTATTATTAGTTATGTGATAAACTTTAACTTTTAATTTTGAACTAAAAATCTAAAATTGACTTGGTAATTAAAAATCAGAATAATTTTTTTTTAATAATATTTCACATAAAAATTCTTTAATTGAAAAATCTTAAATGCACCGCTAAAGATATACTATGAGCCAACACGTGACTATTAAGTTAATCCCAAACAAATCCTAATTGTTTCAAATTTTTAGTTTTACTATAAAATGATAAATGAAATTACCAATTTTATTTTAGAAATTGGTTAGTAAAAATAATTAGTTGTATTTTTATTAGAATCCAAAGAGTGCGATTGGAAGATGTATTGTCGGGTGTAATGTCAGCACCACGGCAAGAAAGGTGCAGTCAAGCTCGACTTCAAATTGTGCTTGTATGTCCAATTTTCTTAGAAAGAATACTTTCGCATTCAAATCGTTCAGATTCCCTTAGTGCATTACTACAAACCAATCGAATGTTGGCCCTTCTAGTAGGTGTTACTGAAGCCGATATTACGGATCAGCATAAAACGGGTATACTTGCTATCAATAAATATGAAAATCAACACAAATATTTTTATTTTTAAATTTACTTCCTTCTATTATTTTTACTATAGTGTTAGTAGACTATGATAAATGGAGGAAAATGGCCGTTAAAGATCAAGATCGAGAATCAGTAGGAGATTTTTATGGAGTGTCCATGGATATTTTAAGCAAATCTGTGCACACACAACATTTGACCAGCGTATCTGAGGATAGCGCTAAATTTTCAATTACACCGAAAAAGATAAAAATTGTAACTAAATATTACCATTAATAATTACTATAATTTAATTTGAAATGATTTCATTAAAGGGACAAAATAAAATAATTATATTGCTATCTGAACCGTTAAATGCAGAAGATAATATTGTTATCAGCGTGGATAAAAATGGGCATAAAATAGAAGTGACAAACGTTACAAGAAGGAATCCATATACATTACAATTTAAAATGCCATGTATTATAAAATTATAATTAAATTTATTTTAAAAATAAACGTCTATACTTAATATATTAATTTATATAGTGAGCTGTTTACAAGTATCTGTTATTGTTAATATAATTGTCGAAAAAAATGGACAGTCATTAGGTCAACGGTCGGTTAAATGTGAAAGTCGCATGCGAGAATTAGATCAATTACTACGTTCTTTAGATAACCCAATGAATTTTTTGTGCCAAGTGAGATATTATGCAGTATTTTAAATAGAATCTCTTTTATAAATAATTACTAAACTCTTTTGTATATTTTGTATTATAGACTTTTGGATTAAACCCTGCAGATAGAGAACAACTAGATCTATTTTTAGTCACAGCCTATGTAAAAAACGTTCCTCCTAATTTCCATCTTCTTCAACCAGCAGGTTCGAGATATCAATATAATCATGAAGAATATCCTACAATGCTTCACTTTGCTGCTAAATTTGGTCTGGAAAAATTATCTTGGCACTTGTTGGAAAGTCCTGGTGGCGAACAAGCTTGTCAATTGCGTAACGCAAATCAAATGACACCCGCAGATGTAGCTGAAGCTTCAAATCATAATAAATTAGCTCAGGCTCTCAAGGGCTACATGCAAATGACAGAACTTACTAGCATGTATAGCATCTTGAAAGGAATGTCAGATGGTCATCAACCAAAAGATGATCCCGATGCTAATTATTTGCTACCACGGCCATTAAATGACAGTTACTTAATCCCACCAGCACCTAGACCTGTCGAATCTTTAAATAACATGCATTTTTATACTAATGTTGGTTCTCCTCTCACCAACAACACTGCTATGTTTAACTATCAGATACCTCCACCACCACAATCGATATTCTCTACCAACTATCAAGTACCTACCAATGGTAGACCGTATAGTCCTTCAAATACTTGTTCGTCAACGCCACCATTGCCCTCATCACCTAAAGACATTAATTCACCAGGAAGCTACCTAGAAATGAGTTCTAGTAAGTTCTAATATTTTAATATAAAAAATTCATTTTCTCAAAATTTATTAACTCTGGTTTTTACTTGCTTAGCCTTAGGATCATCTAATTATTTACGAGGAAATCTTTCGTTAGGGGACAATATAAATAATAAATCTATAAATCGATCTACCGACTTTTTGAACAGTAACTCACGAGGTACAACAAATAAATTTAGATTTATAAAGAGTTATATATCAAACTTTACATTTCGATATACAGGTAGTAATCATACGTTGTCAACTCCTCAAGATGAACTATTGGAAATCATACATGATTTTAAAAACAATGTCTTAACAATTAATGAAGTCGAAAATTTAGTAGAAACCTGGAAAAATCGACATGATGTACAGCAATCTTTTAAAGAAAAACAGGTATCAACTAAAGAGTATAATTACATTGTATATTCTACAATATAACACTTAAAAGCATGCACTTAATCTAAAAAAATATAAAAATTTTAAAAAATTACAGGAACAACTTAACCAAATGCGTGCCGAATACGATCGAATTCAACAACGTATGAAAGATCAATTAAAACGGCCTACACCTTTTGAACGTATCAAAAAATTCTTCGGAAAAGGAAAATCAAAACGTAATAAATTTATATGAATTAAATTTCATTATATTTTGTATATTACAACAAAATCATTAAAAAAAAAATTAAATAAATTATTTTATTTAGACGCCGAAGGATCTCCGGATAATATAAGTAAAAGAAATAGTTCGGAGAATCAATCAAAAAGACCTACCAGCAGTTTGAGTTTACAAAGTTCGAGTAGTAAGTTATTCGAAGAACTAAAATGAAATTTATTTTATAGAGAACTAATGAATGTAATATTTCTTATTACAATTAGGCTCTAACTCTTGTGGACGTTCTAGTACTGTAAGTGTCAGTAGTATAAATGATAACAGTTTATATCATTCTGAAAATATGGAAGATGGAAAAGTAAGCCAAAAAATATTTTTGATTTTATGAAATCTATAGTGCTTACAACTATTATTAGTTTCACAAAAAAAAATCTTAAAATTACTAAATAAATTTGGCTAAATCATTTATTCAATTTAGCTTAAATAATTTCAATTAAATTAGTTTCAGTTTTAAATGAATTTTACAATTGAAAGTTATTTTGAAAAATGATTTTTTATTAGCTTATTTTCTGAAACACCATAATAGTTATTTTATAAAAGAAATAATTTTACTTATTAGTGTAGTAAAAATATGCTAAAGAATTATAAATTTTTCAGAAGATATTATTTCCTTCGTATTTCGATCAACCACACTCATTCTCTACATTTCTTCAAAACAAAACGATGGATTTTTCTGGTCATGATTATGGAAATGTCATGTACTCTCCAGTAGGGTCAACTACCGCTGAAACTATCATAGAAGAATCGGAAATTCCATTCGCCATTCCTAGCACCTCTAAGATAATTTCTCATCCTCTAGGAGTGTCTGCTATTAAATGCATGACCGGTATAGCATACTCACTTGCCACCTCTCCTACAGAAGTCGAAGATTTCACCCGGGAAAATAAAAATACTAGTAATGAAAGTGAAGAAATTTCTGAGTTTGCTGAAAATGATTACAGTAATAGTAACGCTCATTTAGAAAACGTGGAAGATAAAGTACAACAGCTGTTCGATAATATGCCCGATTATACCAATGTGAGTGTAGGGGAGTGTAGAGAAGCGTGTAAATATACTTCGGTACAAATATAAGCGACATATAATACTAATTATCAAAACAAAGTTTTTGAAATTATTGTTCCTTTTGATTGAATCGATTTAATTCAAAATCAGATTTATTTTTTACAACGAAAATTTATATAGTATTGTTTTGAAAATTGGTTGCTCTAATTAAGTACATACTAGGTATACAAGATCTGTATATTATACTTGTCTTTTTTCATGTAGACATATATCTAGCCAAAAATACTCATATAAAATATTGAGCATCGTTAATATATAGAAAAATATGTACCTTATGTAGTCGATTGAAACACAAGGGTTGTTCAGCGAAAATCTGAATTTATTTAACATTAATTTGATCTAACCTATTAAACATGATTGACATGTTATAAACAAATTTTTAATTGCAAGGTGTCTGTACTTTTTATTATTGTTATTCTAGTTTCAATGTTCAATATTACTTTGTTTTATGTAAAACTTTTATTCGTTTTATAAAATTATTTAAAATCCATTAATAATTGTCATGAGATCGTTTTTTAATACATGAAAATTATGTAAATTGAATACACCAAAATACGATCATTCCTATTTAGTTATTATATTTGTGGTTTTAGTCAAATTTGGATAAGTACTAGTAACTTTTATATCGATATTTAAGTACAATGCTAAACAAACAAATATGTAATTTTTGCTTAAATGTTTATTTTATACTACCTTTATTTTTCAATTTTTTAATTTTTGTTAAATAATAAAGATTTTTTAAATTTGAATAAGTGTATTTATTTTTATGTGTTATATATTAGCTTCGATGAGAAGTTGAAAAGGTATAAATTTAAATATGATGTTTTTATTTCTTTATTTTTTTGTCTGTTAACACTTTTTCTCAGCTTTCACCAAACCGATTTCTTAATAAATAAATAATAAATAAATTATCCTTTGATGAAGATCCTTCATCCTTAAAACAATTACAACTTAACTTTTTCAAATAGCAACCCCGATATTTTTTTTAAATCTTGTTTAATATAAAAAAAAAATTTCTTAAAAAATAAAAATCAATTTTAATAAACTCTAAAGGAAATATCACTATTTAAAGTTTAGAGAATTTAGCAAATGAAACATTAGTCGGGTAAATACAGAAACATTAATATTTAATGTACCGATAATAACTATCGGTGTATAATACTTTATACAACAGATCACCGTATTACTATGAACCGGTAATAATTATCGGTTTACGAACCGTAAAATTTGCACGTCTTTTATAAATCAACGTGAGTAATACTCACGTCCCCTAAACTTTAATGAATCATAGCTGGCTATTAAGTGAATAAAATAAAAAAAAAATTTTTTTAACTAAGTCCAATCTGATTATATAACAAAAAAATAGGGTTACCATTTGAAAATTTAAAATTGATTCTAATTTAAAGCATAAGGGATGATCATAAAAATGTAATTTTACTCACTGAGTAGCCAAAGATAGAAGCATAATATTTCTTAAAAAAAAAAAGATAACATATTTTAAAAGTTAATTTGTGAGGCATAGTTAATCAATCATTCTGTATTACAATGTAATAGGGTGGATCAAAAAAAGTCGATCTTCGAAATTTTAATGAGAACTATTTTAACTTTATTTTAGACATTAAAACTACTTTGTGAAAATTTGAGATTTTTAAAAAAAAAATTACTGGTGGCTCAAAGTGTTTTATGGTCAAATATTATGATTAGTATATCAAAATAGTTGGAATTTTACTGGTGAATACAAATTTTTTAGTTTTAAAATTTTAAATCGAAAATTAATAGCTTGGATATCATAATTAACATCGGGAGTTACGAATCTTATGCCGCTTATCCCGGCACCTTTAAACTCTATACAAGGATTGAGTAGACTCTATACATAGGTAGGAAAGTCTGCTCACACACAACCTTACTTGATGCCTGAGGGGTTGCTTACAGGGAACAAGAGGGTGTGTGAGGCTGGTAACAGAGGTAACTTAAACTATAAATAAAAAATAATTATATTGACAGTAATTACAAAAATCTATCAAAAATAAAACAAAGATAAGTCACTGAAAATAAGTATGTCAAAAATTACCACCATGGCACACTAGAATAAAGTTGCCACTTTGGTACAATCAAAATAGTATAAAGATTAATCAATAATATATATAAAGAGATATATAATTTTTTAAACTGCAACAACAATCAGTAAAATGAAAAAAAAAACGAGACTCAAAGTTAACATCTATACTAATACTTTACAAAAATTTTTCTTAACCTAATATTTACAGAAGGAGAGGAAGAAGGTGTGGAAACATGTGTAGCCCGGCAATGTGACTCAGACTAGTTTTAGGTGGCAGCTTCGTTCATTGAACGTAGTACAAAGATCTTTTGTGCCTTTACAATAACCTCAGTACTCGTTACATTATTGATATTAAAGAACATGACAATTACACATAATAATTTTTATATTAATAAATAAAGATCACTATTCTTTTCTATAATTTTCTTCAATCTTATGAAACCTAGTACTCATACTTAAAAACATATTATTATTAAGAATACCGAAAGATAACTCCAACCCAACTACTTGCTGCTATTTTTTCTTTCTTTTTGAATTACTATATTACTGTGCCTTCTCAAAATATATGCATTTTTATGGCTTCTTAAATATTATGCATTTTTATGGCTTCTCAAAATATATTCATTTTTATGGCTTCTTAAATATTATGCATTTTTATGGCTTCTCAAAAATTATGTATTTTTATGGCTTCTTAAAAATTATTTATTTTTATGGCTTCTTAAAAATTATGCATTTTTATGGCTTCTTAAAAATTATGCATTTTTATGGCTTCTTAAAAATTATGCATTTTTATGGCTTCTTAAAAATTATGCATTTTTATGGCTTCTTAAAAATTATGCATTTTTATGGCTTCTTAAAAATTATGCATTTTTATGGCTTCTTAAAAATTATGCATTTTTATGGCTTCTTAAAAATTATGCATTTTTATGGCTTCTTAAAAATTATGCATTTTTATGGCTTCTTAAAAATTATGCATTTTTATGGCTTCTTAAAAATTATGCATTTTTATGGCTTCTTAAAAATTATGCATTTTTATGGCTTCTTAAAAATTATGCATTTTTATGGCTTCTTAAAAATTATGCATTTTTATGGCTTCTTAAAAATTATGCATTTTTATGGCTTCTTAAAAATTATGCATTTTTATGGCTTCTTAAAAATTATGCATTTTTATGGCTTCTTAAAAATTATGCATTTTTATGGCTTCTTAAAAATTATGCATTTTTATGGCTTCTTAAAAATTATGCATTTTTATGGCTTCTTAAAAATTATGCATTTTTATGGCTTCTTAAAAATTATGCATTTTTATGGCTTCTTAAAATGTATGCACTTTTATAACATCTTAAAATTTATATATTTCTATGGATTCTTAAATTTTGTCTATTTCTATTAGAAAAGGTTTCGTAATATTATATATATCTATGGCTTCTAAAAGTTTTTAATACAATTTAGAATATCAAAGATTTTCTAAGTTCTATAAAATAAATAATAATAATAATTAGCTTCGGCAGAAAGCTGAGAAGGTATTGGTTTTTTATATGTCCCTTATCAGGGCCCACAAGTAATGTATACGAAATATCCATTATCTAGTGGAAATCACAACATAAGAGTAAAAGTAGTTAATGAAAGCACCTACACTAAAAAGTATTTGTGAAACATGATCATTACACAACCAATTTTTATTTTAATTTTATCTAATTTTAATAAACTGTTTTAATTAGGACCTAAATAAAAGATCACATCACATCCAATGAAAAGCTACCAACATCAATTGACTTCGCTTAACCTAAAGCTTGCACTACAAATTACATCAAATAAACAAATTTACAAAAAAAAAAGCTAATCCTAAATTGGATACAAAATTATCAATAATGGAATATCTTGAAAGTAAACTATCAAACCTTCAAAATAGAATAGCGTCTCTTATTACTTTATAATTATATAAATAATTAATTTTATTAATTAATTTTCATACATAAAATCTGAATACACCATCATATTAATCATTAAAATATATATAAAATTGTATCACATCATTATTTCAATTACTTCATAATAAAATAATATTGGAGTAGTATATAAAAAACCATTTTTTTCTCGTATTTTTTGTAATAATAACATGTTTTACTTTATATTTACTCAAAGTGCAAAAAATAAATATTTTTTTAATTTTTTTAAAATTTTCTATTTTCCGGTTAATGTTTCATAATTATAATTAAATCTTCTAATCTACATTCGTAAATTATAGAAAATTTAAACCAGAAATGTTCTACAATTTTACAGCAATAATTGTTTTTGAAATAACACAGAATTTAATTTATAATTTATAATTTTTAATTATTTTATTTTTCAACTGAAAATATTATTCTTAAGCATATTACATAATAATTCAATAATTGTATACTTATTTAGATTAATACCCCATTTGTGCGTTTATAAAAAGTTCACTTAACATTTATTTGGTGCGAATAAGATTAGTGCAATTAAAATAAAATAAATAAAACTTGGCTGTTGGTGGAACATTCCATTGAAATGTTACAAGCATCAAAAAATGTGGTTCCACCAATATATATATATATATATATATATATATATATGAACTATTAATACACAAAAATTAATGATATTAATCAGACATCATTTATATAGTAACTATGGTCTATATTTGTAGTTATGCAGTTTAATTTATTTTGACCATATTTAAATCGACGTTTTCAAAAACTTAAATTAAATTAATTTCAATTATTTTCTGTGTGTTTTGCCGGCTCTCGTGGTCTGGTGAAGAATGATATAATGTCAATGGGCAATGGAAACACAATTGTGGAGTTCTTCTCTGCTGATATTGTGTTCAATGTCTGAAAAAATTAAATAATACGTATTAATTCAATCTAAGCATGTGAATGAATTACTAGTGTTTATATTTTTTCAATCAGCTCTGAGAATACATTTACCAATTCGCCTGATGACGATTAGCCGGAAATATGCAGATTATATCTTTCACCTTGTTACGATATTATAGAATTTAAAAGTTTAACCCTAAGTTTTTTGAAATATTAGTCATAAAAACGTATACAACGAAACATGTAAATTGGATTTCATTACCTACAGCGAATTTTTCTCAAAATAAATTAACATGTATTATATTTAATGAAATATATAAAATGAATGCTCCAAGTAAAATGAAAAATTATTGTTAATATTAAAAGACTAAACATATGGTTGGTATAGAATCAATGTTATTTATCGAATACAAATAATTCACAAAAATTAAAAATTAAATGATTCATAATAGTATTTTTTAATAGAATATTTTGTCTACATATAAGCCTTAAAAATGACATCATCTATAGTGCCATTCGTCAAATAAATAATATATAATTAGGTCAGGAGGATGAAAACACGCAAAAATTTCACATTATTTTTAGAACTAAAATGATTTATATATTGACCAAAATTTGAGGATTGGATCTAAAAAAACATCTACTGAATATTGTAAGAATATCAATTACTCCATTCATTTACCCAACCCAGCCAAACCCTAATGCGTGTTACTGAGTAAGAATAAAAACCATATAAAAAATATGAATAACTTTTTAAATTGTATAATTTCATTGTAGCAAATTTGATGTGGGTATGCAAATTCTTTACCTGTAAATATCTAAGCTGCAACGCAGCTGGAGATTCACTTATCACTTCCGAAGCTTCACGAAGAGCTCTCGAAGCTTTTTGTTCTCCCTCAGCAGCTATAACTTTAGCACGTGCTTCTCTGGCCGCTTCAGCTTCCGCAGCCATTGCTCTTTGTAGTTGTACCGGTAATCTTACATCTTTTCTGTAAATAAAATTATAAAAATATTAGATTTTAAACAAGTGATGTTAGATTTTAATGTAATAGTTACATTTCAACTCTTTCCACTTTAATGCCCCACGATTCGGTTGCGTCGTCCAAGGCAATTTGCATGGTTTTCGATATAGCATCTCGATCGCTTAGGATTTCATGGAGTGGTCTAGTGCCTAACACATTTCTTAGCGTAGTCTGCGCTAACAACCTAGTGGATTGATGTGCGTTGGCCACATTGGCCACCGATATGGTTGCGTTGCACACTCGATAATACACAACAGCATCTACAGACACTGTTACGCTATCTTTAGTCAATACCTAAATTATATTTGACATTTTTTTATTAATTACATAAATCATTTTTAATATATCTTATTTTGAGATAAGTAAAAAAATGTCGGTTGTCAAATGACTCGAAAAAAATTATGCATAGTGTATATAAATTTTTTGTATAAATATTTGTATAATAATACAAATATTATATGTATAATACTATAATGTTAAATGAAAATTAAATGTATGTATACATATAATTTTAAAAATAATTTTTTTTTTTAATTACTTTGTCAAAATCATCTTCATTTCACGCATAATTATCACATAGTTTTAAAAGGTAGATCACTTGTTTTAATAAAAATGGTTTTATAGTTGTACAAAATATTAAAAGTGTGTCATATAAAATAATTTATAATTAACAACTAATTAATTTTTTAAAACTAATCCAACGCTAAAATCACAATTCTAACTAACGTTATACCATGTGATTCATATGACTAATACATCTATAGTAAGACTTTTATAGTTTTTTATGTGTTCAAGCTTCAGCAATACTACTATAACTCCATACTACTATTCGGTCAACGCCCTCTGATTAAATAGTAATTCATATCTTTTATTTTTCAGACATAGTGACACATACAACCGTAAAAATATAGGTCAATGTACTTTTATGTTATATAATTCAAATACCTCTTGGGGTGGCACATCATAAGTACGTGTTCTAAGATCGACCCTGGCATAGTTGTCAATACAAGGCAAAATAAAAAACATACCTGAAACCGTTAATTAACAATCAATTATAGTTAAATAATTTACATAACTTTATTATTATTTTTAATTTTGTATTTACCAGGTCCTTTAGCACCGCCAGATACTAAACGCCCCAGTCGAAATATAACAGCTCTTTCGTACTCTTGAACGACCTATTGAAGCATAGTTAAATGTTAACGCGTACATACAAGTTGACATTGAAATGATTTTTAAAAGGCTTACTTTAAAACAAACAAATAATGAAAATGGAAATGTTATGCATACAAGAAACCAAGCACATACAGTTAGGAATTTTCCACAAACGCCTGGATCAGCTGGCGCACTATCTTCTGCTATAAAATATAAAGAATAATATTAATAAATATTTGCTTAATTTTTGTATATTGAAGTACATAAAAAAGTATATGGTCAAAATTTCATTGATATAATTATAATTAGGTCAATAAAGATTAAAAAAACAAAAATAATATTTTTATCATTGTTGTAATATAATAAATAAATTTATCTTAAATACATTTTCTTTAACAAATAAATATTTAATGACAAACAAAAATAGCATTTATTTTTTTACATTATAATCAATAATGTTGTGTAAATAATAATTAATACATTATAATAATATTGTTACAGAAATTACCTACAAAATATTGCGGATTTTTGAAAATATTCTAACGTTACTCTATAAATTTCACTTAACAAATTTATTCAGTTCTGATTATATTACTCTACGATTTTAAAAAAATTAGGGATTTTATGGAAATTATTATTTCTTTTGAAAACTTATTACTGATTAAAACTGATATTTTCGTTATAATATGTAAATAAACAATAGATTACTCGATAAAGTTATTGTTTTATCAACGATTAGTCAATTTTTTAATCAAACAAAAGTATGACATGTCTTTTGTATAAAGTTTTAGAGTCAAACTATACATTTGATAGCTTTTTCTTTAAAAACAATTTCATATTTTGTACTCGATTAAAGTAACAAGATATAATCAATAATTTGTCAGTACATGGGTAGTATAAATTAATTAATTTTAAATGACTAAACAATCAATAATTTTAATTTAAAAAAATAATTCATTATTATAATATTTTTATAAATTTTATGCATAATTTTGTCACCATATACTACATTAATAATTCTAAATATAGTGTTATACATAGTTTTTTAGAGTATATAAGTCAAATTTCTAGACCGCATTAGACTTTTATTTATACATTCATTCAAATGTTCATTCGAACGTTACATACCCACTCTATATATTAAAATGATTGTAACTTAATAAGTACTTATCCTAAAATTGTTATTAATCCATCAAAATTGTTTATAAGAAAAAGTCTAAAACATAGCTTTTATGAAATTTCAAAAAAGTAACAACTTTTTTTTTTTATATTGATTATGTATTTATAACTTCGGCATCTTCAGATATTAAATACATTTTATAATTGATATTACTGTTAAGATTTAAAATTTTATAGTACCAAATATTAAAAATATTCTTTTAACGCAGTCCAAAACTGTAAAAATTATTTTGTCTTTGGCTACTAAAAATAATCAATATTCTTACAATTTTATGACTTTAAGTAACAGAATTATTTCTATGAAATTTTATAATCAAATGATTGCTTTTTAAAAAACAATCAGAAATTCATAACAGGCGCAGTAATGTGCCATCATTGGTAATTCTAGCATATTAGCGGCTACCAGTGCTGGACCAATACTGACGTATGTCTGGAATGATAACTGACCGACTAGTACTGGTGATTTACCATATACATATTACGCCAGTACTGGTACTTTACAAATAGTTCTTCAAAGAATTAACATCCAACTAGATGTGAAGTATGTGATAAACCTTTCCAGGGAAAAGATTAGTTCTTGATAGATTTGAATTCAATAAAACAAAGAGCAATACAATAAATCAATATGTGGTTTTCCCATTAAAAGGTTTTTATTCTTTGATTAAGATATCAAACAAACAATGGACACTCTTTACGCCTCTTGAAATTGCCACTTCTCTTCTTTCTATATGAAATCCTCTTTTGAATGATTTCACGTCGCCCTTATTATATTTAAAAGTATGTATACAAATTATCGTTTTTATGAATACTTTATCACATAATTCATTTACATTCAACTTAGTGAATTATGAACAATAGCATAACCAGGAATTATGTGATAAAATGAGATGCCATGAAAATAATTCTTGGAAAGTAGAATCTATCATAATCTTGAATAAAATGAAACTTATGTTTAATCGCCAGATACATTTTTAATGAAATTCGCCGTTATCTTTCGAGAACAGTTATCTCGTAAAAAATATATGAATATATCCCTTTTACTCTGATTGCATCTGTTAATACATGAAATTTTAACAAAAACATAATGTTAAAAAAGTAAAAGATGAATATGAATACTATTCATTGACTAGATTGTTAAAAAAAATTATGAATAATTATTAAGCTACACCTCTAAACCTATACTAATTAAGCTCTAAAAGCTTATTTACGGATCAACTAGCAAGAATTGTTTACTTTTTTATGTCATTCGAATAAATAAATAAAATATATTTTTTTTTTAAAAAAAGAAGTCTTTTTACTATTTTTAACTATTTATGATCTAAATAAATAGTTATAAGGTTCTGACTGATAGAGTAATTAATTTAAGTGCAAATACTTTAATTATCACGAAACATTGCATGCTTATTATACTTTCTAGATAATAATTAGCCATTGCATAGGTGACTAATGTTGCTTATATTACTAACTCTCTAAAGTTAATTTAATTAAGTCAATCATCATCAAATTATGCGATTATTTTGTTTATGCCAATATTCTCAACATTTTTTCATTATAAGACGTATCAAAATGACAGAAAATATATCATATTTTATAGCGAAAAAAATATATCCGAACATAGAACCTTATCTCTATGATAACGTTAACAAGCTATTGTGAACTATTTCGGTATTGCCGTTAGTTAATACTTCGAGAAGATGACTCTTGAATCTGAATAAACCTAACACATAAGAGACTCACAAGTATTCTTCTACGTTTTGTAGAAATTTTAATAATATTTTACGTTTCTCTTAGATTGAAAATATTTTTAAAGGCAAATCAATCTTAGTTAAAGTAATGTTAATTATTATTTTCTCAAAATTAAAAATAATTTAATAATTATGTTCAACTAATGAAATGAAAATAGATCATAAATTGATATATGGAAAAAAAAAACACTTGATTTTAATTGAAAATCTCTCTCTATAGTTTCAATCCATGGATTGGTTTGAAGCCATCTTCCATTCTTCTCTATTATCGGCGAATTGAAAATATTGGATTTAAAAAATAAGTATCTCGTTTATTTAAGTTCGATTTTTGACTTACCTCCGATAATGCGATGCCTCTGATCGGCTGTAGCTCTAGAAGTGAGGTGGTGATTAGAGAGATCAATGATTTCTGATGATTCAGCATCTTGCATGTTTTCTTTTGGCTTCACTTTAATTATATTTGAGTGCGAGTTGTACGTAGTTAACGACAACGTAGGTTTTTGTCTGTTGCTAAGTTTTAACTTCAAAGGGGACGAACAGTCGACAAAATTAATATTTTATAACAATATATTTTTATATCTGAGTATTGTGTATACGTGTTTCGTGGCTATTTTTGTGATTATAACCTAGACAACCTATACCTATCAAGAAAAATCCAATCTGAATAATTTAAAACATAAATACCGGGTTAAGTCTTGGCTATCGTACAACTTTAATGCGATTGGGTATCCACAGGGGATGCAAAATTACAAAGCACAAAACAACTTCATGTGGCGGCTACAGCGGAGTGTTTATATTAGCGCACTAGCGCTCCATATTGATCCGTAAAAAGGGATGTGTTACTATGCTTTTCCCTTAAAATAGTAAATTCAAGTTTAGTTCGATTATAATATAAATGAACTATATTATAGCTGTCAACAACTCGTATAGAGGTAAAATATAACATTATGAATTAAAAAAAATAACGGAACTCACTGACACAACGCGGTGTAAATAAAACGTAAATACAAGTACTTAATCATTTAAATAAACGTGTTTTGCCAAAAATTCACGAATAGAAGAATTTAACGAGTGAATCTTATGTGAAATAGTTTTCAAAACGGCAAGATTTAGGGTCTAAAAAATTAAAAATTATCCATAAAAATAGTTTTTGTTTTAGGGGAAATTTTTTTAATTACGGGCGTCAAAACTGGATACAGTTATATCGTTTTATGTATTTTTAAGCAATATCAATTAAGTAAGAAATGAGCATTTATATGATATGTCAAAAGAAATAAAAGAAAATACATCACTAAAATATTTATATATTTTCTGTTAACATTTTGGTTTCAGAAATAGTTCTATCTTTTTTTATCTAACTAGCTTACTTCTTCATCAACAGTTATAATATTCAAGTTAAATATAATGTTAATGATCATAGACGTAATTGGATAGTACTTTAGAATACTTTTGAGATGCTTAAACTCCCATCGAAGATCTGCTTTATGACTTTTAATTAGATTATGAAAAATTATCAATTAATTAATTATTATGTGAACTAAAAAAATATTTTGTATTCAACTTTTTCCTCGCTTTTATTCTAACTGCTTAGAATCGGCCACATTTATCCTAAACATTCACTTGACACGATCTCCCACATCATATATGCACCCCAAACCCAACCCACCCAACCAAACCATAAAAATATTAAGTACATCGTTAAAATGTTTTTTTTTGAAATAGCAAAATTAGACCAACTTAGACATAAAACTTAGAAAAGTATTCAATTTATGTTGAATTGTTTTGATGCTAAGATTTTATTAAAAAACAATATATTTAACAAAAGAGTATTGATGTTCAATAACAAAACTATATCAACTATCTTCAACTATATCAACTTTTAAAACAAACAATCTATGTAAATTTCAAATAAAATTAAATATTTATCTTATATACTATACCTTTTTTTAAGCAACACTGAATTATTTAGTTAATTATAAATTATGGTGAAATTTTTAACATAATCTACTCGACTTCTTCCTAAAATAATATCAATAATAAAAATACTATTCCTGGCTTTTTTAATTTCAAATACTTATCGAATTAACAATCATAAAATACTTTACGAAGGATTTCTTCTAAAAAATATTTAATAATTGATTAATCTCTAATTAAAACTAAAAATATTTTAATATTTTTAGACCATCAAGGGTTTAAAAGAATCATTTTGTATTAAAGAAGTAAGAAGAATTAATTATTGATTCAAACTTCTGTGAAACAATTGGCCAATAATTTTCGTTTACCATTAATAATTCAGTTTTTCATCGTCATCACTTTAAAAAAAGGCTGAACTTCAAGCATGAGTAGAAAAAATTTATTTTAACTAAATATTGTGACAATTATTTTTTTTTATTTTAGGGTTAAAATAGGTCAAACGAAGAAATTTCAACTAAGGTCAATAAGAAAAATCACTAAGCACTTCTTAGAAGTGTTTAAAGTTTGTCAGCCTTTAAAAATTATAAAAAAATGACATTAATGATAAATAAATGTTTTTATTAACAAAATAATGTTTTGGTCTTCAAATGCTTTTAGGATAAACCTAAAAGATTATTAATAATTCATAAATTGAGAATAATTATTATGGTAATTTTGAAAAATAGTGTTTTGCAGGGAATTCTTTTTTATATAATTTAAGTAGAAATAGATAAAAAGTAAAAATTAGATAAAACAAAAAAAAGCAACAGTTAAAACTACAACTTGCTTAATAATGTTTATAAAAGTTTATGAATTAAAAAAAAAACAATAATTATAATTGTTTTTACACTAGATTTATTGTAAAAAAAAAACTTTTTTTGAGTTTATTAATTTTAAATTAAAAAAGAAATTGATCAAACGACTTAAAAATGTGTTTAAAATTGTTTTCTCGTTACTGTAGACGACATTTAATGCAATATCGAAAAAAGATTTTTTTACTACTTTCCAATATTATATAGTTGTAAATCATGCGATGGAATAAGTATACGATTATTTAAAATATTTAACCTTTCAAAAGCTTAATTTAGAAATTTGTAGTCACTGTCTTTTTTTTTACTCTGACTATTTCACTAAAAATTTACTATATATAAGATATAGATTTTTTGAGCTTTTAATTTTTAAAATTTTATATTCAGAGTTTTCATGAATACTACCGTGTTTTAAAATTTTGAAAATAATTTATTACTTGGTTGTACATATAATAAACAATATTTTTTAATTTTGTATGATATATAAAATTTAAAGATGATATTGATATTTGAAGTTTACAAAAATAATGTGTTTAAGAAATTAAAAATATATGTAGTTATAAAAAATTTCATTTATTCTAACTGGTAGGAAATTTAATTTTGAAGAACATTTTTATATCGCATTAAATAATAAAATAAATAGTACATATTAAGCAAGACTTGTGACTTAATGCATTTATATAATTTGTTTGTACTACTTCTGAGGCTTTTAACTACATGAATAATTATTATCAAAGTATAAAGAGTACTGCAGGAATATTTATTATTTTGATGAAGTGATATCCTCCAAGTCCCCAAAAATAAATTTAAAATTATATACACTGTAAAGTGTTATAAAAAACTAAAATATACTCGAGATAACTTAAATGAATTTCCAAGCATTCATTATGAGTATACATTTAAGAAAATATTTCGGTAATAAATAAAACAATATAAAAAAAAACACATTTGTTTGGAGTTAAGTTAGAGAGTCCAAAAGCAAAAAATTGGGTTCTAGGAAAAGTTATTTTTTTTTTTAATAATTGTAATAATAAAAAAATATTGTCAAAATTTGTTTAACTTGTTTAATTTGCGTAACAACACATATGGAATAGAATTAAATAAAATTGTATACATTAAGTCAGTTTACACAGCATTAATTGATTATTTCATTAAAAAATGGATCTAATTTACTGTTATAAAAGTTTAAACGGATTCATTTAATAATTCCAAAACTATCAATAAGATTCATCTAGCATATAGCTTATAAATACATTTAGTTAATTTAAATGCATCAGTCCTGTTTAAAACAACGTGCAATGTAAAATCCCTGCTACTAATCGTTTTGACAATCTAATTTTTTGAAAGCATGTCAAATCTGACATTTAAAGAATCAAAAACATACTCCAAAACTGAAAATAACTATTTGATAAATATATAAGATTAACTTGTTTATTGGGGTTAGCAACATATTTAGAATAGCATTGAATAAATTATTTGTACCAGACTGTTGTTTTTCATTTATTAAATTATTATTTAAATTTTTATTTCATTACTTTCATTTTTTATTATCGAGTGAATTTCATTGAAACGATGGACAATTTTCCTATTTTTTCGTCTATTGTGCTTGTTTATTTTTTTATTCCTATTTCAATTATTTAAGAAGTATCATTTGTAATAAAATTTCACAAATCATTGTTTAATTTATTTCTAAATAATAAATTAAAATGTATTGCCGTTTCATAATTGAAAAGAATGTTCAAATAGAAGTAAAAATAAATTAATCATTTAATACAAACACAACCAAATTTTTTATCATATTGATAATACTTAAATACAAAGAAATTTTTTCAATATTAGATTACTTATTTTTCAATTTAATCAACAAATTTCCTCATATTTTTAAGCCTTCCAAGATCTTTTACAAGGTTTCATAGTTTTTATACTGGACTTCTTCTTCTTCCTCGCCTAAATCCCAACTACTTGGGGTCGGCCACCCTTATCCTAAACTTCCACTTGACACGATCTCCCACATCATCTTCGTTCAAATCAGCTGTCCTCATATCGCATTCAATAGCATCCCTCCATCTCTTTTTTGGTCTTCCTCTACTCTTCTCTATAATGACTATATAAGTCATTAATTTTTATAAAATTTGAAAAGAACTGTGTTGTTAGATGGATCATATTTTAATTTGTGTCTGTAGGGTTTTAGATGAGAAATCTAGGATCAGGGCCAATTTTTACAATAAGAAATCTATACTTCCTTTATCTCTTTTTAAATTATTCCAGTGATTAAGTGTGAATAGCATAGAAATATACTTATTAAGTTATAAAAGTAAAAATCAAAACAATTTAATCTTTTAAATTTTATTATTAAAAGATTAACAATATATAACTATAAAACAATTTCTTAAGAATTAATTCATTATTATAATAACAACTTTTAATTAAAACAAATATTCAATATAAAGACCAGAATTAGCGTTATTGACATTAACAGAATGTTTTAAAATTCTAAAATATAGTAGATGCATAACTACTGACGATAACATTTTTTTTTTGTATATAAATATAAAAACAACAATTAGGACCTGAATTTATATATGTGGACAATATATTTCATACATCTTAAAAGCTAATGTTTACAAATTACATTTCATTTTAAGTAAAACTAAATTGGACCCCAAGTATACAATGAAAGAAAAAAATTAAAAGAAAACTAATAACTTAACAATCTAAGGTATTTATAAAATATTGTGGTAAATAAATTGAGCAACAAAATATAACTGGCATTTCTTTAAAAACTAATCTCTAAATTTTGGCACCAATTACAATTTGAAACAAATACTTTTATTAAAAGCCTAAAAATTCTAAAATTTTTCTTTCTTAATTTAACTTAATGATTAAAACATATCTTGATATCTACTAAATAACTCGAATATGAAATTGAGTAGTTATTTCAGTATATATTTAATACATTTTTAATTTTTTACAGAATCAAAAATTTATATAAATCTGAAATTGTTAAATTTATTAGCTAATATAGTCAAGCTATTTAAGTATATTTACTCAATGTTTTACCGATTTTATCTATTTTATAATTAATATATGTAATATCCTAAAATGGCAATCAGTAACACAATTGGTAAGAAAATACTGTTCAGTACAATAATATTGTGAGCGTTTATAAAATAAATTTACTGTAGTAAATTTTCCAAATCGACTTAATTTATACATTTTTTACATTTTCAAAAAAAATTATTAAAAATTAATATTATTCACAAAGAATGACAGAATAAAATGATTAATATAAAAACCAAGAATGAAAAAATTATTATTTAGATTAATAATGAATTTTAATACAAAATTTAAGTACTCAACAAGAATTGAAGTTTTAACATAACCTCATATTCATAAATAAATAAAAATTTTAATCATTATTAGGAACCAACAAATTAAAAAAAATATGTGTTTAAAACAATGAATAGGCGTGCAATAACTTTTAAAATTAAATAAATCAATTTTTAAATATAATTCATAACATAAATTTAAATGAACAAGTAATGTAATATTAAAGTAAGATTATCAAATTAAATTTATAATTTGAAGCTCTTACCTAACTCATGTATAATAGAATAGCTAATATTACACAATAATTCAATACTTAGTAATTTGGTTACAATTGAAAGGTTTTTTAATTTTTTGAAGAGAAGTGATTTTTTTTAAATAACATTAAATTAATCCGTTTCTAATTTTTTATATTGGATTATTTAAAATCATTTACTCACAATATGTAACGAAACCAGTTTTTACTTATAAAATAAAAATGTTAGCATATCTGGTATATATTATAGCAAGTCCAGTAAATACGTAGAATTCATATGACAAAAATTAATGTTTCTTAAATTTCCATCATCTTACAGAACTTTAAGTATAGTATAATCATTAGAAAATGTTTGAACAATTGATTAAACTACACTCAAAGGTAAGATGATTTCAATACAAAAAGAAAATTTTTTTTGGACAATTTCCAAATATTTACTTGACTCACTGTATATATATATATATATATATACAGAGTGATTTTTTTATCATAACCCACTCATTTACTTACAGAATAATAAAAATTTAAACATTTTTTTTTTTATTATCTTTAGTTACACATTATTCTTGAATTTTTAATTATGTAATACTTTTTAAGTTCATCCCTTATACCTTGTAAGGGGGTCAACTTTGTTTTTTTAAATGGTAACACATATTTTTAATTTAATAAAATGTTTGAGTTTTTAATTCAATAATAAATGGCATTTGAATTTTTAATAAAACTTAATTTGTTTATTAGATATAAACATTTAAAGTTTCAAATTTTTGAGTTAATATATAGGTATAATACACAAGGGATTACAAATACAGGTAGCTAATTGGTTTTTTATGATATTGCTATCACAGTCACGGATTGTTTATTATCAATTATGACTATCAATAGATATACTTTTTGTATTGTCAGTTAGTGTATTTATAAACTCACAACAATGTACCTTACTATCATTGATAATAACAATGCTGTGTACCTGCTAATATCGATGTCATAAAAAACCAATTAGCTACCTGTATTTGTAATCCCTTGTGTATTATACCTATATATTAACTCAAAAATTTGAAACTTATAATGTTTATATCTAATAAACAAATTAAGTTTTATTAAAAATTCAAATGCCATTTATTATTGAATTAAAAATATGTGTTACCTATTAAATTAAAAATATGTGTTACCATTTAAAAAAACAAAGTTGACATCTTTACCAGGCATAAGGGATGAACTTAAAAAGTATTACATAGTTAATAATTCAAGAATAATGTGTAACTAAAGATAATAATAAAAAAATTTTTTTTAATTATTATTATTCTGTAAGTAATTGAATGGGTTATGATAAAAAAATCACCCTGTATATATGTATACATTACACTTAGTAATCTAGGAATGTATAATTATGTACAATAGCTTATACATAATTTTTTTAATTTATATTAATTGTTAAATCTTCTAATAACGTTTTTATCAAAAAATGTCAATAAAAATAAAAGGTAACAAAATATCAAATATTGAATATTATGTAAAATAATAAAAATGGTAAAAATAACCCAAAAAAGGTATATAAAATTATTAAGTTCACTAAAATTATTCCAAAAAGAATACTCAAATTACATTATATATATATATTATAAACATTCAAATAAAATATGTGGCGCTTTGTGTTTTTATCTTAAAATTTACAATTATATTATATATCTTGCACATTGTTTAAACACTAAAAATTTGAAATATCAGCCTTATTAATTACTAAAATATTTATATATTTTTAGTGACAACCTAGATTTTAGATCCTAAACAATTTAAATATCATACTATTTATCACAATTTAATTTTCAATGTAGATATCATATTTTATGATTTATTATACAATATCATGGTATTGTCGAAGATGAATCAATTACATAATCACGTTGTAATATTTTAGCCCATAGTGTTTTCATTGACTTTTCTGCTTCATTTAATAAACAAAATACAAAATCATGTTCTAAAAATTTTGTATTAATTATATCTGACTCTTTTACAACTAATTTACCTAAATCTGTTACTGTGATGTTTTGCTTAATAGCAACAGTACCAGTTATATGGACATCATCAATCCAAAAATAAGGAGTAACTTGGGCTTCTTTATATAATTTGTATATAACATCAGGTGAATAAATTATTGCCCAACCTCTACAATAAATTGGATACCAACGGTCTGGATATTCTGCATATGACACTCTCCATTTGGAACGATATGACCGCTTAACCATAAAGTACATAGACAGTTCACACATAAGTAAATTACGTGCTCCTAAAGGTGATAGTTTATGATTAAGTATTTCTAACAAATATGGAGCATTTACAAATGTGTCATCATCAGTTTTGAGCAAATAACGAGCACTAGGACAGTAATACAATGTCCATTTTAGTACCATCACATGTTTATAAGTTAAATTACGGTAACTATCAATAAAATTTCCTTGTACAATATCATTATAAGATTGATTTTCTTCGATTATTTTATTTTGAGTAATGTTAGAATCTGAAAGACCCATAAAAAATAATGTTGGTATCATTTTTGCCCATGTATTTCTTATGGCCTGACGTTTGTCATAATGATTTGGTGCAGAATGAATTAATGCTATAATCAATTGAGTATTATTGTTGCATACTATATGATTTATGTTGAAATTGAAAGATTGTAAATCAATTAATGTATGAAGGTCTTTTTCTGACAAAGTATGTAGTTCGAAAGGTTTTGATGTTACATTTTCTTCTGTAAGTATATGATATTCTAAGTGATTTGGGTAAACTTCGTTGATACTTACAATTTTGCTCCATACTGACCATAAGGAAAATGTAATTAAGGTTAGGCCACCAAGTGATATAATTAATGTTAAGAATCGTCCTATCATGGCATTTCTTCAATTATCAACAATTCTGAAACATAATCCAATTATTTATTAATTTCTAAATCACAATTATTATTACATTATTAAGAAAATATCTGTAGGTTATATTTAATATAAGAATCTTTATAGATTATAAAACAAATTTTCAATCTTCAAAATTACTAAAACAGAAATTTAATATAAATTTTAAATCAACCTGTAATTGGTATAATCAAGATGTCTACAACAGAGTGCGACAGCAAAAGGGGACAAAAAAAGACGGAAAAACTCAGATTACAGTCAGAGCGTAATTTTGAGTTTACCGATGCACACTTAGAGTCAAATGATTACAAATGGCACAAGAAACAATGCACGTTTAATATAAAGTATTTTTATCAAACCAATAGTTTTACAGCTACTCAACACATTTTTTGCAAAGAATTCTTAATACATTGTAATTATTCAGTACCTTACACGTATGCAACTAAAGTATAAATTGAACATTCTGAAGCCACAACAAACAGAAGAGGAGGAGTAAAAACATGAGCATGGTATAAAATTTTAGTAGTCCAAGATTTAAATGAAAATTATTTTACAGCTTAATTGTTTTATTATGAACATTTTATGCCTATGATCAACAAAAATGAGAATGTCATGTACAATATTTGAATTACTATCTAATGTACTGGAGTTTAACTAACCCACAACAGCTTCACAGCAACCTTTTCATTATTCTAACATTATGGTTTCGTATGCCATTTCTTCATTAAATATTATTGGTCCATTTTTTATTTTAATTAATTTAGAGAACTGTAACTATTAACGCCAATCAAAATATTAAGCACAATTTTTTAATTCAACTATATCAATATGACCAATTAACAAAATTATGTTCCAGCTATACAGCCTCTTTGTTCTCCTGATAATTTTTTGTGCTACTCTATTTTATTCTACTCTACTTAAACTATTCTTAAGAATGTTTTGGAAATGTATAACCTTAAGTCATTCTTTTTAAGAGTTTCATAAGTTTTTTTTGTATCCATATCATGAGTATCTAGTAAATTTTGAATATGTAATAAATTTTTAAATGTAAATGTATTAATATTTTATTTATATCAATAGTATAGCAGTCCTTAATCTCATTTTGGATGATATACTATCTCTAATTACATCATAAAACCCAAATAGAAAAATATAAGAAAAATACTTAAATGAACAATATTTCATCCAAAAATAAATTTTCTTGTCAATCAATTTATATTACACTGATTTTAATTAAATAAACTTACCAATGATCTCTTATCTAGTTTAAGTTTGTCACAGAATATAATATTGTCAATTATCCTAAAAATATCATAATTAATAAATTAATAAATAATATATAAAATTTTAAAACATCATAAAAAAATTTATCTTTACAGAAAAGTTTTAAATTAAATATTACTTTGAGATCTTTTTGAAATAAGAATCATTAAACCAATAGAAGGTTTTTAAAAATTTATTTAAAATAGCATTTATTTCTTATATTTTATATGATAATTTTGAAATCATTTTTTAATTAAGTACTTATTATACAATAATAATATTCTATGTGTATATAATTATTTGATCACCACTTTTAAATTAAAAAAAAATATTTGAAAAGACTTTATTCAAATAATAATATATAGTTTTATGGATAAAAATGTACTTTAAACAATTTTGTAGATCGAAAATATAGCAATGTCATTTTTATACCATAAAAATTGTATTTTTTCTTTTTTGTAATGGTACATGAACATGATTCATGTCATGGTTAGTATTACTATAGATAATTTGTTGTATGACTGCTGTACCATAACTAGTTTTAAATTACTTTCTCTAATTAGTTCTTCCTAATTAGATTCAGCATTATAGATGAGTTAAGATTTATCATTCATTAATTAATGTTTTATGGATGATTGAATCATTAACAAACAAAAAATAATAACTTGAGTAATAAAATAAATTCCATGTATCTAGGATATTTAAAAGTTTATAAAATAAATGTCAAGTCTTCTTATCTGAGGTCACATTTATTTAATATAAAAAAAAAAACTAAAGTTAAACTAATGAAATGATACTAATTTTAAAAACAACTATGAACACTTTTTTAGTTATTTAACAACGTTAAGAAGTCATTTAACAAAAACTTTAAAATATTTATGGAAATAATTATTTTTTAGGTGTGTTAAAATAATAGGTAACATAGCAAATTAAAATGAATAATAAGTTAATGAATGAATAGTTATTTCTTAATTATAGACTTTAATTCAAACTTTATAATTCAGGTCACCAATAAAGTTATTTAAATTTGCATGAAAATTTTTTTTAAACTGAACATATCTAATATTTTAAACAATATACTAATATAACGTAATAATGTTTAACCACTTTCAATTTCAGAAAACCAAAAAAGAGTTGTATGTGATCTTTTTAAGTACATTCATACAAAACACACTTATTTTATGATTTTTTTTTCCAAACTGAACATTATTTCCATTGTTTTTCTTTTCACACTTTACCTTTGCCTAAAACACCAGGAATATAAATTTAATACAGAATGTCTTCTCCTTAACTGTCTATCTCTAAGAAGAATATTTTATTTACAATTATTTCAAATTAGAAAACCAATTTTAATAACATTATTGATTTATAATCATCCTCATTTATTTATAGATTTATTCTCGGCATAACAATCAAAAGTCAACTTTTTTATTATATTTGTCTGTCAAATATTTTACTTTATTACTGGAGAGAAATTAATATTGGTATTATGCTCAAATAAAAATATCTTACAAACCAAAATTTCTTTATAAAACTTAAAAATACTCTATGAGAATTAATATAGTTAAAAAAAATTTTAAAATCTATTATGTTATACTATAATTAAACTCAAAGTATATAAAAAAAAATTATTATTATAAAACTAGCACTAAATAACTAAAACTTATGTGTATTCTATATATTACCGTTATAATTATTAAATTATCAATAATTATATTAATACAGGCACTAGTAAAAACTACAACGTTTCAATTAAACATTCAATAGCAATTAGATATTTTTTTCAGTATGACTAGAATTTGATAACTTGAATTTATTTATTATCAATTATTAAAATTAATTAGCATGATGAATCATTTTTAATGACTAAAAATGTTTATTTAAGATAATAATTATCATGAGTAAACACTTGACACTTGTTTCCTTCTCATTAAAAGTATACTCTTGGCTGATTTATATTTGTATACCCAATACAACTTTGATTCAGTTCACAATTTCAAAAATATCTAGTACCTAAACATATATTATTCCATGATCAAGTATTTGTATGAAATAATAAATCTTTAGAAATGAGAAAGAAAATTTTAGCATAATAATTATCATGTCATTTATGCTACAATATAATGCTGTGTAGAGGTGACTTACAAAATATAGTAAAAAAAAAACTTGAAGGGAAATCAGCCAAAATATGTGAAGATTTAAATAAAAAATATTGAATGATAGAAGTACTATGTAAATGAACCAATATTGACAGCTGATACCAGTACAATTATAGGATGACATGGATATACAATTATTAAGCGTTATAATGAATACAAACGATAATAACAGAGCAAATATAAATGGTAAGTGATAACGTACAGTAGTCAAACAACTTACCGAAATCGATGAAGCCGGCGGTTTAGTCGGAGTACAGCAAATAGCGTGTGACCCAAAGCGTTTGTCGTCCAGCCGATACGCCCGCCGACTTATAATGACATAGTATATCAACGACTACAATCATGTTCTGATGAAGTAGGACGACAACGCACACGCAATATCTTTAGAAGAGTACTGATGCATGATGAATTTCCTCAATTAGATTTCAATCGAGTTTCGAACCGAACTATATTTAACAGATTTCGGTTCATATTTCGGTAACGGCGACCGCGGAACGATTGGGAGAAAAAAACTGCCAACTCTGTGTTCCGGAGTGGGGCGGCACCGGTGGTAGCAGTAGTAGTGGTAGCATGTAGAATTGGGGGTAGTATTAGTCACAAGAGGTGAGTAAGAGGGGGGTGTCCAACTTCTCCCGGCGATGCCTGGTGGCAATGACGGCAGTATGATCGCTATTCGAAGCGGTGGCCATGGTCAACGTTTCGAGGACACAGCTAACGTTGGGATTTTTGAATGAAAGATAAACAACCGCCTTATTCATCCAACAGTGTGGCCAGTAGCGAAAAATATTGCATCTCTAACGATAAAAATATATTCGTTTAAAGAGGATGAAGACACAATTGCGCTGGCAGCGTATGTCGACACCGGTGGCATTGGCTTGCCGCCACAGTTACATTTCCCGTTACTCTAGAAGTAATGCATTTAAAGCGCGACAATTCAACCCTTAGTTTAGGTCATAGATTAATTCACAGATTAGGTTTTTATAGTGACAAACACGCGATATTACTTTGGAGCGTAATGGAAAAATGAACTTAGTGTCCGACAAAAGCCTGCGATCATGAAATATGCGAAAATCGAATTGAAGTAACAAATACACAAATAGCTATCGGAATATTGAATTTTTTAGAATTTATTTAAGATTAACACAGTCGTATGAGGCGTTGTTATTTATTGCCGACAGCCACTTCAGAGCACGTACGATAGGCGCGTCGCCGAGTAACGACACGCGCATACTTGACAAAATTAAACAGAACGCGTTGTTGATTGTAATTATTTATTAGCACATTGTCGTTGTGTATCTTTGTTTTGTATGTGTTACGGTGTTTTGAAATGATACTGCGATTGGTTGACATGACATAATAACTCGATGGGTACAAAACGTTGACCGTGATGAATAAAAGATCACGTCGTTCCTAGTTCATTACAATACTCTGATATTGGCGTATTACTACTGCATTCCGGATGAAGGCGTTTGTAGCCTTTTTTAGATGATGTACAAATCCAACGAATATGCAAATTAAGTCTTATCGAGGAACAACACACTTAGCCCTTTTTTCACCTATAAAGCTTTCAACTCCATTAGTGTTTCAAACAATGTAAACAATTATAACCGTACAATGCAAGCTTAACGAGACAATTGACTGACTAAAAATAAACATTGTTAAAGTAATGACGTCATGCCTTTTTAATACTATACATATTGAACACGGTCTATCATTTTTCTGGACGTATTTTTTTGATTGTCAATTAAATTATATAGATTTGGGTTTGGTGCTTTTTTAATACATTATTAATAACAATCGATGTAAGTTTTTTATTTTGTCTTTAGGGCTCAATAATAAGGTCAAACGATTTTTCCAACTAATTTTAATATTTTATGGAATAACACGTAGACTGTTACCTCAGATCGATTGAATTATAAAAAAGCTGTCACGTTAAAATTTTGAATAGTTTATTTAACTGTATAACAACCGTCCGACCTCGGTTCTTAGTAAACTGAAAATAATAAAACGACCGAGTCCGTAATTCACACATATAGAGTTGAATTAATTATTGGGGACAGTTGTATTCGATTGTATTCAAGGCTTACACATACACACTTTAAGAATATGTTTAACTTTAAATGTCCTCTGAAGTAGGTACACGGGTTCAAATCATAGAAAAAACAGTTGCACACGGCTGCAGTATTGTTTTTCAATACTAAAATTAGTTTTATCGATTTCATGGCAAGTTATAACTTAAACAATTGTTGACTCTGAGAAGAGAGAAATCATGTGTGTAATCTGAAATATTTTATTTATACGAAATAACACAATGCAATGCGAGTGCTATCTTTTCCAAGACTAAAATTAGATGTGGTTGTAATTATTTATTGTGGCATTATTTATTTCAATAATAGCTTGCTTATAAATATTAATGATTTGCTTGATGTAAATAATATTAAAAAAATTTGTTTAAACCTTTATTTAAATCATAATCAGCTCAACAATTATAAACAAATATTAACGTTTTAATTATTTAAAAATACCTTTTTTGTACTTATTGTTTTAATTAAAGCAATCAATAATACACAAAATATATTTTTAACGGTTTAGAAAGGCATTTTACAGTAGAGTCAATATAAGACAGTTACTATTTTAGTGTATATGAATACGTATATGAAAAATTTGCTCTTAAGCTTTCTAAATGTCATAATTTATGTGCTACATTTTTTCTCAACCAAGACCATATGAATGAAAAAATAAATCTCTTAGCATTTTTAAAAACCCCTTACTAATTTTGTTAAAATTAATTTTATTGACCTTTCTATTTTTTTCAGCTTCGCATCAAAGATGAGATGGTGTGTGTTTTTTATGACTACCCGTGAACATTCTCAGCTTTATTGGACCGATTTTAATGATCAATAACTTAAAATAACTCATTTTTAATCTAGTTTAACCTTTTAGTGCCAAAAATTTGAAAAACATTCATTTTTAGAAATTTAAATATAAATATTTCATGATGACTTTACCGTAAAAAATAGCATTTTCAAACATTTTATTCTGCATTTTAAAACTGATGTAACTTCATTTTTAGACACTGATCTAAGTTAGATTTTAAAAGAGTATACTAAGAGACAATATATTATATATATTACAATAAAACATATTCCTTTTAATACGATGTTAATAAAAATCCAATGGAAAACATATGTACAGGAAAAGTTTGAAAATATACCACACATGTAAACATTTATTTCTACTCAATTTTTGACATTTTTCCCAAAGGTCTGACTTCTAATCTATATCAAAAAATTATTGATCTAAATATGTATTGTATATCTTTATATGTCTATATAAAAAAAATTAAAGATTTTTAACACTTTATAACGAAACAAAGAAAACATTTTTGATTATATTTTTCTCTTAGTTATTTGAAGTTAAATTCTACTCTGTGAAATCGTCAAAACGAAAACGTTATTTTTAATTAAGCAAATAATTTAACTTGCATACACTCGAGTGAAATTTCAAATCGTAGGACTTGTAAAATTATGATATTTAACAGATGCGCATCGGAGCGTTTTTTATGATAGTGATCTTAATCACTTTCAAATATCATCTATAATTTTAAGATATAATCTCACTTTGCTACGTCTATTTTAATAATACATAATGTTTAATATCGATTTCTAGTGGCATATTAAGGGCCTAACTGTTCGGAGCTATTTGTATTTGGTACCCCTTTAAAAATTTTGTTGAGTAAAAAAAAATTGCATAAACGCAAGAACAAAAGTTGTAAATAAAATTACATACATTTATACATGATTATTATTTGATTCATCGGCTAAAAGCCTCAGGAGCGCCCTGGGACAACTGCCACTGGTACCCTTTTATGTAGACAGGCTACAATCAATTTCACGAAAGCAAATATGATATAAATTGAATGATACGGTTCAATTTAAAATTTCGACTTGGCTAAATCAAAATCAGACCTTAGCTAGGCTGGCTCGAACTCTACTCACTTTTTAAGTAGATATTTGTAGTAGCTATCACCGATGACTTCAAACCAGTTATGTTAAGATGGACAACATAACGAGTTTAACATCTTCCCCCGAAAATTCAGCACCGTTAAGTATTGTTAACTTCTTTAACTGTTTTATTATTAAGAATGTCATACATATGAAAAATGTTAGGATATTTTCAATAACATCCAAAAAATAAATTTAAAAAATGTTTACATGTTCCCGCCCAAAAAAAAGTCCAAATTCATCATTGACTAAACCAATGATAAATTTGGACTTTGAATATATATATATACAAAATCTGATAATAATCATAATAAATTAATCATTTTAAATTAATTTAAAACCTAATTAACATCAAATAATTTATTAATGTTTACCTGTGAGTTAAAATGTTGTGAAACTTGTTGAGTTGTAAATGAAATGTTATCTTCGCTGTAGACGCAATTAAAATAAAACATACTTTACAACAACGCAAGGTCGGTACAGTTCACTTATACGTCAACTATACGGAGACGGAGGTATAGTTTATCTGTACACAGTTAAAACTTAATGAGGAATAAAATTTAAATAATATAGGTACTAATGAAAGTACGAAAAATTAAATTTTTCTTACTGTAGGATATTAAATCTGAAATAAAATAATATCTAATATTTACTAAAGTAAATATTAGTAGAATATTATTATTAATATATGTAGAATTTGTACTTGCTACAAAATTATTTCGGTCTAAGGAACTTAGACAAGAAATTAAGCAACTTTAATTTTGAAGAAATTTTACAATATAGTAAATTTAATTATAAATTATCTGAACAATTTATTATTTATTAATGAATAATTTATCGGAACAAAGGTATAGTTAGAGAAAAAATATGGCAATTGGCTAGAGAAGCAAATGTTAAGGGACATATTTTTGAAGTTAATAACCTTATCTTCCATATAAATTATTAGAAATAAGATATTAAAAAATTATATATTTTTTCTGATTAATTTTGGAGAATATTTACAGCTATTATTGGCTGTAATTATAAAAATCATTTATCACCTCCTACGAATTACAATTTATTTATCAGGCATGTATTCTTGAGTATTTCCATGAGCCTTATGTATTTCAAGAGTTTAAAAATTAAATTAAAGTTGTATTTTAATTTAGTATCATAAATAAATAAATAAAGTGCTAAAATTTAGATTAAGTCGTCAAATCTATTCAATGAAATTTTAAACTAGGTTTGGCCTTTTTATAGTTTAAAGAAATACAAAAGTTTAGATGAAAAAATTCGATAAATAATTTTAGAAAAGTTATCAATAATGTAGTGCGACCGGCTTGATGATGACTTTTTAACGATTAAAAAACATTTTAAATTATGACTTAATCTAAGATAACAAGAATTATAGGCGAAAATCAAGTAGGGTCTTGCTCCACAAAATGTTAAAAAAAAATATTTATTTTTATAAAAAAAAAAATTTAGGGTGGGGTATATAATTTAGCCTCCAATTTTTTTCATAAAATTACACCAATGATACGAAATTTCAGGATTTACATTGTTATTATAATTCAATACAAAATCAAGAGTCATACTGATGAAGTGTATATATCTTTATTTAAGCTTCGCATCGAAGCTGAAAAGGTATTAGTTTTACTATGATGTGTTTTTTTTTGCTATTACCCCTTTTTTCAGCTCTTCAGAAGCCGATTTCTTTCAACGATACGTCAAAATATCACAAATCGTATCTAGTCAAAGACATTACCCTCAAAAATTGAAAAAATATCTCTCGTTCCTCGTACATGGGACAAATTTCCAAAAAATTACAATTTAAATATCGGTAATTTTTGACCTTTTTTTCTACTTAAAACTGCCATAACTTTTTTAAAAATGTATGGATAAATACATTGTATTTTTAAATAGGTATATTGAGTATTAACCTATCATTTGGAAGATTTTTTTTAATCTGACCCTTCGCTTGCCCACAGGGAGGAATCAAAATGACAATATTTTCACAAAAAATTTACTTTTTCAACTTAACTTTTGAAAGTGTTCCGGAAAAACTAACACTTTGATATATATCTTAAATTAAAGCTGATGTTATATACTTTATTATGGAAAAAAAAAATGTTGGACTTTATTTTGTTTTCACTGTAAAAATGGCTACCCTATGCTATTTTCGTAAAATTCTCGATTTTATATTTTACATTTTTAACTTTATATTTCTATAACTTTTTGAAAAATGTATGGATCAATACAATTTTTTTATGAGAAATACTATTTATATACAACATACTTCATTCATTATCTGTCATTCGACATACTTTTTTTTGAAATCGGACCATATACCTTTATACAGAGTGGTTCAAAACTTAAAAATTCGTATAGAAAGTAGAACTTTTTCGACTTATTTTTAATCAAAATATTTTAATTGATTATTCATTCGTAACCTAATAATCAAACATAAATATTTGTTATATTAATAAGAAAAATTTTGTAATTATTTAGGCCATATGCGAAACTTTAATTACAGATTTGAAATAGTCGCAAAAATGGATTTAGAAAAGTATATTATGGTTTATGATGAAAATTCCTTTGACACGACTTACGTCGCAATTATGTAGTCGACACTGTTATTGAGGGTAGAGACCCTATATTAATGAGTAAAAACAGATTATTAAAAAAAAAAAAACCGAAAAGACGAACACAGTAACAATAATCTTCGCATAATATTGCGGCACTTTCGCTGGCGTCGGCAACGCGGTGTCCGACTTGATCCTCGAGGTCAAAAAGTTAGCAGCGATGATGGCGACGGTGCGCGGGTATGGATCGATTCGTTGAGTCCAGTCTTACGGCACGTCCGGAGACGGTGGCGTACATCCTCGACGTTGTTACTTGGACAACGGGAAGAAGACTCCCCGTATCGTTTGCGGCGTGTCGTCGTCGGTCGTGCGGCACTTGTTGGACTTTGCACCGTGGCGTATGGCACGCGGTGTTGGTCAGTCAAATACTTATAGTAGGGCAACGGCTGATAAAAATGGTACGATTCGCGGGGCATAGTGTTCAACGAAGCGACGCTGTGTCACCTTGCAGACCACTAAATTTATTTATAAATAACAAACAATTTTTGTTTTAAGTATTGCATCAAGACCTTTAACTTTTATATACGTTTGCCATAAAAGTAAAACTCGTAATCAGGACAGAAATAAGGAAATAGGAGANATAACTACTTTATAATTTTTTATGATTTCTCCGTAAAAATTACAATACTAAATTATTAAATATCAATTTCATACTATATTTAATTGCTATAATAAATATTTATTCAAATATAACTGTTATAAATCATAAAACTCGTAATCAGGACACAAATAAGGAAATAGGAGATCATGTAGCGTTTGGAATAATCTACCAATTTCTTAAAATTAAACACTATCTACAGATTTGCATCGAAGCGTTTTTTATGATAGTGATTTTAATCACTATCAGATTAAGTCTATACGGTACCAACTATGCCACGTCCATTTTCTTTAGTGTTTCAAAATTTACACAATGAGTCATGGTATTTATAATTAAAGATGAACAACATATATGACACTAGTACTTTTCTGTACTTCATTATATGAAATATAATATCTAGTGCTTTTTCTATTTACCTTAGAACTCCATTAAAATTATATTTAATCACATGTTAATATACTATTTCCGGGTACCATGGAATCTTTGATTCTTATATGGGGACAGAAGTATTTTTTTACACGATTAAAAATTGTATTAGACACAAGTATTCCTTCTCTCTCTCTTATTTCATTTACGTTTATAATTCAATGAATATTTGATGTTTTCTTCTATTTCTATTAAAGGTCCGTTTATATTCTTAGAAAATCAAAAGACGTTTACATAGTCAAGGGTTAATTTTTATTTTTGTAAGTAAACAATTTGAAGAGAGCTTCAGTAGTTTTAAACTTTAAAAAAGTTTAACTCTACGTCCACTTATTAAAAAAACTATAATAAAAATTCAATGAATAGGATTCTAAGAGTGAGCGTAGATCAACGTTTAATATTGTAATATAAACACGAAAAAAAAAATTTAAATACACCAGATATATAATTATAAAACATTTAGAAGAGAATTTGCTACCAAATGATATCTTAATATGACTATCTTAAATTGTTTTACATATATGGAAAATTTTAAATTTGTTTTTATAAAATTAAATATATATATATTGTATAATATATATATATATATAAATATTTAACTTTATAAAAGTTAACTTAGGATTATTATAATCTTAAGTTCTAAAAAGCTTTTAAAACATTAAGTAATAAAAATTATTTAGTGGATCAAAATGTAATTTTTTTAAGATCTTAAAAATTGTATAGATAATATCTCAAATTATATTAGTGATAACAAGATAACAGCATAGAATCACAGATAGGGTTTATCTCCTATGTGATAATTGTTTATTCGATTTCTACATGCATTTTTTATCAGTTTGATAATTAACTAAAATTTAATTCGCAATTTGCTCTACTTAGTTAATTAAATTATTTTTGAAATGGGACTTGATAATGAAAATCCTACACTTTTTATAAAAATTAAAGATAGAGAAATAACTGAAACAGATTATGACGATAATGATGTAGAAGAAATCGACTCAAGAGAAATATTTGGTAATATTAAATTAATCAGATTTTAAGTCATAAAATTTAATTAAGATAAATAAATTTATAAAGTGGATTCAATTTATGAATATTTAGAATCAATTTTTGAATTATAGATTTAATTAAAGGAATTACTGATCCTGAACATCCATTGTCTCTGGAAGAGTTGAGAGTCGTTGATCAAAGTTTAATTGAGGTAGTTTAATTGATAAAATTTTGATTTAAAACCTTTTCTTATACTTAAAGAACATTTGATTAAAAGTATAAATTAATTTTTGTTTAAAATCTAACAGATTTTATAGTATTATTATTATTTTTTTTTTAAATGATGTACATCTTCTATGTAGTATTTAAACAATGGTCTTATTTATACATATAATACTTACTATGTATAAATAAATTATCTCAGTTAACATTAAAAGTAAAATTAAAATAATTATATTTGAACATTTGACATAATTTTTTTACAATTTATAATTTCAATATTTTCTATAATATAATTGTTTTTTTTTTTTGTCATATGCTACATTAAAAAAACAAACTTATGCATTATCTTAGTAATTTCAAATGTAACTAATTTTTGTGTTAATTTAGTATCAGTGGTTTTGGACTTTTTAATCCATAAAATTTTTTAATTATATGTGTTATAGATACAATATACTTTTATCTAATTTTAAAACATGTCAAGATGACTGAAACAATTTCTTATATAATTTTTCAACAGTTTAAAATTCAATTATAAAAAGGTTTTATAGTTTTTACTAACTTAAACAGCTTTGTATTTATCATAACTTTTTAAGTCTGACCTTAAAATCAGAGTTTAAGCATAAAGATATTAAAGAACAGTACTGATTTTTATACAGATCATTCTTTAATTAGACATTTTTTTAGGTTGACGATCTGAATAATATAGTTAAAGTATTATTTACACCTACTATTCCACATTGCAGTATGGCTACCTTGATTGGACTTTCAATTAAAGTAAGACTTCTTTGGTGTCTACCCTCTAGATTTAAGATATCTGTTTCTATAACTCCTGGTACACATGCATCAGAACATGCTATAAATAAACAGTTAGATGATAAAGAAAGAGTTGCTGCTGCTTTGGAAAATACACATTTATCAACAGTATTACATAATTGTATAGCTACTGCTTAAGTATTTTAATTAAAAAACATTATTATGATTTTTTATTTTATTTAAATAATTTGTACACAAAATACCAAAACAACATTATACTAAACTTAATAATTACTGTTTTTCTTGTTTTAGTCCACCAGCTACAGTAGGATTATATTTATATGTTTTAACAGGGGGTGCTCTACCTGCTTGTGTAAATTTCATATGATCTAATCGTTCTCTTTCCTCAATTTCTCTCACAACTTGCATATTTTTCCATGCTGAAAGAATAAATAAGTTATAGTTTATTAATTTAAAATGATCATAGTTCTAACAGTATTTTAATAAAAGCTAAAAAAATTATCTATTTAGGGTATATTTGCAAGAAAATACAATATACTTTATTTAGACAATTATCATTAGTATAATTATTAAAAAAAAAATTATCTTTTAAATTAATTAAAGTAAATTATTTTCATTTAAATATCATCAGTATCACATACTGATGAAATTCGATTAAAGATAGATACCTAAATAAATAATTGTTCACATATATACTCATAGAAAAAATACTTATCAAAAATTGGAAACTGAGATAAGTAGTATTAAATCTTAAGCAAAGTTAAACTACAAGATTCTTATATATTTTTTGGAATTACAAACTTAATTGTTGATTAATTATTGTAAAAATAAGATTTAAGTCGCTTATATAACAATAATATAATATAATGTTAAAATTTAATCTCAAGAATTTTTTTAAGTATAAAATGTTTTCTTACAATCTTTAAAATCTCCTATAAGTCCTTTTTTTGTTTTGGGCTTTTCAAATTTCTTTTTTTCTTCTATGTTGAAGTATTTTCTTACTTTAGGAATTCTTAAAAACATTACTTGTGTTAGTGAAATAAAATTAGTAGATGCCCAGTATAAACACACAGCCTAAAAATACAAATCAAAACATAAAAAGGTTGCTACCACACTTCAATATTAAGTATGTAAAATTTAAGAAATACACTATTGAATGTTACAAAATAAATGTAAATTATAAAAGGTACTTCTTTATCAATGCAATACTTGTAGGCCGGTTCAAATTCAGATTGTTAAAAAATTGCCAACCAATATTGAAGGTTAAGAAAAAATAAATCACAAGCATCTTGGAACCTTTGACATAATTCTTTGGAGTTTTCATATTTTTACTATTGTTATAAAAATCACATATTTTGATAGACAAATGCATATTTAAAGAGTTTTCATTGATATAAGAAAAGTTATAGTAAAAAATTGAAAAAGTACTATAACTATCTTTTATACTGCGGTAAGTTATACAGACTAATAACACTTATTTTAATAAATTTTTATTAATATTATGAAAAATTAGTTTTTTTGTTAAGTGTTTTAATTTTTCTGGAAATTTTGGATCTCAAGACTAGTTTTGCTAAAATACTTAGTGAACTCAAATTTTCTATTTTTTTTCAAAGAATTATTAATCACTAAAAAATAATTTTAAACATTTATTTACTCAATGTAGAATAAAAATACTATGGGGGGTTATTTTTTTAAAGTTATAATGTATAAATATTGATTTTACTGCAACTATTTCATACCCTCTATAATATAATGTCTATATGAATGTATATGTAGTTTACATATACATTCAACAGTTAGTCAACCCTTTACTTGGAATTTAGTAATTAGATAATTCATTCTTAAAATATTTATGCACTTTAAACTTACACAAGGAAAGTTCATAATAAATGGAAATATTGCAAGAGGTAATAATCTAAGCCCGTATTTTAGGTATTTTCCAAATCCAACTCCTGAAGAAGTAAGTTTACCAATATCTGCGCCAAGCTAAAAATATTTGATATATTTATTGTAACATATTAAATTGAACAATATACACATTAAAATAAAAATGAGGATAAAATTATCACTTTAAATAATTATCTTTTAAATATTAACTTACTTCTATAGTTAGACCTAGTGTAGCAACTGTAACAATAGGCAATATAAAGAACTGGTCAGGTAAAGTAAGATCAGTAAACCACCAAAGTCCACCATAAGTTAAGCTTTCAAGAGGTAACATGGCCATTCCTCTTAAACCCAAAAACATACTTAAAAAAATGGGAAACTATAAAATTTAAATTTAAAAAATAAAATTTTTTTGCAGAATTTATAAGCATATGAAGTCTCAAACTTGTATTGCAGGCAAGATCATTCCTTTTATTGGATTCACATGATTACTTTTCATAAATAACATTAGTTCTTGTGATGCTCTTGCCACTAAAAACCAAAATTGTATACTAGTGTTCAAATTTTCAATATTTTATCTAATTATAATTGATAAATGCTAAAGATTTATTAATTACAATGCTATATAAACTCAAACAGTCTAATTAAAATTACTTTCATATGGATTTCCTTGTAGTCTACACTCTGATATTTTTTGTTGGTATTCTTGAATTTTAGGCATATTATTATTCATTTTAATTGTATGTCGTTGTGATGAAATAACTAAGGGAAATACTAATAAACGTAAAATTGCAGTACCTAAATAAAAATATTTTGTTAGCAATATAAAAATTTGTAAGTTATAACATAATTACCAGCTATAATTGTTAGCCACCAAGGCATATCAAAAGAAACATGCATGTATTGCAATGCATTTTGAAGTATTCCAACTGGAGTCCAAGAACCAAGTCCAGCACTTTCTAATGTTTCTTCTCCGAGTACATTCTAAAATAAGACCAATAATGAATTTAAACATTTCTAAATATATTGTACAAAATAGAGTATAAAATTAATTCAAGAATTTATTTATTTTCATTATTTAAATTGAACAATATAAATAATTGATAAATCTAATTTTTAAGAAAAATCATATTAATATAATCAAAACTATTTTGCCATGGAAAAGTTTGATATTTATGTAAAATAAACAACCAGTAGTAACTAAGCCCCATAACCCCAGAGTTATTTTTTATTTATATTAACATATCAGGGTGGTATTAAAAACTAGACATAAATAATATAATATCTTATTAAATTGGATTACCACGTTATATTCTAGCTAAAATTTAGACTAACACTTGAAATGTAATCCTAAAAAAACGTTTGCATATTTAACTATCTTACAAAATTAAAATAAATTATGTTTATGGAATCTATTTTCATAATCCTCTTTTTGTTTACCACCACTGAACTAAAATAATCAGATATTTTTTGATTATGAAATGTATCATAAATTCTAATTAAGAACAAATTTCTATTTAAAATTAAAGTTTATATAAAATTAAAAAAAAAATGAATTCACACTTAGTTTAGTTTTTAATTGGCATACAATAATGAATCAACATTAGTTATATAATAGTACTCATTAATAATATACCAAAACTTTTTCTACAGGTTCAACTACTTCATTTGGTACTTCAGGAGGCTCAGGAATAACATCATCAGTAACTTCTATTCTTTCTACACTTTGATCACTTTCATTACTATTATATCTAACAAATGCAATGTTTGTAGCAATAACACTTCTTATTTCTGCAACTTTTTGAAACGAACATGATTTATTCAATGTTAAACTATTTGAAGTAATTAGTCTAGAAAAATTACACTTTTGCTTTATCTGTAAAAATTTTAAATATTTTTTCAATCATAACACAGAAAATTTAGTAAAATTATTAAGTTTATTTACTGTCGGACGTTGGATAAATTGAAGAATACGAGCTTTATTCATTATTTTACTATAAGACATATTTATTAAATATTTTATTTCAATTCAAATGTTTTAAAAATTTCATACATCTTATAGTATACTGCTATATGACGAAATTGAAAAATTAATTAAGCGCCGTTAACACTCGAGTGCTTATGTAAATATAAAATTTAATTTAAAGACTAAGCATTAAAAAAATTAATTGTAATAAATGTTAAGTTTAAAATCATAAGGAAAATTTATCTATATAACAATAAATAGAATTAATGTTAAAAAATACATAAAATTCATCATTCGATCAGAACATAAATTTTATTGTAAGTGAACGTACCTTATTTGTTTTGTAAAACGTGATTGATAAGAAATAATCATTTTACTGAAATTTCATGCCGGGAATTACAGTGCTGCCTAGAAGTCAATATCTACATTTCTTTCAATCATAAATATTTAAATTATTTACTAATAGTAGAACGTTTTCTGTTAGGAATAATTATATATTTTTTTAGAGATATTCTATAATTATTTCAATGTGAAATGTTTGATTTATAAGTACTTAATTTTCAATTAAACTTTTTTAAGTTGACATACATGTTTGTTACTAATAGAGGTCATTATCAAACTTTTAGCCGTATTTTTTATGCAGATTGATAATACCAAAAGATAAGAAGTATAAATTTTAGCATTAATAAAATTCTAAAACTTTTATTTTACCATGGGATTTTTTAATTAAGTGTTTAGTTATTGGAGCTATACTTAAGAAATATTTTCTCTCAAAAATAAATTAAAAAATCAGGTATACTAAAGTTTTATGAGTAAATTCTTTGTTTTTTTATTAAATATATTGTTCAGCATTTAAGCCATATTTTACCATGTAAGGGGTGTTTACACTTAATTTCAAAGGTTTTATTATAAACTTTTAAATAATATTTTAGTTAAAATTTACTTATGTGTAATTATTGATGATAACTTTTATTATTATCATAATAATGAGTAGATATAAGAATGATTTTGAATGATAGATACATCCATTTTATTTTATATTGAACTTGATTGTGTAATGTTAAGTAACCTTATTTCTTGATGAAAAATCATTTTAAGGGTTAAGTGTTCTTCCAACCTAATATATATTAGTACATGAGTTAAAATAATATATATCTTTTATATTTTAGAATGGAATCTGATTACAAATCATCTTTAAATCAAAATATATGTACACAAAAACCAATGTATGACTGGAAAGATGTCACTTCTGAATTTTTTGATTCTATTAAAGGTGCGTGTTTTTTAAAAATGTTAAACTTTGTTTATTAAAAATTCATAAACTCTTGTTTTAAAAAGCTTTTTTTTTATTTCAGAACTTGAATTAGGTGAACTCTTGCATGGATACTTCTTTGGTTTATTCGAAGCCATGTCAGCTATTGAAATAATGGATCCAAAAATGGATGCCGGAATGATGTGTAATCGTGAATCAAAAGCTATTAAAGTAATAATCTCATTATTTGTTGAAAAACTACTGTAATATTTTACTATTTATAATTATATAGGTTGAAGATTTAAAATTAAAAGGCTTAACAGTACCAGAACAAATTTCGATAATCGATATTACATTAGCTTGTTTAGTTTCTTGGCTAGAAGGACATTCATTAGCACAAACTGTATTTACAAATTTATATTTCCAAAAACCTTACAATATTGAAGATACTCCATTAAAAGCATTCTGTATTTGTACATATAAAATAATTGAGTCAATTAGAGATTTTGCCAACAGGTAATTTTTTATTTATTATTATTTTTTTTTTCTCAATAAATTGTTGTCAACAAAACAAGTTATTTATATAAAACAAACAATTCTAGGGCACAAGTGTTTGAAGAAGAAGATTTCCAGCCTGCACTATATAATTACCATTATTTCTCTGAGATCACTGAACAAAGAGTTATTGGTATGATGAGAGAAGTCAATGAAGAATTAAGCAATGCCATGAAATCAAATGATATAAAAGATGTATAAACTTAAATTTCTTTACTCTGAGTAGTTTGACTAATTATGCTGAGAATCATACAAATATTTAGAAAATAACTTTTAATGTTTAAGTTTTTAGAAACCGGGTGTATTTTAAAAAGACATATTGGGAAAGTGGTACAGGTATATTTGCTTCATTATTTTTCAGTACATTATGTAACATTCTGCCTGCTTAATTTGGATTTATACAGGCTTATCTGAATATCAGAAAAATCTTAGGGATCCTAAGATTTTTGAACTTCTGCATTCCCAAAAGTGACAAGCAAAATTAAAAATGAGTTCCTTATAAATCATTTTTGATAGTAAAAGTAACCTATTGTGCTTGTCATTACTTTAAATATTTCACCACTATTAGCTGATATTAATGGTAACCATTTGTTTTTAATATTAAATGGTTGCATTTATAAAATATATATTTGACATTGAATATCAATATTTTTGCTAAAATTTAATCTAATTACCTTAAAATATTGAAAAAATAGTTGTAAAATATTATTATTTATTAATTAATTAGACACATTTAAACTAAAATTAATAAATGTATCAATTTGAAAAAATATATTTCCCGTCTAAAGAATTTGAATTTCCTTGTATTTATTATATATCATTTTATTGATTTATTTTACTACTAAATTTTATATTATCCTCCTACTAATGGCTATGTTCTTTGTTCTTGTATAAATGTTATTAAAGGACCTTGATAATGTTAAATAATAAAAAGATCTAACTACAATTTACGAAAATTAAATTTACTATACATTAAGATTTTAATAGTCCCAAAACCATTGTATGCTTAAAAATGCATTTTTTAAAAATTCATGTATATAAAAAATTTTGATTATCATTGTTAATAATTTTATTTTAGAATGAGTTAATGGAATCTTTGAGTGTACGTATAAAGTTTGTTAGATTATTTTTTCAAATTCTTCTCTCTTTTAATCGGCGTGAAAATCAATTAAGTTCAATGGGCGAAACACAAAGGCTACTAACTACTTGTAGTCTATTAATCCCTTTATTAATTAAGACTGTTGATAAAGGTGTATCAAATGATGATGGTAATTCAGCTTCATTGTATATCAGTAATATAAACATTAATGTACAACTTTTTTAGATGTACATTTCAAATTGGGCTTTGATCCTCTCATTAATCAAAAATTATTACCTCCTACATTTCCAAGATATACAAAAATTAAGTCACCTACTGATGCATATCTTTATTTTGATGGACTACTAACAAGACTGAAACAAATTTGTAAAATGACAAATTGTGTAACATTTATAAGTGCTCTTGTATATTTAAAATTTCAATTGTCTTGAAAAAATAAATATATAATAATAATGTTTATTTTAGGAATGTTTTATTGAGCTTGGCCACAATGGTCATTTGTGTATTGTGTCTAGATCTATTATGCAAACACTTTACTTTCCTCAACCTAATAGAGTTTTTGGAACTCAAGATTTAGAAGATTGTCTTAAGGAATGGGCAAAATCTTTTATAGCACCTCCATCACTTGTTACACGATTCAATATTTTATCTAATTCACAAGTAAGTTTTGATATAAAATTACTTTTAGACCCTAGCATAACCAGGATTTTACAATTAGGAGAAATTTTCAATTTATATATAATGTTGAGAATTTGTTTTTGTTTTTGTAGTATTATTTATTTATTGATTTATAAGTTGTTAAATATTTTTAAAAATTGACTAGAACTCTAAGTTTTAAATAACAATTTATAAAAATGTAATAAAAATAACAATATATTTGTTACATCCATTGTAAAATGACATAATAATAGAAGTGAACTGAGGTCAGCTCTTCAGTCGCAGGTGTAACGATTACTGATCTACTTTGCTGTAGCTCGGAAGCATAATAAGTCAATCCACCCCTGCATAGTAAATTCAATTTTCATTTTAATAAAATTAAAGTATATCAATTAACTATACAGAATATTATACTATGGTCAGAATTAATGATCTACTATTAAGTGTTCTAACCATAGTAGTTTAAATACTTGCAATCAAAAATAAAACAATAAGGTCAAAGATAAAGATCATCAGATGATCTTTATCTAAGAAAAGTACAGATTCTGTACTTTCCTTTTGTGTGTGTGTTAAAAACAAATTTTTAAATGATTATTTTTAATCATCTCATATAATAAAAAATATCTATAATAAAAAAAATTGTTCAAAGATGATTTTGGGGTGGAACGATTGCCCATATATGTCACTGCATTTGAAATATTAACTTAATTTAGGTTTTGTTAAGATAATAGTATGTGTAAGGAAAACTTTCCACTCTCAATGAATAAAATAAATATTTACTCATAAGTTTCATTAAAATGAAATATATTTTAAGTAATACTAGAGATCTAAAATTAATGAACCTTATATAGCTAATGTTTCACTTTTATTCAGATATTAGGCATTATATTTATTCAAGTTAATTTGGTAAATAGTAAATTTTGATAGTCTTATAAGATTTAGTCAGGATGAGTATTATTTTTCATTCATTTCTTGTAAAGCAAATGATATTTGTTTCTTTTTCTTCTTCCTCGCCTTAATACCAACTACTTGGGTTGGCCATTTGTTTATATATTTTATTTTATAAAAAATACACACACAAAATAACTAAATCTCTAAAATTGTTTTTTTTTTTTTAATATACTTAAGGGATATTATGTATTATGTATAAGTATTTTTATTACCAATAATGTAATTAATAATTTTATTGTTAAGCTTTAGAATAATTTAGTCTCTTTGTTTAAAACTATTTGATTCTAATTGATTATTATGATCTAAAAACTATGTTTTAATTTTTTAATTTTATTCAGGCAAAAGATTGTGTAAGTAGTTTTTTTGAACATTGTACTCGCCCTTTTGCTGGTTTTATTCAAATATGTGGTCATAATCGAGCTCGTCAAAGAGATAAACTAGCACATCTAATGGAAGATTTTTCTGCTTTACAAGATGAGGTATAAATTACACTATGAATAATTATTTATACTAAATTATAATTTATATTTATGAATATTATATTATATTAGTCTCAAAGAGTTGATGCTTTTTTGCATACATTTTCTTCAAAATTGGACCCACCTAAGGAACATCTAGCTAGTTTTAGTACTTGGATAATTTACCATACGATACGTATCATGATAATGTTTTTGTTGTCTGGTTTTGAACTAGAACTATATAGTCCACATGAATATCAGTATATATATTGGTAAGTAAATCATTCATTTTAATCTATGAGTTAGGACTAATAAATTATAATGATCATCGTATATAAAATTTAAAATGTTGTAACTAAATTAAATGAGTGCAGTAGTTATTAAAAAAAAAAACAACTAATCCCTGGTATTCAATAAATAAAAATGTTTGGAATTCGCTAGAATATGCTGGAATACTTTGTAGTGTTTTTAATAATTTTATTTATAGTGAGTTTAATTTTGAAATTTTATTAAATTTTTTGGAAAAATTTTATAACACTTCCTAGTTACTGTTAGTTTAAATTTTTATTTAATTTTACTAGGTATTTATATCAATTTTTGTATGGATGGCTGGTTTCTACTTTAAATAGAGCTGATAGTGTGTTATATGGCAATGATTCTCCTTCTGATTCTCAAAAGAATCGCACAAAGAGAAATAAAACAAAAAAGAAAAAATCTCATCCTTACAGCCAAGAAATTATTATGTGTCATGCTATGCAAAGTTTAACGGGTGCTTATTTTAAGGTATATTAGAAATTGTTTTAATTTATTTAATTTTAAATCATGATTTTTAAAAATTAGGATAAACTATCTATTTTTAAAAGCTAGATAACTCAGAAAATTAAAATTTTGTCAAATAGTTATAATATAATTATTTGACAAAATATTGAACATTTTATGTTTAAACTGTAATTTCGTGTTACTAAATTATATATTTCTCTGTCATTTGATAAGTTTTGTTAAAAATAGGCGATTTTTAAATTATATTTATAATAGTTATAGGTTAGATTTATATATAACTTTATATTTTGTTTAAGTTATCCTGAATATTTCAGTGTTAGGTTATCATTATTCGCATTTGTTTTCATACTTGGGTTATATACTTTTTTGAATATCTCTAAGAATACTTTTTAAAAATTATATCAAATCTAAAAATTATTTTATATTTATTTTATTTATTAAATAAAATATATTACTGAGCCCAAGAGAACAAAGTTGTAGCTCAAATTATTAAATTGAATTCTCACATTATGTATAATATTCCTAAATATGTTTTAAATTACAAAAACATCTAATACTTATACTTAAAAAATTATTTTTTACATTTAAATGTTTCTATTTAGAATAAATGTATATCCCTCAAAATTTCTGATGAATGAGAAGACTAATTAAATTACAAATCAAGTTATATTGAATTATATTCATCAATAATTTTATAAATGTATGTTAGTTCAGTTCTAATAATGATTTAATTTAATTTTTAAATATAACTTATAATATACATATTAAATTTCTAGTTAAAAAAATATAAATATATACTGTTAATATCAGAGTAAATTGACTGTGTTACCAATTACATACTCTGATTAATCAATTATTATTATTGATATATTATACTAAGAATTTATATAAAATAATGAAAAATTCATTTTATTTAATTAGACTTTAGTTGGTTTTCAATTGGAGGGTAAAATACGACCACCAAAACATGCAAAGTTTGATAATGAGAGAGTACGATATGAACATAGATTTGCAGCATTTTCTCTAGTTGCAGTTCCACCTCCATTCTCATATGCTGAATTTCAAATGACTAGGTGTCAAGTAAAAGATGCTGCATCAGGTGATTCAGGAATGCTTTATTTAACAGGTTGTGAGTTATTTCATCAGGCAAGGTGTTTGCTTGATACTTTACCTCAACCACATTCACAGCAGGTAGTAAATGTATTCATACTCTATCTAAAAGATATTTAAAATTCACCATTGTTTTAGGTACTTGACCTCATAAAAGTTTGTAAAACAAATTTTGTCACAATGAAATTACTTGCTGGTGGATACATGAGAGGACCAAAAGTTACTTTAGATTTTGATTTTTCTACTAACCCTTGTTTTCCTATTTTTAAATTAAGTTAATTTTGAACAATAGCTTAGACTTAATTACTTCATTGGTAAAATTGATCGGGGCTCAGAAAATAATATACTACCAAACTTAAAATTATCATAATATTACTGATATAAAAATGTAAAAACTCTCTTTTAATATCAATTTAAATTTATGAAATTGACATATAACAACCCCATCAATTAAGCCTTTGAGAAATAATAATTTAAAGACTGTTTGAAACTAATGCTAAATTGATAATAATATATATGTATAATCCTTTTACATGCAATTAAATTAATATTTTATTGTATGTTGAGTTATGTAAATTTTGATTGCAAAAAATAACAAATTTTTTTTAAATACCTGAAAAACATTTCTGTAAGTGTGATGAGTTTCTTATGTTAACTATAGTATAATGTAAGGTTTCTGGTACAGGGACTGAAATAATAATTTGTGTTCAAATTATATTACTAAAAAATTCTTCATTTAGCTGAAATAAAATTAGTTGTTGTTTTATTTTGTATTTTTTTCTTTAATAATTTTGAGGAAACTCGGTTATTGATTTTTGTTGAATGAAACTTGCAAAATTATAAAATATATTTAAATTAGTTATGTCATTTAAATTTTATTATTATTTATTCTCTGTGATAGTATATACTTTAATTATATATTGAGATCTTTTGGTCAAAATTTCAAGAATAATCAATATGTATTCAAGGTTATGGCATATTGTATTTTAATTAGTAGCTTAAAATATGATTCTTTTTATAATTCGGTAGCTATTTTCACCATGAAGACAAAATAAAGTCCGAAATTTTTTTTTTTTTCATAATAAAGTATATTACATTAGCTTTAATTTAAGATATACATAAAAGTGTCCAAGACCAAACCCAACACAACCAAATGCTATTTTTGTGTGAAAATTCTGTATTTTGCATTTTACATTTTTAACTTTATTATGCTATAACTTTTTGAAAAATGTATGGATCAATACAATTTTTTCATGAGAAGTAGTATTTATATACATCTTTCATTCGACATACTTTATCTTAATCAGGATATAAATAAGGAAATAGGAGATCATGTAGATTTTGGAATAGTCTACCAATTTTTTAAAATTAAACACTATCTAAAGATTTGCACCGAAGCGTTTTTTATAATAGTGATTTTAATTACTGTCAGATATCATCTATACTTGCTCCATCTATTCCTCGACCCCCTTGTGCTGGTTTTTTTTTTTTAATAAAAGCATTTCCCTTTACATATTAATTTATATATTACACTTTTAAATCATAAAACTTGTAATCAAGATATAAATTAGGAAATAGGAGATCATGTAGCGTTTGGAATAATCAACCAATTTTTTAATATTGAACATTATCTACAGATTTGCATCGTAGTGTTTTTTATGATAGTGATTTTAATCACTGTCAGATATCATTACACTTGTCCTAACTATGCCACGTCACCACTGAGCTGTGACTCCACTATGCTTGGTATTTTTTAATTTTATATTTCTACAACTTTTAAAAAAGTATGAATCAATACAATTTTTTCATGAGAAATATTATTTATAAACCTCTTTCGTTCGACATACTTTTTTTTTAAATCGGACCATTTACTTTATACAGGGGTGGTTTAAAACTTAAAAATGCATATAGAAAATAGAACTTATTCAACTCAATTTTTGAAAATTTTCCAGAAATATTGACACTTATATATATATATATCCTTAAATAAGCTTATGTATTGCACTTTAATATGAAAAATTTGGGACTATATTTTGTTTTCATGGTAAAAATGGATATCAAAGTTACTATGAAAAATATGATTTTTGTAAAAAAATTATTTTTTATATTTTTAACTTTATAATGCCATAACTATTTTTAAAAATGACAAAATCAATATAATTTTTTTTAATGATACATGAGATTTATTTTTATCTGAATTTAACCAAAAAATTAATAATTATTTATTACAATAAAAGTGCAAAAACATATTTAGCTCTAATAAATTTACAGTAAATAGTAGTTATATAATTTCATGACTGCATATTAATCTTAACAATACTATTTTTGATTCTCATAAAATGTTCAATTTAATTATGTAAATTTCAAACTTTTTGAAGTTGAGCTTTTTTATAGTTTAACTATTTTTTATTATAAACTTTCAAAAAATCAACATTAAAATACCAAAAACATATATTAAAAATAATATTTTGCACTGATTATTTTTAAAATACTAAAAATCAAAATCCTTTATAATGTAAAAACAATTTTTTTGTGTTTTTAAATACTTTTTTTTCGTAATAAATCATTTCAAAAGAAATATTAATAATTTCTATGTAACTCTTGGTGGTTAAATAGATGATAAAATAGAAATATTTAGAATTTATTTTCCTTATAGTTATATCCTATAGTTTTTAACTAATTAGTAATAATATCAAAAATTATTGATGATGGAAAACATATAATTACTGATTTGAAATTAGTACGAAAAATTGAGTAATAAAATTTTAAGGAAAATAAATTTTCTTTTTAGAATAATCAATTTTTTAAAATTAAAGATTTATATCGAAGCGTTTTTTATGGTAGTGATTTCAATCACTGTCAGATATCATCTTTACTGAACCCAATTATACCACGTACCCACTATGCCACGACCTCAATGTGCTGGGATTTTTTTACACAAATCATCCGCTCGCATTTTTAGAATTATTATTATTATTAAACTCAATATTTAAGCTGTGTACGTTTGACTTGATTATTATTAAAATATTTATTCACAAAAATGTTATGTTTGATCTTAACTTCTTCAAAATTAAATACACCAACTTTGTTTATTTGTTAATTACATATATACCAATAGTTAAGAAAGATGTGTTTTATAAAATAATGAAAACTAAAAGTTTAATGAACGAAAAAAAAACAATATGTGTAATACTTTACTATCACTTTTTTGTTATTGACATTAACATAAGAAAAAGTAGTGGAATGTATAAAAAGTCATCAAAAATAACTTATCAACATACTCCCTACGTTGAAGAACTCAACCAAAACAATATTTTGAATTACAAATAGGAACAATGGTTACTTAAGAATAAATTACAAAGTAAATTTTCAACGCAACATNATCCTCTTAATCTTCCTGGTGATTTCTTCACAGACAAGCAAGATAATAGCAGTACGAACGACCCAACTAGCTTACTAGATCGTCTTCGCAGTGTTATGAATAAAATCCGTCCAGTACCTGCATCTCGCCACTCAAATCCACGATCATTTGTTTTTGCGGACCTTAAGGACTGTTCACACGTATTTCTCAGGGAGGGAGGTGTCCGAGCAGCACTTCAACCGCCATATCAAGGTCCCTACGAAGTAATTGCCCGAAATGACAAAACGTTCACAATAAAAGTTCGAAATCAACCAGTTACGGTGACGATTGATAGAGTAAAACCTGCCTACCTCATGGTGAACGAAAGCACAACCGTTAGCCAGGCACATGCTCCACCAGCAACTGCCCCGGATACGACCAAACAGAAACAACCGCCTAATACCGATCCATCAACACAGCCAGTACGAACAACTCGCTCAGGCCGCCGAGTCAGATTCCCGGACATTTTTGACCCTAGCTAACTCCACTCCGTAGGGGGGTGGTGTGGCGGTCGAATATTCTAGAATGTCCGGCCGCCGCCGCCTCTAGAAGATTCCTCTGACTATTTAAGGGCAAGATCGTCGCTCCAGTCAGTCAGTCGATCAGTCAATCACTTTTGCATTCTGTCTTACACGCGCTTCGTCTCTCGCTGTTATTTATTAGTTCGTTGTAATATAGTATAGTTGTTATTAAATCTTAAAAGTGTTTATTACTTCTATACATTACACCTCGCTACATTTTGTTTTCATGGTAAAAATGGATATCAAAGTTACTATGAAAAATATGATTTTTGTAAAAAAATTATTTTTTATATTTTTAACTTTATAATGCCATAACTATTTTTAAAAATGACCAAATCAATATAATTTTTTTTAATGATACATGAGATTTATTTTTATCTGAATTTAACCAAAAAATTAATAATTATTTATTACAATAAAAGTGCAAAAACATATTTAGCTCTAATAAATTTACAGTAAATAGTAGTTATATAATTTCATGACTGCATATTAATCTTAACAATACTATTTTTGATTCTCATAAAATGTTCAATTTAATTATGTAAATTTCAAACTTTTTGAAGTTGAGCTTTTTTATAGTTTAACTATTTTTTATTATAAACTTTCAAAAAATCAACATTAAAATACCAAAAACATATATTAAAAATAATATTTTGCACTGATTATTTTTAAAATACTAAAAATCAAAATCCTTTATAATGTAAAAACAATTTTTTTGTGTTTTTAAATACTTTTTTTTCGTAATAAATCATTTCAAAAGAAATATTAATAATTTCTATGTAACTCTTGGTGGTTAAATAGATGATAAAATAGAAATATTTAGAATTTATTTTCCTTATAGTTATATCCTATAGTTTTTAACTAATTAGTAATAATATCAAAAATTATTGATGATGGAAAACATATAATTACTGATTTGAAATTAGTACGAAAAATTGAGTAATAAAATTTTAAGGAAAATAAATTTTCTTTTTAGAATAATCAATTTTTTAAAATTAAAGATTTATATCGAAGCGTTTTTTATGGTAGTGATTTCAATCACTGTCAGATATCATCTTTACTGAACCCAATTATACCACGTACCCACTATGCCACGACCTCAATGTGCTGGGATTTTTTTACACAAATCATCCGCTCGCATTTTTAGAATTATTATTATTATTAAACTCAATATTTAAGCTGTGTACGTTTGACTTGATTATTATTAAAATATTTATTCACAAAAATGTTATGTTTGATCTTAACTTCTTCAAAATTAAATACACCAACTTTGTTTATTTGTTAATTACATATATACCAATAGTTAAGAAAGATGTGTTTTATAAAATAATGAAAACTAAAAGTTTAATGAACGAAAAAAAAACTATGTGTAATACTTTACTATCACTTTTTTGTTATTGACATTAACATAAGAAAAAGTAGTGGAATGTATAAAAAGTCATCAAAAATAACTTATCAACATACTCCCTACGTTGAAGAACTCAACCAAAACAATATTTTGAATTACAAATAGGAACAATGGTTACTTAAGAATAAATTACAAAGTAAATTTTCAACGCAACATCAAATAACCTATGAAAACTATAAAATGAATCACATACATTTCAACAAAATCATTAATTTACACATTAATAGTAATAAAATAGAATATTACAAAGAATCAACCTTCTCAATGGACTACTTAACTAGTTTAGTGATTTGTTGAGTAAGCACAACCTTAGGAGTACAAAGCGAACAACCATTATACAATGATTATCTTTATTTGGAAAATTTTCAAACGCAACAAAATGGCCATTAAGAAGGAGAAGTGTGGGTGGTTCTCTCGCAGTATAACGAAATCCCCTT